CACAAGTGGGATATTATAAATAATTGGATAAGTCTACTGCATACCTTAGAAGTGCATCACTTGATAAAAATAATGATTAGATGGAGTGCTAATATACGTGGACTAGTGGAGAGTTTTATAAATAATTGGAGTGCTGTTATTCGTCTACAAAAGAATAAACGTTCTTAAACAAAAGGAGGATAGTATTTTTATCCCCGTTGGTATAAACGAAATTCACTTTTTTTTTCCCCCTCTCTTTTTCTTAACAAGTCTGTTGAGAATAAAATTAAAAAAATAGAGAAAAGAGAGATTGGAAATAGAGAGATTAGGGAGGATATTGAGACATTACTCGTTAGGGAAAAACTTGAATTATTTTCTTCTTCTCTTTTTATGTGCTCAATAAGCTAACAATTTATAAAATTACAGCTTCAATAAAGATAAGGAAATCCTAATTTAAACTGAAAACTAATAACATTCTTAAGATAGTTACTAATAAGAAAATATAACTAATTTTAAACAATTAAGATAAAGATAACTAATTTGCCTGCAACATTAACGAATCTTGCAATCCGTGAATCTGGAAGGTCCATTGCTCATTATCGGTTTGGAGATTTTGAATATGTTATTAATGATTGCGGAGGCGGGTGTTTTCCGCCATGGATGTTGATAAAATAAAAGCATCAATGTTGGGAATAAAATTAAAAAAAAAAAATAGAGAAAAAATAGATTGGAGATAGAAAGATTATCGAGGATATGGAGTCATGGAGACATTAGAAAGAGACTTGAATATTTTCTTTTTCTCTTTTTACGTACTCATTGAACTAATAAATTATAGAATTACAACTTCAACGGAGATAAAAAAATTGAAAACTAATAACACTCTTGAGATAATTATTAATACAGAAAAAAAAATCTGTTTATAGATTTTTTTATAAATTTTTACATATTACACTATCTTCTCTCGAGAAAAACATAATGTAACTAATGTTATTTCGAAAAAAAATAGTGTAATTTATAAGAGTTTGTAAATAAAAAGATTTGTAAATATGACATGTCTCTTATTAATAAGACAATATAACTAATTTTAAACAATTAAGACAAAAATAAATTAGTCTGGAGATAATATAACTAATAACAAACAATTAGGATAAAGATAAACTTGTCTGCACCAAGATCTCATCCACCTTTTGTACGTACATGAGATAAAAATTATCCCATTCAACAAATAATTTTATATTCTCAAACTAATAAATGCTGTTCCGTTAATTTGATTCATGCTTTTCAATATAATTTAATAAAAATGCATGTCAGCATACTTCTAATAAAAATAGAAAAACATGGAAAAGAAAAAAATAATTGGTAAATAAACACAGATTGAATCTTTATTTGCCAAAATAAAAATAAAAATTCCCAAGAAAAACAATCAGTAATCACCTATGATATATCCGATGAGATCAATGAAGATTTCTTTATGATCAATGCAAAGTAAAATACTCGTCACACTTTTTTGTCACCATTGTTCATCCTTCTACGTGTCGGGCCCCGCATGAGCTCAGCGTTTTCATGGTGTCAGAACTTTAGGTCAGGATAAAGTTTTTAAAAACAATTATATGTGTAAAATATGGGATTGTATTTGTTCATATTACGTAATATATTACATCATATTGTACTGATAAAATTGGTAGAGTCCACTATTTAAATAAAAAATAAATTAAACAGTGAACAACACTAACTTTATCTCTACGACATGATCTAACTTGTATCATGTAACATGATTATATTTCTAGTAAAATATATAAAAAACATATGTCTTATTATTGTTATTATTTTTGTAAATATTCAAGGTCAACACTAAGAATACCTTAGGATCGATAGTAAATGAACTCAATGATAAATAAAGAGATTAAAAAATGAAAAAAATATATTTAACACCAAAAAAATCTATCACATTTACAACAAACCTAATTACTCTTGATTTCCATCACTTTAACGATTATAATATATTAAAAATTATTGGATATTATTTATTAATTAATTCTTAATAAATCTAATAAATTATAACTGTTAAATTGATAATTAGATTGATTGTAAATGTGATTAATTTTTTCGATGATAAATATATCCTGGTCCATAAAAAATAAAATAAAAATAAATAATAAATAAATAAATAAACAAATAAAATAAGGAAAATAATATAAAAGACAAGAAAGGAAAAAGAAAAAAAAAGAGAGATTGAAGAGGAGAATGACTAAAAAAGATCATTTGAAACATTATTTTTGTATTACAAAATAATACATTATCTTTGTAAATAATTTATTTTTTTAAAAATTTAAATTATATTATTATATACTTTATTAAAAGTAAGTATATTTTAATATGTAATGTTGAATATAAGCCAAAATGCAATCACTTACCAATCAGAAAACTAAATTAATCCACTGACAAGTAACAAGTAGCAGGAATATGAGCTTAGTGATCTAGCAAGCTACAGTGAAGCCCAAAAATGAAAACAGATTATTTTTTTAATGAAAACAGAGTGAAGCAACAAGTTCAGACCTTGCATTCAAAAAGTAATGAGCAACAAGTATATTTCTGATTATGCGGAGATCAAGAGAGGAAGAAGAAAATGGGGAGAGAGAAATTAGAAGGCTCACCGTTTAATTGAGGCTTAGGGTTCCAAGTCTGAAACAAGGATGTGAGAGTTTAGTTGAATATGAATAGGAAATGACGGAGTGGTACCTGATGCAGAGGAGTGAGAGCATAGGTAGATAGATAATGAAGAAGCATAGAAAGAGAGAGGATTGGATTGAGCCATTGAGGTAGATGAACCGTTGAGGTTTTGTGGCCTGCATTTCTCTTCGGTTGCCTTCCTCTTCACGCATGTCAGTAAACTTTGAGAAAATTTATCCACTCACACGCAATTTGTAATTTTCATCACCCAAAATGCTATTTTCATATATAATTTTTTTTCTTCAAATTTTAGAGGACACCCTAACCCCTTCCGATTCCAACTCTTATCAATGTGACATTGTGACTTCTTTTAATTATATTTAGAGTTTGGATTTTTTTTTAAGTTAAAAGTTATTTATAAATTAAAGTTAAAAAAAACTAAAAGCTATTTAATAATTACATAAAAAATTTAGCTTGAAAAATACTTAAAAATACATATCTGGAAAAAAATTGTCTTTATTTTTATCTTTATAGTTCTTCATTTTATTAAAAGTACACAATTAAAAAAAAAACAGATAAAAGTTTAAAAAAAAACTCTTCCTTGGAATTTTTAGGTTTTAGTTTTTTTCTTCGTTATAAAAAAAACAATTCATCATAAATTTTTTTCTCAAAATCTGTTTGACTTAACTTATACTTATAAGTAATTTTTAATTTAAAAAAAAATAGTCCAAACATGCACTTAACAATTGTATTACATAATCAAGAAGACGAGATATACAATTAAAAATACAAAATGAAGAGAAATTTGTTAAAATAATGTGAGAAAAATGGGATTGAAGCTCAATAGAATAAAAATATATTATAATCTAAGATTACATTATTTATTTATTTTTTTGAAAAAAAGTGAGATTAACTTAAAAATTTATAAAGATAGTAATAGTGGAAGATATGTGCTGGCGGTAATTGAAAAAGAAAAACGGGGGAATAGGATATAAGCCTTTCTTTAGGTGGATTTTTTTTTTATTTTTTTGGTTAATGGCGTTTAGGTGGATTTTATCAAGAAGTTTGTACTCTCTTTTTTTTCTTTTTCCTTTTTTGGTACATCAAGAAGTTTGTAACATTAATATCTAAGACTAATGTACAATAAAATATATTGCGAATCGATTAATCACTATTTCACCGACCATACTCTCTTTATCTAAGTAAAAATGTTATACATATATATGCACCATATTATTTATTTTGTAAAAAGGTTATTTTATTAACATGTTATATTTTTTTTCTTGGCATATATAAAGTTATATTCATAAAAAAAGTAGGATTTCAGAAATAAATTATTTTACAAAAACCTGGAAACATGACAATATCAACAAACCAAAATTGTGCCTTTTTTATTACATTGAATAATAGAATTTTTTATATTAACATTTGACGCGTGCAAACCAGTATCAATTGAATGAATTTTTCAAATTCATAGGCACTTGGCGATACAAATTGTGCTTTATTATAATATTAATTGTTAAAGTCTATTGACATGAATATATAGATGTCGTAGTGATTAATATGAAAAATGCTTATTATATATTTTGTTTTTCTTAGGTTTATATAAATAACAAACTCATAATGTATGTCATAAAGAATATTATCTAATTATATTTATTTTCTTGAAAATAAAATCAATGGCACAGTACTAATCACGTGAGCCCCAACTGCTAAAGGAATTTTTACTTACGCTTAAAGTATTGCACCATTTTATTAAATATGTAAGACGTGACATCATATAATCAATTATACATTGTTATGTTAAAAGTAAATTAAAAATGAATAAATTATAATACTATAGTAATGAATATACTATTACATAAAATTAAAAATGAATAATTAAAAATACTTCTCTCAAACAACCGTTGCACCAAATCCCACTACCCGTACCGAACCGAAACGGTCGCGTCATTATCTCAAACCTCCGTGCGCCACTTCGCACGCTTTCCGACCCCTGTGCGGGCAAAGCGTGCGAACACAGAAACACTCTCACACATAGTTGGTCGGTAACGTAACTTTGGTATTCTATGGCACCTTCCTAGTAACTTGTAACAGGTCAACCGTCAAGGTTAAAACCGTAATTTCATCCCTCACGGAGAATTAAAAAGGTAGAAAAAACTATTAGTTCAAGACTTTAAGTGAATAATATTATATTATTTTATTAAGATTTAAAGATTATAATAATAATAATAATGTAGTTAAGGTAATTAAAATTTCGGGTAATTAATAATTAAGCAGTTTTTCTTTTTTCTTTTTTCTTTTGTATCGGCTTCTGGGTTGGATTTAATGAATGCATCGAGTCCGTGTCTCCTCGAGAGTCAGCCTCTGTGTTTGTCAGAGAGAGAGAGAGAGAGAGAAGCTAGAGAGAGAAAGAGAGTTGCGATTTGTGAACGACGGGATCTAAAGCGTGTTCTCTGTTAAGACTTTGAAACATGCCGGTGAGTCAGCTACTTCTAAATCTAATCTACACTTTCTGATGCCTCGTGATTCTGTTTTTAAATGCAACTTTGTTCTACTAGATTTCTAATATTTTTTGCAAAATTTTCCTCTATTTATTGTGTCTTTTTTTTTTTTCCTGTTGTAATTCTTCACCGAGATTGGGATGTGGGAAACTTCTAGACCAGGTTTTCTTTTTTTAGTTTTTTTTTTTTTTGGTTCTATTCGTAGCTTTCGGAAGTATCCAATTTTGTAGTCTAGGACTCTGGGTTTTGTTGGAATTTACATTTGGGCAATCTCTGGTTTCTGCAATTTTTGGTGTGTAATTTTGGGTATTTGCAAAAAACAAAAAAAATCCTTTTTTTTTTAATAAAAAAATTGTTTTAATATTTTAAAAGTCTTCTTTTTTTGGTTGAAGCTCTTATATTAGGAGGGTTGTAGTGGAGAGCTCTGATCTATTCTTGTGCTCTTTACAGATCTCTTATGTGTTATGATCTCAGCGTTTTAAAGAGAGGACACCTTATTTATCACTGAAGTTCGTTGTTTGATGTTTGTTGCCTCACCTTCACCTTTCATGTCTTCTCTTCTTATGTGCTCGGGGTGCGTTTGAGAGGTATTTCATTCTATTCCTGGCCTCGTAACTTCCCGAACAAAATAAAAGGAAAGAGAGAAAGATGAACTAAAAATACAGCAATCAGATTCACTTCTACAATCACATATATTTAATTCATAATCGAACCTTTGTTAAGTTTTTTTATTTTGATTTGATTGCTCCTATGAGAAGTTAGATTTAGAAGCCAGATTTAAAACCCGCCAAAAATTGTTTCTGACGAAAGTATGGTATTTTAGGCTACTTTAGCCTTTAAGTCCATGTGGGGCTTTCTTTTATGAGAATCTTTTTTTTCCTCTCACTTTGTGCTTTACCCCATATATGCTCCTTCTCTTTTATTTCTTGATCACTAAGCATTGTAAGATGGAATTTAAATTAAAGTTTGGTTTATTTGCAGCACTTCACTATCTCCCAAGTCTTGTGAGTTGTAACATCTTCAAGTGACTAGAGTGGAACGTTTATCCTTTAAGTGGCTTTGATGACATATTAAGTTCTAGGGTTGTTTAGTGCATTGGAGCAGATGTCCTTCCGCAGTATAGTTCGTGATGTAAGGGATGGATTTGGAAGCTTATCAAGACGGAGTTTTGAGATAAGGCTTCCTGGTCATCACAGGGACAAGTCACGTAGTTCAGTCCACGAATTGCATGAACAGCCTCCGGTTACACAGAACAGCCGATGGGCAAGCCTTCCGCCGGAGCTTCTTCGTGATGTTATTAAGAGATTGGAAGCAAGTGAGAGCACGTGGCCTGGACGTAAGCATGTGGTTGCTTGTGCCGCCGTGTGCAAGTCCTGGAGAGAAATGTGCAAAGAAATTGTAAGCAGTCCTGAATTCTGTGGGAAGATTACTTTCCCGGTTTCCCTGAAGCAGGTGAGATATTCCTGTTTTTCAATCTTCCTTGTGAAATATATTTAAAATAACTGCTTCATGTATAAAAAGTAATGAAATTTGGGAAATAACCGAATTTTGCATTTGTATGCTTGGTTGATTTTTGCTTTACAGCCAGGCCATAGGGATGGAACCATCCAGTGTTTCATCAAGAGAGACAAATCTAAGCTGACGTACCACCTCTTCCTTTGCCTTAGTCCTGGTAAGCTTTACTTCGTTGACACCTAATATGTATGAGTTTATCTGTTCATTTTGTTTTGTCCTTTAAACTTTTTAACTACGTAGTTTATGGGTCCTGGTAAGCTTTACTTTGTCAACACCTATTATATATGAGTTTATCTGATCAGCTTGTTTTGTCCTTTATTTGAACTTTTTAACTCTGTAATTTATTGGTCCCGGTAAGCTTTACTTTGTTGACACCTAAAATATGAGTTTATCTGATCATCTTGTTTTGTCATTTATTTGAACTTTTTAACTACGTAGTTTATGGGTCTTGGTATGCTTTACTTTGTTGACACCAAATATATATTATATGTGTTTATCTGATCATCTTGCTTTGTCCTTTATTTGAATTTTTCTAAATACGTAATTTATGGCCCTTGATGTATGTATTTACTTTTCCCCTTGTCAATCCAAGCTGGGGATTTTCAATATAGAATTTTTTTCATGTTTCCTTGATTTTTAATTCTGCTAAATTGCGTATGACCTTCATTTCTTTTAGGCAAAAATGAGAATTTGGTAATGTCTGTGCCTAGGTTCAATGTAATTATGAGCAAATAGTCCATGCTCCATGGGCTATCCTACCTAGTGTAGTGGTTCAACCGTTTGCTTTGCTGGCAATCTGGCATAAGTAGTTCCTTATTTTGAGCTGACAATTTTGTTGCTGTTATAATAGACTATATATATGCATTTTATGGTCCTGGCTGTCATTATCTCTGGGACATGTTCTGAACTTAACTCTGTTCCTGCAGCATTGCTTGTTGAAAATGGAAAGTTTCTTCTTTCTGCAAAACGTACCAGAAGAACGACTTGCACGGAGTATATTATATCAACGAATGCAGATAATATATCAAGATCTAGTAGCACATACATTGGAAAAATGAGGTATGACTTTTTTGGGGTACTCTAGTTTGTGTCTGCTTGACATTCATTTGGTGCTATTACTCATGTTGTGTGATAAATTTCTGTTTTGATTGAATTGTAAAAGATCTAAAGTTATGCATAATTTTCTTCTGTGTCATCTTTGAAGAAGTAGTGCACTAGAAACCATTGTTTCAGTACTTTCCTGTCATTATTTACTCATTCTGTGTTAATTTCCCCTTGTTTCAGATCAAATTTTCTTGGCACCAAGTTTATAATTTATGATACACAGCCTCCATATAATAATGCTCAGCTGTCTCCACCAGGCCGCAGCCGTAGGTTTTATTCGAAAAAGGTTTCTCCAAAGGTCCCTAGCGGCAGCTACAATATTGCCCAGGTCACATATGAGTTGAATGTTCTTGGTACAAGGGGCCCAAGAAGGATGCACTGCACCATGTACTCAATCCCTTCATCATCCCTTGAGCCTGGTGGTACTGTCCCGGGCCAGCCAGAGCTCCTTCCCCGCCCCCTTGAGGATTCATTCAGGAGTATATCCTTCTCAAAATCAATTGACAATTCAACTGAGTTTAGCAGCTCTAGGTTCTCAGACATAGTAGGAGCTGGCAATGAGGAGGAGGAGGTGGGAAAGGAGAGACCACTAGTTCTTAAGAACAAATCTCCAAGATGGCATGAACAGCTGCAATGTTGGTGCCTCAACTTTAGGGGAAGGGTGACCGTTGCCTCTGTCAAGAATTTTCAGCTGATTGCTGCAACACAACCTACAGCTGGTGCTTCTACAGGAACCGGAACTGGAACAGGAACAGGAACAGGAGTTACAGGACCTACACAAGCTCAGCCAACACAATCTGATCATGACAAGATTATCCTTCAGTTTGGCAAGGTTGGCAAGGATATGTTTACAATGGACTATCGATATCCCCTCTCTGCATTTCAGGCTTTTGCCATATGTTTGACTAGCTTTGACACAAAACTGGCATGTGAATAGTGACAGGAGATACATGTGGTAAGAAAAATAGGATTATTTATAGGTTGGTAAAGCTGCATTAAGTCATTGTACTTCTCATAGTTAAACTGTAAAGTACAAAACAATCTGTGCTCAATGTTCTCTCTTTCTTTTTCTTTTTTTGGCCATTTCCTTTTTCTTTTGAACCCTATGATTTGAAATTTAAACAGTCTTTATCAAACTTTATTGATGTAGAGTTTCATACTTTGTATGTTAAAGATGTAATGAAAATGTAGTAGCATTCAATTTCTGTTTGCTCTAATGCTAAGAATCTTAATTGCATTTTGGAATGTTGGATGGGTACTAACGTAACACGCCAAATTCTGAAAAATGGCTTTAGTTTAGGTATGCAGTATATCGAGAATTGGGCAGTACAGATACACAACTAAACTTTAACATGAATATGTTTAATCTACTTAGCTTAATGTGGGTGGACTAAAAAAAAATCTAAAGCCATGGAAGTGTGTTAGTAATGAAAGTACTAGAAACAAGAGTTGATGTGGTTTTTGCCCAAACTAGAAACAAGAGTAAATGGAGGTTATTTATGAAAGATAAAAATGAAATGCGACTGTAGTATTATTTTATATTTTAATTGAGATTTTCACTTTTAAAGGGTTCATGTGAAAGTTATTTTCTAAAATAATGTTATTTAACACGCATTACACTATGCATTTATACGGTTAAATTATCTGATTACAGTTCATGTTATCTTATTTGTCCCGTAATTAAACTCTGATTCGACACGAATATAAAATAACGTGCTCTATTTTATAAAAGATCACCATTTCGTGCAGGATAACTAACTATGTTCAAGCTTTATGCTTTACTCATTTTTAGTCGTTCAAGTTCATACACTCTAAAATGATTATTGAATTTTTATACTGTTTACATAAATATTTTTTAATTAAATTCCCAAACAAAACAAGGCTAGTTATAATAATTACAATTTTGCATCAGTTGGAGTATGCAATCATAACAAGACACCACAAATAAAGCGTACCATACTAGCATAAAAAAATGTCTGCATCACATCCGATTATTCATTAAAGTATACGGGACTTGACATGTATTGTTGTGTAATTAATTCTTTAAGTATTGACATGATTACGAGATTTGTTAACAATTAAGGATCTAAATATTCTTTTAAATATTATACCAAAAAAAAGTAGTTAACGAATTTACCCTATCTAATTTATAGTCATTAATAAACACAAGATAATATATATTTATCAAGTTGACAGTTTATCTTTAATATAGTATACAGTGACTCTTATCCTATCCGAGCCATATCCAACCAGAGATCTATGGGAAAGTTGTTACTCAATAAATTTTGTCAAATAATTTGACGCCAACTATGTGGAAATATTGGTCCAATATTAATATAGCTCATAATTACTTCGTTGAATGTATTAATGGCTGGGAAAGTTCACCGCCACGTATCCCTAAAGTGGTCAAGTTTTTGCCTACATATTGCCAAAATATATCCTTACAAATAACATGAGGTCCATGGAAGATAAATAGTAAAAGAAAAAGGGAAAATAACTAACGTGTTTGAAGAGACCTCTGATGTTCTATGTTCTGATCCAGAAAATATTTAATATGATACCGACTTATCACTTGATTTAATGGTTTAGGCCTCACTTGATTTAATGGTTTCAGGCCATTTTATCCTTTAACATAACACAACAAATTTTCTTACTTTCATAATATTTTGTGGGGCTCACATTTTTTAAAACAAAAAAATAAATAAAAAATTAAGGCACACAAAACGAATCTCTATAACATTACACAATCACTTTTCCTACAACATAACTCTTATAAAACCCATTAAAATAAGATATTTTTTGACATCTGAGTATTGAGGAGAGAAAAAATAAATTTTTTTGTCCAAATATCTTACTCTCAATGGAAGGAGCATCTGCTCCTGGTACACAGAAGATGATCTCCCATTTGAGTTACCCACATGTATTAATCTCTTTTCATTATTAAAAATTAAATAAAAAGGGTTATGTGTAAGAGTATTAACTAGCCCAATTAATCAATTACACCTTAGTTATTATACACCTACCAACAAACTTCTAGTTTTCGACCATGGAAAATCTTCTTATCCTTCCCTTCTTTATGCAAACTGTATGAAAGAAAAGAACCCTATTTCGCTCACACATTTTTGTGTAAAACCTACAATATAGGAAGAACATGTCACATGTGCATTTGAGTGCAGGATAGCATAATGATTTTGTTAGAAAAATATAAAATTATTAATGCGAAGGTTTTTGTGAATCATCCACGCCTCAAAACAAAAGACTCTTGCCTTAGAAGATGTGTTTGAATTAATTGTTTACAGATTATTCATATAATTAATTGAAGAGCTAAAATCAGAGCATGCCCAAAATCTGTTGAAGCATCAAGACATAGCATTATACCCTAGATGCAGCAAATAATTGATTAACGCATTAAAATGGTATAGGAAGAGAATATACATGTCCAAGTAGTCTGATATCATATATATATATATATATATACACACATATCAATTTACTAAGAAACATAGACTATATTACAGGTGTTGCAGAGAGAACAACGTAGGTTGATCCATGGGGTTCAAACCCCCCTGGCCCTGACAGACTTACGAGAAGTGAGCACTGCTTTGCATCCTACCCCCTATATTAGTAATATTGATCTGAGTGCAGAGGATCATGGAGGCTGATATGCATCCCTGTCATCAATCATTCTGGACTTGAAGATCCTCTTTAAACAAATTGAAGTCAGAACACCAAGAGTTGTCAGAACTCTCATGATTTTTACTCTATTTTTGGAGTTATAGATAGGAGTGAGGGAGAAAGAATGAGCATCAATTTCTAACGCATATCCATTCCACCACCACCCCTTTTGGTCTCGGTAGGTGCAAAGTACATGACATATAAATATATGCAGGGAAGGAAAATATCTTCGATAACACGGGAGAACATGATATATAAATATAGAGTTTATCGTGAGTCATTTAAAAGGATACAAGTTGTGTCTTTTAGTGATTTATACAAAATATAATTGGTCATACTTTGTATAAATCTAAAAAGTTTTTTTTTTCACTTTACATATAAGCAATGTGACTAGAGAGAGAGTTTTTTTTTTTCAAATTTACATATAATATAACCGGTCATACTTTGTGTAAATCATCTAAAAAGACACAATTGTGTCCTTTAAAATAATATTTCTTTTTCCCATAAATATATGTAGAAAGACTCAATATATCCTTTATTGAAAGTAAATATATATATATATATATATTTATATATATTTAATTTTCGTATTTTACCTATCTTTTTATTGTTATTTTTCCTCTAATATCTCATATTTTTTTATTTTTAATAAAAAAGTACATATAATATTAAAATATGCCGATAGTGAAAGGCTATGTACTAGCTAGAGCCTAAAAAGAGCCTCCTCTTTTTTATGGGTCTAAAAACTCTGTTAATCAATTCAACAAAAAGCATATGAAAACGAACTTTAAAATTAGGCCCAAATATAAAGAATCGCTTGAGTGACGTGCGGAAATTTTTCATGTACTTTAAAATTAATTATGAACTCATTAAATTGTGCATATTAATTTTTATAAGAATTTTTTTACGCATAAGTATGATTTTTTTCTTTTTCTTTACATAAAAATTAAAAGATTAGGGTCATTTTACATCATATTTTTAAGGGAAATAATTTTCTTATGTTGTAGGAAAATGCTTATCTTATATTGTAGAAACAAGATTGCAAGTGGGACCCATAGGTAAGAGGAGAGAGAAAAAAAAGAAATGGGACCCACCTAGCTTTTGTGTGTGTAGGAAATGTAGCTATCTTATGTAAAAGTAGATAAATATAACCCTATTTTTAATCTTGATCGTTGATCTTATTTTTTTCTAATGATTCTGATTTATTAGATATTTAAGTCGATAAATAAGTGTAAATCAATGATCAATATTTGATATAAATTTCATATATTTGGACTAATATAAGAATATCTTGTCCCAAGATAATATAAATTAGAATTTTTTTTCTTCTTAAAACAGTAAAAATGAAAAAAAAAATAGGAAATAAACATAAGTGATAGGACTTTATAAATTTTTTAAGTGACACTTTTTGTTTTATCATTTATAATAAAAATTAAATTATAACATTTTTAAAAATTAAGCGAAAATATTAGACATTAGTGAAAGCAGGTATAATGTATATCCGGCCCACAAATTGTTTGTTGTCTTGGTTTAATAATTAGGTGGCGGCCCGCAACTGGAGTTACACAATAAATAGAGACAAGCATAAAAAATGGGCAAATATAAATCTTAGGGATTTAGGTTTCTCATTTAACGTATACAACAAATTTTTCTATACACACAACATTTTATGAGACTCACATTTTTTGAAGAAAAAAGAAAAAAGAAATTACGGCACGCAAAACGAATCTCTATAACATTACACAATTACTTTTCCTACGACTAACTTTTATAAAACCCTAAATCTTAACGGGAGAAGCCTCCACCTTTTAGATGACTCAAAATGGTGTGTGATCTATTTTATTTTAATTTTGCTTTTTTTCTATATAGTGAGGTCCAAAATGTTTGTGTGCCTAGACACAAGAATAATATATTCTGTTGCATAAGAAAATATGCTTCCCAAAAAATAATGATATTTTAATTATTCATTTCTTTATTTTATTAATAGTTTTCATATAATATTATTATGCTCCATTTTTTTATTATGTATATAATCCCAAGGAAAACTAGTTTTTTAAATGGATATTTTTTATTAAATATAATATTGTTGGTATGTTATCATTTTACATAAAAAAAGGAAATAAAAAATTGTTTTGAAGAAATAAATATGCATTAAACAACTTACAATAACACTATGGGTCCGGCGGCTTCTGGAGTTTCTGGTTGGACGTCATATTATCCTATGATTCGGTTTGGGAGCTTATAGTAAATAGAAAATTTGTAGTGAATCGGTTATGTTTTTAATTAAATTAATTGAATCATAACCTAAATTTTTTTCCCGTTTAATGTAAGATTTAGTTTTTAAAACATCACTGAATCATTGGTAGAAATAATTTCGTTAACCAAACTGAAACATATACTTCCCTAATGCAAACAAGAGACGGTTACATTTATTATTGAAAAGTTTTATAATTTTTACTATTAAATTAATATTTTTTGTCACTATTATAATTTATTGGGTACACTTATTAATTAATTATTAATTTTCAATAAATTATACTCATTAGATTGACGAAAATTAATGATGATTAAATTAATAGTAAAAGTCTTTAAAAAAATTAGTAGTAAGTATAACATCTTCTTATAAACAAAAGCAAATTTCAAGTTTCTATTTGTTGTTGCACTTCCTCGGTAGTTGGGTGCAATTTGTTAAACATCGAATGAAATGATTTAAACAATTTAAGAGAAGGGAAATATAATTATTATGTTGTAAGAATGAGTTTTTTTTTGTCTTGTAACATTTTTTTAACTGTGTACTTAAGAATAGTATATAATTAAAATATAAAAGTTGCTAACGTGAAGGAGAGAAAAATAATTTTAATATTATAAACATGTACTACCTTTAACACATATAATTATGTAGTATCATGTAATAGAATATCGACAACCCTTAAAATAATAACATTAGTACATAATTATGCTATTATACCTCACTCAAGCAAATCTCGTCCTCTCCAGTTAGCTGAAATAGAATTTTCAGGATTGAAGATGAAATCGGTAATGAAAACGATTTAGAGATAGAAAATGGAAAAGTTTCAGAGAAAATAAACATTTAAGAATAAAATTAATAATAATCAATTTAGTGATTATTGAACCAGCTAACCAAATCGCAAAATCAGATGATGCAATTTGGTAATTTTGTTCTTTTGAAATGAAAATAATTTGAGCTGGTTTGCTAAATCACATTTCCCTTCCACTCTGTCACCTAAACAAACAAACAAAAATAAAATTATTTGATCACTTGATGAATTTGGTTGAAATGATTCAATTTTTTTCTATTAAATTTAGTTAAATTTGGTTAAATGTTAAAACCATATAAAAAAGTACATCTATTTATATATTTCGTACGGGACAAGATTCTTTTTGATACCGTTATCAAACTTTAAAATTTAACATCAAATTATAACCATTAATTTCCTCCTATCAACGGTTATCATTTATTGAGAATTAATAATTATTAATAAGTTTGATTTCTAATAAATAATAATAGTTGATTGACAGAAATCAACGGTTAGGATTTAGTGTCGAATTTTAAAGTTTGACACAGGTGTCAAATGATTCTCTCTCTCTCTATATATATGTGTGGGTCAGGATCATCTTACACCAGTATAAGTTACACTCTTAATCTTATTCGTTATATATATATATGAAAAAGTATTTCTACAGCCACTTTATATAAGGTTATTTACAGCTACCCTTTTTTAACTAAGTATGATCGGTCATACTTAGTTATAACAATAAAGCTGTTATTTTTTTCTCTTTCCTCAGACACTGTCGGCTGACGTGGCAGAGAGAGAAAATTCAATTTTAATGTATGACCGGTCATACTTAGTTAAAATGGGATAGCTGTAGACAATTTTATCTAAAGTGGCTGCAGAAATGTTTTTCTTATATATATATATGCTTTAATGTTTCTAAAGTGAATGTAGATAAGTTATCTACATTCGTTCTCAAAACGACATCGTTTTGAGTTAAAAAATTATAATAAAAAAGCTATTATAATATTGAAATAAATTATAATTATAAAAATACCTTGATTTCTGGCTCAAAACGACGTCGTTTTGGACTCAATGTAAATAAGTTATCTACATTGACTATAGAAAAAGCGAACTCATATATATATATATAAGTTTATAAATTTTATGTTATATTTCTGAAACATTATCTCATTATTATAGAACTTTTAAATATTTTTAAGACCACGATTTTTATAATTGTTTTGATTATATTTATTTGAACCAACAAAGATTATTTGAACTTTTAAACATTATCTACATTGACTATAATTGTTTTGGACTCGTAAATCGTAATTCTCTATACTCTATATTATTTGAACCAACAAAGATTAAAAATATTAAGCTCAATCAATACTAGTTTTTTTTTATAATATCTGATATTCTCAATTTCTCATTCAATATCGTCTTACGACTTTGTCATCAAACCACGGCCTTAGAGGTTAACTCCTTATTGAAATAGGGAGCTAAGACCAATATGTAACAAAAATACAGGAAGTTAACTTTGACCATTAACTTTGCAAGTACCTTATCTTTAGTCAAATACTTGTACTTTTAATATGAAAAACAATAAAAATAAAGTTTCACGGACATATGTGCCAAGAAAATTATATGAATCTACAAGATAGAATTACCACATCGATGGAATCAATGACATAATAACGAATCCAAACTTGTCGCAAAGGCCAAGTTTGCCATTCAACTAAATCACAAAAAAGTGAATCTTGCAGACAATATTTTAGTGGATCGTTAAATAATTTGTGGTCCCTAATGAGTGTCGTGCCGCATGCGCACACAAATGCATATATCAAGGAAAAAAGAAATAATTTTCTTTATGTTATGGTATTGGTTGGTGGAGCACTAATCTGAGAGCAGATTGTAATATATATGTGTGTGTATGTGATGATGACGACGACGACACGGACGAGGATAATTTCGCATGTTTATATATGAAGGAAGTGCCATTAGATTGAGTTCAACACTGAATTGCATTGAATATGGACCCAGACAGTGGTAGATAATGCTAATACTTAGTTGACACTTTCCAGTTCCACTAATACGAAGCACCAAAATGGACCCAATTAAAAATGTGATCTACATTGAAGTGTATTTCACTCATTGCATGAACTTAATAGTGAAAAACACCAAGTGCACCATGTCAATTTTCAAACGTTAAGAGAGGTATATTGCACCTTTGATGACTAGAGATTTATATATTAAGAAAATAACTTTTATTTATTAATTTAAAAAATAGCTTACTTTTTTATTAACTAAAAAGCCTTAGTTAATGTATTTTTTAGATATGTGAGCTACACTATTTCAATGCTCCATTATTTGAAAAAAAATAGATTATCTACCAAAAGAAAAAAAGTAGATTTGAATAAGGTAAAATTATTTCTGCAGCCGTTTTACGTATAGCAACGACAGGTGTATGGTTATGATTCTCCACATTTAATGCATTCATCATTTGTATGATTATGATTCCCCGCATTTAATGTTTTCAAGTATATATATATGACAAGTATTTGATTACTACACGTACAACAGCTGCAAAAATATAAATCCCTTGAATAATATGTTAAAGCCATGGAGGCAGCTCATTAAATAGCAGATATGATCACCAGAGAACAAAGTAGATTTAAATAATATGAAACAATTTATAATAATATTCTAAAATGGAAAAGAATAATGTAAGGTAAACGCTTTTATACATATTACTTCATGATTGCATAATAATAATAATTATTTAATTATAATTGGATCTACCAAAGTTTCTATATGCATAGAATTCAATTTGACCACCTCATGTGTGAGGTAATATATATTAAAAAGAAATGAAGACATGTAAGAAGTATAATTCAATGAAAAATAATAATTATATTTTGGGATGATTATATTGTCTATTTATTTAATCAACTTACCTTTACGATTTTTTTATTATCATTGGATTGGATTCAAATCAATGATAAGAAGAGTAGAAAGATTAAATAGGTAGACAATATAATGGACCTCTATTATTAAATTTTAAATAAATTGATTGTATTTATCTTTGAAAAGAATTCTGACAAAATATTACTAATTTTAATTTGTTGTATTAACCTAGACTCACGGAGGCCCAAAGCCATTGTTTGCCACTCAAAAACAGCAACCGTGGCCCGGCCCAAATTGGCCCAGTTAAAGTCCACGACCATTGTTTATCAAAAGATGCCTCCGTCAAACCCTTTGTCTTCCAGCTTTGTTCTTTCTGCACTCTTTCTTCGCCTTCTGTGGTGACACTCAATCTCTCTCTCTCTCTCTCTGTCTTTTTAATTAAGTTTACCAGTTCACGTTTAATTTTTTTCTTTGGCTTAATATATATACATATTTTTTTTGGTTCCAACATGATTATGATGCCCAATGATGCACAACTCTAAATGCAATGAGCAGTTTTTCCATGGTTCTTAGTTTATCATTTGCTTTTCCTTACCCACACCACTCTCTCTCTCTCTCTCTCTCTCTCTCTTTCCCCAGATGCATACACACACACACACATATATATAGATTTAATATGTGGTGGTGGTTTGTGAAGGCATTTGATGAACGCCATTGGCTTTAAACTGTGTGATTGGTTCTAAGCTATGAGATCTGAGGGCATTTTCTGGGTATTTATATCAGTTCACTGTTTTTTAACTCAATTTTGTGGTTGGTTTGATTCAGTGCTTTATTTGTTGTTTTGGGTCTGGTTTTTCTGACTGAAAACTGGGATTTTTATTTTTATTTTTTTTGTTAATGATGTTGCATGCACTGGGCACTGAAAGTTTTTAGTTTTACTGAACTATTGATGGAAATGAACACCCCTGAAGTCTTCGTCTGAGCCCATAAGTCAGGGTTTGTGTGTGTGTGTTTGTGTTTCTTCTTTTTTGGGGGAGGGGAAGGGGCTACATGAATATATGATTCATGTAAATGCATGTTACTTGAATGTGTTGTTGACACTCGTTGTTGAATGTTGAACTCATAACGATGGAATTGGTACTCTGTCTCTTCTTTTTTTAATAAGAAGTCCTCCGTGCTGCGTTGATGTTAAACAACTAAAGTAGTTTTTTTTTTTTTTTTTGTGTGTTTGCATTTTCCTATTTTCCCATTGTTGAATAATCTTGTTTAGGCTGTTTCATGGATTTTCATAGAGCCTTTAGCATCATCAGACTCCGTCATCTTCATTGTTCCCTGTTGGTTTTTTTATCATTTTTTTTTCACAATTGTTTCATGTGCAGAGACAGTGATACTTTGACGGTTAAAATGACAATGACCTTAGAAATCTGTGAGATGGTGAAATTTTAGGGGTATTGTTTGGGAGATATGATTTCCGCCCCTGCTATCAACAGGTAGGTGACTGACTTATATGCTGTGGTTAAGGTATTTTTTTTCACTTATACTTGAATCCCGAGATCAAATCCACGACCATATGCTCAAGGGACCTGATCCCCTTTCACTTGGACCAACGCATGCTGGTGGTTGTTATGATGCTCGGAGTAATTAAAATTTTGCTCTAGTTCCCTGATTTATATATGTTCTATAAGTAGTGGTTTATCAACTGTTTTACAAATTTGTTGTTTTCTTTAGGAGATTTTTCACGTTCCCCCTTGATTTAAAACGTCAGAAGTTGAAATAGATAACTCAGAGCTGAAAACACATGTTTTTACTCTTTACTGAAATAACGAAAATGTAGCAAGTTGTTTTCTATGCTGCCCAATGATGGAAAAATAGACTATTGAGCGGCTACACTGGTTTTGTTCATAACTGGATCTGCACCATTCTCTTTCTCTCTCTCTCTCTCTCTATGTGTGTGTGTGTGTGTGTGTGTGTCTCTATATATATATATATGCATGTCCTAGATGGTGCAAGAAGGCTGTGAATGAGGCCAGTGACAAAAGCCGTGAATGATTTATATTTAGCTATGAGATCTGAGGGCTTTGCATTCCTTTTTTACAGCAATATCTTTATTTATTTTTTTAGGGCTATAAACACGTTCTTAGATATACAAATATGTTTACATTACATGTTACTTAATCAGAGTCATACAGTTTGATACATACTTTTTATTAACCTCTGTGAAAACTGTATGGCTTTATATATTTGATGCTCTAAAAGCCCTAACTACTGTTGATGCTACCTCTACTGGACGTCCATAATATATATATATATATATATATATATATATATATATATATAATCACTTTTCTTTAATATTTATTGATGCAAAATGATATTTCCGATAGCATGCATGGTGTTGAGCTGTTTGCTTGTTTCCTTGCTTTCATGTTCATATTTTAATTTCTTAAACTTGTACTTGGAACATGTTAGTAAGCATTTTACCATCATGTCATGTTCACCATAAAATTTATCTCTTGCCAATCTGCATGCATTATAATCCTCTATCCTGCCCAATGATGGACAAATCGACTAATGAGCGGCTGCATGGTTTTGTTCCCGACCAGTCATGCTCCATCACCTCTCTCTTTCTCTCTCTTTCTATCTATCTATGTGTGTGTGTGTGTGTGTATAGATGGTGCATGGTGGATGTGAATGAAGCCATTGCAAAATCCGTAAATGATTTTTATTTAGCTATGAGATCTGAGGGCCATGCATTCCTCTTCCCCTGTCCCAAACAATGGATTTAGGTACAAAATCAATTTTTATTTGGTCAAAGTGTCTTCCAAGACTTAAATTTCCATTATAACAGGAACTTGGGTTTGCTAAAGTGGTAATGGATTACAGAGGGGTTTGTGCTGTGCTTGCGAAATCCATATTGCGTAACAACAACATGCTATTGCAGAAGCTCAAAATCCCTAGTGTCATTGGCCAAGACAGCTCTAAATCTAAGCTTGTTCCTTTTGGCAATACATCTCATATGAGGATATTGGCACTCTAAGTGGTTATCTGCAAAATCTGATTTCACTAGCAGCCTCTGCGCTCTCTGGGGGGAGCCTCGGGGTTTTCCACCATTCCTTTAGGTAATGACTCTCTGTTCTCAGCTTCCCTTCTTTTCCTTTTGTCATCTCCCTCTCTCTCTCTCTCTCACACACACACACACACACACACACACACTGATCTCCCACTTCTCATCCCACTTGATTTGTCCTTCTCAGCTTCTCTGTCAATGCATTTCTCTAATTCCTCCTGTCCTACGTTTTTGGCAATTATTTATCCTATTTTCACTTGCAAAGGAGTTCTTCTAGTTGAAGTTCAGAACTAACATTTAAGTACTTTTGCTGCGCATGTCCCTTCAAACAGCTAAAAACTCCTTCAATGTTGACATATTTGTGGTTTAAGTAATTAATGTGTTTTACAGTTGATTTCGGTCAAACTTAGATTATTGACTTAATGAGTTATAGTTTTTTTAATTTGAATTTAGTGTCATGTTCATTTGTGGTTTTATTTGCATGTTATTTTCATTTTTGAACTGTGTGAAGTATGTATTTTGATATCATGTGTGCTATCTCTTGTCGCTATAGCAATCAGAGCTATCACTATGGCAGTTTGAATTAACTTCTAAAAAATAATTTTTAATTTATTTTTTTAAAATGTTTTTTGTTTTTTGTTGTTAAAAAATAGAAGATATTTTATGTTTGGATATAATTTTTGATATGTGCCTTTTTTCAAATGTTTGACCTGTATCCTTTGGTTATAAAAAGGTCTTTTTTTCGTAAGCACAAAAATCTAGCTAGACACATTTTTGTGCTCTTTTTAGTGCTTCAGCTTTTTTTCAGAAAGTACATCCAAACACACTAATTTTTTTTTGTAATTGGAAAGAGAGGCATATTATATAAATCTTGAGTTCTTTTGGGCACTGGTGGATTTTTTTTTCTTTGAAAAAAATATAAAAGCTTCCTGTTTCAGACAAACACAATATCTCCAGATTGTGTCTGCCTTTGCAATTTTCAGAATAATTCAACCCTCTTGGAACCTCGGTTTAGGGGTGTTCGCGGTCTGGATTGGATCGGTTTTAGAAGCAAAAATCATCCGATCCAATCCCTTCGTGTGATCATGTAATCATCTATTCGGTTTGGATTTTTTTTCAAATCCGATCCGGTCTAATTCAATTTTTTTCGGTTTGGATTGGATCGGTTTTCGGATTTTTGAAAATCCTAAAATTTCTTTCATGATTATTGTGCAAATAACATCTTTTGTATGTATTGACTCTACACAAATGAGATATGAAGCTCTTCACAAATGAAATTTTGTTAATGAGATGTGACTAGGTTTTTTCTTGGGTTTAGTTAATGGATTAAAAGATCTTGGGTTTAGACCCAAGTAGGTAGAGAGAAATTAATATATTGGATTGGTTTGGTTTGGATTGGATCGGTTTTCATCAATCAATCCGAAAACCGATCCAATCCAATTAAAATTTATTGTTTTTTTTCGGTTTTCGATTTTTCAATTTTCGATTTATTCGATTTTCGGTTTTTCGGTTCGGTTACTGCGGTTTGAATCGGTTTGGATCGGTTGATGAACACCCTTACTTACCTCGGTTGATGTTTGTGGTCATAAGTATCATTCTATAATGTAAGCTTTTCTGTATCTCTCCATTAGCCATTTATCATCTATTTGGATATGATCGAGATCAATGCATTGACTATGACATGACTACATAAGGTCTTTCTGGAAAATTTAAATTTTCTCACATTCAATAGCTTACAGATTTTATTTGACTGGTTAAATTAGATGACGTTTTAATTATGTTGTGTTTTGGCACTCGTATTTTGTAAGTTACTTTTCTATCCAATATATTATTTTCACGAGCAAATTTACCTTGTTTTTTCCTTTGTCACAAACTCAGAGTTGTTCTTTAATTATATGTTGCTGGATTTCACTTTTCACTTTTCATTTCTAGCAGATATGCTTTGGCATGGTAATTTTTTGAATTTCCTGTGGATGAATTCACTGTTATATATTTTATCTTGATATGCCCAATGATGAATTCTCATCTTAAGATATGGTACTTTGAAATTCTGAATATTATGCAAAAGCCTTTTCATCCCTTCTGCCTTTCTTGCCACTGCCATCACGCTGCTGCTGCTGCCCTACCTCTTCTTCTTCTTCTTCTTCTTATTATTATTATTATTATTATTATTATTTTTATTTTTACCGGCAGTGGGTAGAGATGGTGGAGGTTGTGGGGTTGTGTCTTGTGTGCACTGCCTTCATGGATGTTGAGAGTCTTTTATGGATGTTGAGAAAGTACTAATATGCTGATATCTGAGGGCACAGTCAGTATCTTGAATTCGAATAATTTTGTCATAATGTTCTTGGAGCGATTACTTTTACATTTTTTGCATTCTTAGTGTACTTCAGTGTCATTCGTAAAATTTAGCCCGTTGATAGATGATTAGATCATTGAGAAGTTCCATGACTTATTTCATGACTAGACATCTCTCTTCCTCCCTGTCTCGCTCCCTTCCTCTATCTACCATTCTATCTATTTGTTTTTTGCTTCTAGGTGTGTCTGTGCATGAGATGGAAAGAGGTGATCAGAAGTTTAAGTGAATAGCCACTTTTGATAATTGCAGATGACTTATACTCAACTATGGGAATTTGAGGTCTTTGATTTACACTTCTTTTGTCTCAACTTTTTGCTAGCTTTACTGTTCATGGGTTTCTTGATGTCATCTTCTGTTGATTTATGTATAACTGGACAACATTATTTTTTGGTGAATTAACCTTTCCAAAATAGTTGTACTGTTCTTTATCTGTTTTCATGCTTTTCCAAAACCAACATTTGGCTTTGGTGCTGCCGGTGAAGGTTGATTGGCTATGGGGTTCTTCTGTTGTCTCCCCCATCCTCAGCATTTTGTTTGACTTTTTTAATGTTCTTTATGGATGTTGGTTTACCCGACACTGTGCTCTATCCTTGTTATTCTGTTATGGATTCTTTTTTTAATTTCATTTTGCAATCCTCTATCCGGAGGCAACATGATTCATTCTGCTGCATATACATTTAGTCCTAAAAACTTTTTAACCCTTTAAAGATCTATTGGTTGTGATGGATAGAGAAAGGTTATCATTATCCGCTCAAATTTCAACAACGGATCAGATTATTGCTTACTGTGGGCCAAAGGTATGTCCCGGAGATATTCTTGATCTATAATTTTTTTCTTCTTCTTTTGCCTGCATTCAGATACAGTTTTTAGCAGGAGACTTCTTGTTTATTGGGATACGAAGGCAAGAAAATATTCTTCGAGAGTTTAAGCAGGAGACTTCTTGTTTTTTGTATTATTCCATTGAGGGAGTAATGAGAAATGACGTGTGATATTTTGTTGATTTTGGGTTCTGACATTTTGGATACTTGTGAAGAACTATAATCAAAACTATAATAAATAAAGGGAAAAATGTTTGTCCTTTTAAATGACACAACTTATATCCTTTCACTCTCACAAAGAGGTGAGACTCACTTTTATATTTTTCTGTTCACTCTCTCTCCTCCTTTATCTATATCTTTTTCTCACTTAAAATGACACAATTTTACATTCTTTAAAATGATACACACTTTTTCCATAAATAAATTACCATTATACTATTGAACAGATTATATATATTTTTTTTTGGTACATTACCAGGAGGTATCTCCATTCAACCTTCTCCGGGCACCATGCCCTCGGGGTACGGCCCGTTTGGGCTAGCCCCTCATTGTAACAGTGGGTGCACTAAGCTTCGCAACCGGAGAAAGGACGAGACTAATCCCTCAACCGAAATTTTTTTGGCTTATCCTCTGGCCCCCAAAGATTTTTCAAGAAAATGCTTGAGGCAGGGTTTGATCCCTGCACCAAACAATCCCTTGGGAGCTCAGCTGCCAACTGAGCTACCCTTGGGGGTTAACAGATTATACTTTTAGTGAATGGAAAAATGTTTGTCCCTTTAAAGAATATATAGTTAGTGTCATTTTAAGAGAGATAAAGACATAAATTAATATTTTTTTATTTAAAATTTAAGTTTAAAAAAAAATACTCAGTTTCTCTCATATTTTTATTATTTGTGTCCTTTTCTTACTTAAAATGATATAGTTGTATATTCTTTAATAGGACAATCACTAAATCCTAATTATGGGCCGACAAGCACTATTATTTTCTACGGAGATTGAGACTGAATCTAATCTTTTCTTGACTTTCCTTTTTATGTTGTACCTGTTTAAACTTTCAGCATCATGTTTTACCTTTATCATATTTTGTTATCGGCGCATATCATGGAGATTCTTACTTCTGTCTCTATAATTTAGGATTTTGTCTCCCCGTGCTTCTGTTTGATTCCTTTGGGAAAGGAAGCGGGTCATTATTTTGGAGTTGTTATGATGGATGAGATTCCAAATTTCAATCTCTCCTTTTACATTTTTTTTTCCCTTTTCATGGACATAATTCTCCTTGATTTAAGCTGATAAATTCAAAACTGTGAAGTGAACATTGTAATCAATGACTCCTGCATGTGTTTGGTCCGCTGTTGAGTGCTTTAATTCCTGGAATCCTTCCAAGGTCATGGTCAAGGTCAAGGATGCTTGCTATTAAAGGGATGGTAAAATTGAATGATGTTGTCTTGCTGGGGAGCTATAGGAATGAGGTGAGGTAGGAGATAAACAAAGGTCCCACCATTGATACCGCTGTATTTTATCTAATCTTTTTCAATGCAATTGTAAACATTTACTGTAAAATTACCATTCAATATATGTTTAAACAATAAGAATTTTATTAGTGGCAGATTATTTTTATACAACTGACTGTTGCAAGCCTTAAATAGCTTAGTACAGATTGAACGTGGTCACAAGCCTTTTCACAACGTAGCTTTTTTGATTAACAAAATTAATCGTGGACAAGAATATGGGTTTTATTTGTATCAAGTAACAACAAAGTCATTTTGTTTCCTGCTCTCACATCTGTAAGTGCGCTATTCTTTCTTCTTTTGTTTTTTTTGTTTCACCTAGTGGGTCCCGCTTTTGCATGTGAGGGCAGAACCAATTTTTGTTTTACAGTTACTTGATACTAATAAACCCCTAAGAATATATGTTAGGCGCAAGATAGAATTACAGAGTAGTATTTTATCCTTTGTAAGGCTTTCGAAAAGGCTGAGCAAATCTTGAATAGTTTCCTCGACTTGATTAAGCGGAGTGAATGTCTCTGATTTGTCGATGCTGCTATGAATTTTCTAACCATGTTATTTGGGTTAAATTCTAGTTGAGTTTCACTTTCAAATTCTTAAAGTCGACTTGCGTTAAACAATTGTAAAATTATGTTGAAACATAATGAGTGGTTAATTAAGTCATGCAAATTTATTTACCCAAAAAAAAGTAGTGGGGAGATATTCTAACTATCAAAAATATCTACTACCAACTCATTACCTCCACAATTACCATTGGATCAAAAAGAGGTAATACTGAAAATCTTGATCCAATGCTGATCATGAAGGTAGTGGATTGGTAGTAAATTTTTTTAGTAGTAAGAATATCCTCAGTCAAAAAAAGTAAAGCAAATTTATTTGGTTAAATAGTTTCATTAATGGCCTTTCGCATGTCCCTCATAATTTAATGACCCTTTCAACCACCAAAAAATAAAATAAAATATGACCTTTTCTAAAATATGCTCTCTATAATATATTCATGTTCATGAAAAGATTAAATTTGAAAAAAATATTGGATTTTTTTTTTTGGATATTTTAATTTTGAAAATTAATTATACAGATAAGGGCAGATTTCTATGTATAAAGCTCCTTGATTTTGTGAGGGTAGAGATTAGAATTGTCGATTGTAAGTTTGTAACAGTTTTATTCTTGCATTTTTATAAAGAAATTATTTAGTAGACTCAAATATGTGACCTCGATCACAACAACTTCAAAGCTGTGAAAAGTTACAATCATATTGATCAAATTTTAACTTTAAAAAATATTATTTTTTGTAAATAAGATAATTTAATCATATAGATCAAACTTCAACTTTGCATATCTTTTATCCCAAATAATCTTTGAAAAGTTAAGTTCATTTACATCTCTAATCAAAATTAACGATAACCATAACTTCCTTTTAAAAAATGGAAACTATAAAGTGAATATTATATGATGAATAGGAACATTGAAATTTTACCAGGACGACCTATGTGACTTTGGCTGAGGAAGTAGGGCTACACTCGACATCGATTTAATTGCAGTGCAATTATTGTCCAGCATCTTGAAAAGTTCAAATGGCTATGGATCAAGCGAGAAGGATATTTGATTTTTAACATATTATATAATACATAAAATACTAGGCGAATCTTCATTTCTCGACAACCACCGACTGCTCTAGAGGCATTCTTTTCAAACTTTTTTGTTGAAGAATATAAGCAATATTTTCCCCTTTTGCGCATGCTTGATTTTGTCGTTGAAAAGAACGTGCAAACTGTTCTCCAAAAAAAAAAAAAAAGAATGTGCAAACTACAAAGAATTTGTTTATCAAAAACTAACAAACAAAGAAGAAAGAATTCGTTCGTAGGAAAAAGTTAAAATAGTAGTTAAAATTGAAGCGTGTACAATTAAATTTTAAACGTTACAATATAAAACAGATACATTTACGAACATTAAAATTAAAATAAATTTTTTATTTAAGTTCTAATTATTGTGAAAATAATGATGTTTTTTTTTTCTTTATACCTTTTTTTTTTCTTAAAAGATATAAAGTATTGAAAGATAAAAAAGAGCCAAGCACATGTATACATCTCATCAAGTGTATTAGAGTCACTTATTCCAGTATGCATTACATCCGCATATAATTAATTAAAGGTAATGTTTGATGAAGGATCTTCAGTATCTAATTAGTATGTAAAATACTCGATAAATTGACATATAGAATATATTACATATGTCAAGCAATTACTTGGGGAGTCAACCTTTTTTTTTTTTTTTTAAGTCTCCTTAACTGGTTCATCCAGACTAGTTTGATTTTTCTCAACCTGTTTGTCTATACATATGCAAAAACATAAATTTTGGGGCATGGAGATTTACTTTGGTGTCTAACAAGATGGGATGAACTTGTTATGTGTAGGATGATGGACAGCCTTAAAGCCAGTGAACCTACCTTCTATACATGCCTTCGTTGCCTTGAGATGAGAATTGTTAAATTTTTTCTTAACTAATATTTGGTAATCATACGGCACTTGAGTGCTATTTGTTCATAGCTTGAACAAGAACAGAAACATCTAGTACAAGGACCAATCGATGTTAATCAATTCCATAACCTAAGGAAGAGCAACCCACCACAAGTGAGATTGTTTAATAATCTAAATAAGGTTTTCTTGTTCGACCAAGAAAAGAAAAACAAAGACGGAGGTGTTGGACTGTGTACGGAGAGCTCATGGCAAGGAGAAACCATTAATTACGAGCCAAGTGAATAACAATATTAAGTGGGCTCAGAACATCACAATCAAATCCAAAACTTGCATTAGGTGCATGGGTCATTCCATTTATATGATACTCACTTAGTCCATTCTTAACCAATACGAGACTTTTTCACTCAATCATTCACACTTGAATTCTTCAACATAAGGTTCCCTTTTGAAATTAATGCTCTAATTTGTTTTTCCATCTAATAATTGTGGGGTTCTATTTCGTTCATTAATCCTTTTACATATTTTTATATTTTATTTCTTCTCTTCTATGTAGCATAAATAAATATGAAGATAAGGTACCATTTAGCATCAACTAATGGCTTGCTAGAAGATGCAATAGTCACTTGTCATAGATCAATGTCACTATCCGAAAATTAAATTGACGAACCCAATATTGAAGAAATATAAAATTATTAATGTAGTCTTTAGATATTGAATATTTTGTCACTCCAGTTTAGATATCATTTAAAGAACTATTTCAATCCAAAATCTTAATAATTTTATCATTTAAAGAAATTTTTGTGCTTTGACTTCAATTTTCTACTTGTTCATCCACTTTCTCTTTTAATAAGAAAGTCAAATGCAATTAAGCTTGAAATGCACATTAATACTTGAATAAACACATTAGCAGTATAATTAGGTATGTATTATATACGGGTTCAATTTTTATTTTTTTTTCCGGAAACATATACGGGTTTAATTTAGCGTAAGTACAATTTTTTTTAACAATCATATCAAATAATATCTTTTCACATCACTAAATAACTATATTACATCAATAGCATGAAAGATTAAGTCTATTTTAATTTATAGCTAAACTAATGAAATAATAGTGTAAAAAAAAAAATTATACTACACTAAATAAAGATTAAATCCATTGCATCAACCCCTTCTCAGGTTAAATGAATTCCAGAAATTAATTAATGTCTGGGCTGTCCCATTCAATTGATCAAAACCTAAAGAGCAGGCTGCCAGCCAACCCCTTGTATGTTGAAAATATCCATTGAATAGGATAAAGCCTTTTATTTCTTCAAATTAAAGCTATTCATATAGTCCCATATTTTAGTTAGATCCTGGTTTGTCTGCATCGACATTGTCCATTTTGGTGGACTTCACTTCTTGAGACGTCACTGAAAGGAGCCTAAAGTTACATTAAATTCTCTCATTTAAGAATATTAGTGGAAGAGATAACTTTAAGAAAAAAGTTTAACATTTGGTTTGTTTTAATCATAGTTTCTTCTAACAAGTTGGGTGGGTAATGTTGGTCCGGAAGCTCGCTAACAAGTATCTTAGTTGTCATCCCTGCTTACCTATTTCTTGTACCAAAAAACAAACAAAATACAAGAATACTATATATTTGGGCCAAAATCCCTTCAACTGGATGCTGCTGGGCTAGACCTAATTCTTATTTATAATCACACATAATTTAGTAAAGTTCTTTCTTGTACTTGAGAAAAATTTCAATACACTTGGATCACTCAATTCAGTGGTCTCTTTTATTAAAAAGGGGGATTTTTTTTTGTCTTTTTTATCCTTTTTTTTTTTAAGTCTTACTTTTTTTCCGGTGATTCCGATGCACTGAAATTTTATTCCTTATACTTGACACACAATTAACTCTAAAGTTTAAGTCATTAATTTATTAAAAATAAATAAATTATTATGAGAAGACATATGAATGATTTTATTATGGGTTTTATAAGAGTTATGTTGTAGAAAAAGTGATTGTGTAATGTTATAGAGATTCGTTTTGCGTGCTGTAGTTTTTTTTTGTTTCAAAAAGTGTGGGCTCCACAAAATATTGTGTGTGTAGGAAACTTTGTTGTGTCATGTTAAATAATAAATACAAGCACCTTTTATTATATCTTTTAACACTTCCTCTTACCAACAAGTTATTTTTATATTGAATTTGAAATATAGATAATCATTTTTTATGTATGTAAAATTTAGGTGAAGTTAGATGTCATTGTCTCATTTGGATGGAAAAAGACCCCAACTTATTTGAAGATAATCTTTGAAATATGGACAATATACCAACTCAGCAATAACTCCACCAAAGCTCAAACTATTACGAGCAACACATGAATAATATCGTTATAACTTTTATTAACAATGCTTAATCTACTCAAAATATATAACTCAAGGGTCCAGATTTGCTATTTATAGTTGGAAATAAATTTTAGAGTCTACTACTCAGACCATATCAAATCGTTGATTATAAATCTTTAATAGACTCGGTCCACCTAGAATATAAAAATTATAAATTTTAATATCAAATTTTATAATTAATAATTTTTGAAAATACAATTTATAATTAATTACCACAATAAAATTAAAGTTCCTGAAGAATATTTCAATTTCATTACTAAATAGTGAGGTTTACTCGGACACATCATTCAAAAGTTACGTACCTCACATCATGTTACAATAATTATGAAGAAAAATATAACTTTTCTGAATAAAATGACAAAACAAATTATAAATGTATAGAAGTTAAAGTTATTATAATTTTAAAACGGGCTTTAATTTTCTATCACGGCGGCAGATAAAATATTTCTGTCACAAGTTTTTTTTTAAAAAAAAACTGGGACTCACAGAAAACTGTTTTTATAATAAAAGCCGAAACAAATTTCTGTTTTAAAACACTTATAATTTCTTATCGGCATAGTATAATGTTTTTAACTTCAATATATTGTGATAACTTTTCTAAAAGTTATTGCAATTTCATGATAAAACATAATTTTATTTAAAGTTGATGTAACGTGTCGATACCTAAGTCATCACTTCAAACATATTATCTATAAGAAAAAGTGAAATAAAAATATATAAAAAAAAATGTCATGATCGATGAGAGTTGAGTGTCACGTCACATCTATCAATAGAAGCAATAATGATAAAAAAAATGTTTATGAATGAAATGGTCCAATTGGTAGCTTGGGCAGTCCAAACGGATAGATATAATATGGCACTTTTGCACCTTGAATTATTGACGAGCCCATGTTTTTGCGCAGGGATATATCCGTCAATATACCGAAATAACAACACATATTCACATGTCACCTTTTTCTTTCTAGAAAGCGAGCATCGAGTAAAATGAACAGATCCAAATCCCTCTCACGCGCCAACGTAGACTCAGTTGTATCCGCGACGTGTACCAAGTATACCAACCGATAAAGACTCTTTCTCAACTCATTACTTTTTTTTTTTGTTTTTTTGTTTTAAATTAATTATACAAAACAAAATTTACAGGAATTTAAAAGTTAAAACAATATTTCAAAAACTTCTTTTTTATTCATAAAACCCCTTTTAATATTGGGTAGTCATCTGACTATACCATTAACATTAACGGATAACGTTATCTATATTTTCAATAAATAAATAAATATTGTTAAACATTTGATTCATGGCATTGCACCACGTGGTGCGCCATGTATCGCAGTTCCATAACTCCTTAGTGCATAGACTGGTAACTTTTAGATTCCCCTCGCAGTCAGGTGGTATTCTACAGGGGGAACAATAGAATTATAAAAATGTCTCTGTCCCAAAAATCGACGGTTCAGATATCATCCGTACGATTTCATATGATCTATACCGCTAAGTCAGAATCTTTGTTCTTGCCACCGTGTCCGAAACGTATGCGGTGCGTGTTCAAAGTTCAAACTCCTCGCTTAACCTTAATGTATTTTATTCACTCATTAACTAAGGATTAAAAGTTAAAATTCTTGATTGCTTCTAATTATAGAAAATGACTTTCCAATACATATTTTTTTATTCATTTTTTGTTTTGGCGTATTTAACTGTTTTCTTTCTTTTTCTCTTTTTTTTTTCCAACTACCAAAAAACGCGGTCCAATTTTCCCCAATATAATCCCTCTCCTTCCTACTAGGATTCCATGCCTCACTTCTCCCCGCATTTTTCTCCTCCTTCTCTCACTCCCTTGTCTGATTCTCTCTCTAACCGTTTGAAAGTTTCTGACTTTGGTTTGTTCATTGTCGGTTTCCTTTTTTCCTGGGTTCAAACTCAATTTTGGTTTTCACTTCTGGGCTTTCCAATTCAAGAGATAAAGTTTTCAAATTGTAGGGGAATTTTTTGTTAAGGGGAGTTCAATTTTGGATTTTTGGGTAAATTTTGGGTTCTTGATTCCTCAGTTTTCAAATTGGAGATAACTTTTTTGGGTTTCAGGTTTCAAAAATTGGATTTTAAGAAATGGGTATGTGAAATTTGGTTTTTCCATTTCCGGATTTTGAAATCTAAGACAGAAAGTTTTCAAATTGGAGAGAAATTTTTTGTTTCCTTATTTTTGGCAACTGGGTCTGTGAGATTTTGAGGGAAGAGAGTGTGAGCTTCTGTAACTGGGAGTTTTATTTGAGAATGCGCGCGACGGACTATCAAGGTTCGTCTCCTTCGTCGTTAGCCCATTTTGGCCGTTCAATTCTGAGTCTCCGTCGTGATCAGGTTCAGGTTCACTCCATGGAAGGTTCAAGCTTGGAGGTTGAGATGGAGTCCTTTCAGCAACACGTCACTGACCAGTTCCTTGAACTCTCTTCAGTTGGTCAGGATGAATTGCTTTCACTCTCGTGGGTTGGGAAGCTCCTTGATTGCTTCCTCCGTTGCCAAGAGGAATTCAGGGCCATTCTCCATTCTCACAGGGCACAGGTGTTGAAACCCCCTTTGGATCGCATGGTCTCTGATTACTTTGAACGCAGTGTGAAGGCATTGGATGTTTGTAACGCTATTCGCGATGGGATTGAGCAGATTCGCCAATGGCAGAAGCTGTTGGAGATTGTGCTTTATGCATTGGGGCATCAGAGGAGCATTGGTGAGGGTCAATTTCGTAGAGCCAAGAAGGCCCTCATTGATTTGACAATTGGGATGATGGATGATAAGGATTCCAATCCTTCTATTGCACATCGAAACCGATCTTTTGGCCGCAACACTGGTAGCAGAGACCATAACCATAACCATAATAATAACAGCAACCATCACCATCGGTCTTTGGTGCATTTTCGATCACTTTCATGGAGTGTTTCTCGTACTTGGTCTGCTGCAAGGCAGCTCCAAGCAATTGGAAACAACGTGTATCCCCCTAAAGCAAATGATCTTGTGGCATCTAATGGCCTTGCAATGCCCGTGTTTATCATGAATTCGATCCTGTTGTTTGTGATGTGGAGTCTTGTAGCTGCAATTCCATGCCAGGACCGTGGATTACATGTCCATTTTACCATTCCGAGGAATTTCTTATGGGCTGCTCCAATGCTCTCGCTTCATGAAAGGATCATGGAGGAGTCGAAGAAAAGGGAGCGGAAGAATGCTTGTGGCTTGCTCAAAGAGATTCATCAGATTGAGAAATGTGCTAGAGTGATGAATGAATTGGCTGATTCTGTGCACTTCCCATTGACGGAGGATAAAGAAGGGGAGGTTAGACAGAGAGTGCAGGAGGTTTCACATGTTTGTGATGCTTTGAAGGATGGACTAGACCCTTTGGAGCGCCAAGTGAGGGAGGTGTTCCATAGAATTGTTCGCAGCAGAACAGAAGGGCTTGACTCTCTTGGCAGGTCAAACTATACTGAGTAACTTGTTGCACCCTTCATTGCGAAATATGAAAATAGAAGTTGAGATGATATAATAGACTTATTTTGCTTCCATATAAATAGAAGACTACTAGGAAATGAAGAAGCAAGAGACTAAAAATGTATAGAATTTAGGATATTTGAAGGGGATTCTTGTGGTCCTTGGTGTTTGTTTTTCTCCCCTATCGTTTTTGTCTTTTGATGTTGCTATTGTATAATCAATTTTCTGTAACCTGCTGCATCCTCATTGTAGCTCAATTTGTTTATGGGTATGTATTAGATACATCTCCTTTTGGTTCATATACTTAACAATTGTATTTGGAAGAGCAGATTGTTATAAAATCTACTCTTCCTTTTTCATTAAACTCTTTGGACTAATTGTAGAAAGGCATTAAAGTTAATCAAATTTCTGAGGAATATCTGCCTGTCTTCCACAGCCTTTGTTCTGTTTCTCTTTTCCATTATTATTTCTGGACTTGAAATGTGAATGGCATTGACGACGGTAAAGTATTTTGTTCAGCTCCAGCCCTACAATTGGTGTTAGGAAAATATGGTCTTAGTCTAACGAAGATTTTGCTTTAGCATTTGGGCTTTAAAAAATTCATTCAATGTAATCAAAATCAAAGTTTCACCGTAAAAAATAAACCAGTGTCTCACCCTTGACCCTTTCATTCTCTTTTACTCTGCCGAATTGGGTATATCACAAGTTATTAAGTTATTTCTGTCTTATTTAGCCCGTTGTTCCCTTGTTAAGATTGCAGTCTTACGTAATTGAGAATTGAAAATTTTACAGCAACTGTGCAGTGTTATAGATTAATCTTTAATGAGTTTGAATTTTCAGTCAAGGCATTGAAGTGGGTCGACTTTGACCTGGCTTCTTGCCCTCCAGAATTGAATTTTCATGGCAGTTTGACGTTAGTTCCTGGTCAAGGTAAACTTTGTTGACCAGATGTCCATTTATTCTTTATGATCTCTTATATATAACGCCATCTTGAGTTGCCTTATTGGGTAACATTTGTGTTAGAACGTAGGAGTGTTGGCAAAATTTTATGATGGTCTCTCTCATTTTCAGCGGTAAAATTCAGCGGGTAAGGTAAAGCTATACGGATAATGTTCTATTATTCTATACATACAAAAGTTTTTTTTTTATTTAATATCAATTTTTTTTTTCTCTTATCTCATTCAATTCGATAAATCTGAACAATTGTAGTCTATTTTGATGTCTTTTAAGGATCTCTAAAATAATATTATGGAAGCGGTAAGGCATGCAATTTTTACGTGGATAGTGCCTTCATGACAAATTTTACAAGTATCACTTTATCTATCTGTATGCACATGTTGTTGTTCCTGTAACTTGTACGTAAGTTTAGGAGAATATATTATTTTTGTTACAAGCAAACTGTTGTCTTTTCAGCTCAATACAATGTGAAGAAGTTAGGAAAGAAAATGATCTGCTCTTGGTCCTTTAGTCTAAAATATTAAAGGACTAAATTTCAATGGGATACTAGAAAAGGACAAAAGCTGAATGTAAAACCTAGCTTCCTTTCTTTCTAGCTAGTTATGTTGTAACAGGATAACAAGCTGCTTCTGAAAATAGCAAAGTGCCCACGTTAGAGTTTATTATGCACATGGTGGTAGGGCTAGGTCCACTCAAGTCTGGAAGTTGATTGATGAAACAATCTACTCAACAACAATTATTTTTTGTATCCAAGTGTCCAAAACAATTCAACCTGAATACGTGCTACTTAATGATATTTTTTATTGGAGAATAATAGCACAAGTACCTAAAAAATTATTTGAATTATTTTTTAATGACACGACGATATATAATTATGATAACACAAAAAAGTTTTGTAAACTATTTTATCAGAAAGGAATTCAACGATTAAAATTTAAGTGTTCAGGATTAAGTCTAGATCATTTTAAAAATCTCCTCATCCGGCCGCATGTGAGATTATCTCTGTTAAACACAAAGCAAAGATGGAATTTAATTGTCCAATGAGCTTCTAGATTAACTGAGTGATGTTGCATCATCCACATACATAAGAGCATATTTTCAGTGGCTTTGTGAAACCTACAAACTAGGGACTTGTCAAGGGACTCAAAGATCCCCAAAAGTTACTAACAATTAACTGAAAGGTTCGGTATAAATAGTTGAAGTATGTATCACGGGAGTCTATGGGATTTGCCCACACAAGAAGCCGCACAGAAATCATGTCAAGTTTTAAAGCTAAATAAAATATTACATTGTTGGAGTATAAATTTTGGGGTCTTCGTTGTAGTTTGTACATTGTTCAAGTTTTTTTTTTTTTTTTAATATTCCAATCGATTCATCACATCTTTATTGTTATAGTCTGATTCGGGACTCGTCTCAGGTTTAAGGCTTTAAACCCCTCCCTAAAAGGGTATTGGAGAGGATTAAACACATGCTCTCATCCCATCTATCCAATTCCCTTACGCCCAATGGCGGACCTAAGAAAAATTATTTATGTCCGCACATTTAGTGGTGGGATTCGGGGGCAGCGCCCCCGAAATTGTTTTTTGTAAAGAGAGTTTAGAGTAACGCTTTATGTACAAGGTTATGAACTCGCTCATAATCTAGTTGTTTCCGTAACAAGCTGCAGACAATAGTTTAACCAATCATTCCCCCCTTAAATTTTGAATTTGTGAGGGATCACGATTTTAACTAAATTGGTCCACTTTGAATTTCTTAGGAACCTCAAGACTATTTTTTTTTTTATAAGGAACTAAGGTGGAGACTGTATTTTTTATTAAGGACATAAAAGGATATTTATTCCTAATATAAATATTGAATCAAGATACAAATAAGAACCTGCAACAAAGAAAAAGAAAACTAAAATCACAATATTTATGTCCGCACTTGTGGACATGTGCCCCCACCTAGGTCTGCTAGTGCTTACGCTAACTGAACTACCATAATTTGGTACGTTGTTAAAGTTAAACTTAGAGTTTTATCTAAAAAAAATTGTGGTTTGCATTTGGCTCACGAAAGAATATTCAATGCAAAAATAAATCTAAAGATTCATATTTGGGCTTGGTTTTTGTTTCATGACATACCTAAAGGACATATAATTGCTCCAAATTCCGGTTGCAGATTTAGCTGATCTTTACGATTGAATAGTTAACCATGGCGATTATCAAAGTGGATCCTCTTCATCTGCTTTAGAGATGGTCAAATCATTTATTTCTCTACTCTTTGATTTTCTCACGGTACAAACTAGAACTTTCGCTATGTAAAATATCATAGTAGGGGAAAAGGAAAGAAACAGGATACATGATGTTTTGATATACCTTAGTCCTCTTCAATATGAAATAGCACTGCATTTGAACCTTCATAACATACATTTTTGCTTCATTAATCTTTATATCCTTTTCATCATCTTAACTTAAATATATTCCAGAAATGCTAGACAAGTTATCCGATACGGAAGACAAATCATTTTTAACTTCCAAGAAAACAGTTCCTCTGTTTTTTTCTTCTCTGTCATGAAAATGTATGCTCATACGGCTACCCATTATTTGTATTAACATAACTGATAAGCCACACTGTCACTGTTGTATACAAAGATATTGTGAAATGTAATAATTTCTGTTCAAGTTTGCCTTGTGGTCAGCTATTCATCATCTAATAATATGATTACAAAACATTCTTTAAGGATGAAAATGATATGCAGTATGCATGGTTGATGAGAGAATCTTATAACTATAATTAAGTGGACCACCCCTTGTCTTTGCTAGAGGTTAAATGTAATGTACTCTCCATAAGTGTATATATATGGATACATAAGATATTCTTTTATAGGTTACGACAGGCTAAAAAAAAAAACTTTGAATAAACTAAAATCAACTCTTTCTCACTCTAATATAGTGCATTACAAGAAAGATAAGAGATACAAGCAAAGTTGATCCTCCAAGAAACAAAGGAGGACAAGGTTTCCATGGTTTTTTAGGACCTCGCTTCTTCACTGGAGCAGTTTCCTTTTCAGTCTTATCTGGAACATTTTCTGGTACACTTTGCTCTGGCTCTGGTGTCACGCTATCAACAACCTCTTCTTCCTTCACCTCCTCTATTCCAACCCCACACACTCCTTTTACCATTTCCGTTTTTGGCATCACAATTGTCAAAATTGCATCCTCTTCGTTATATTTAGCCTTGATCCCATCCAAAACCACCCCACCAGGGATTTTAAACTTCTTTCTAAACCCTTTGATTTTCATCTCTTTCTTGAACGGTATAATCTGCATTTCTTGCACCTCCTTCTCCCCACTCACTGAAATCTGCGTGCCATCTTGACTAATATAGATGTCAATGTTCTCTTTCTTATAACCTGCATTTTCACATTAAAATTAGAATTAGCAAAGAAAGGGAAGAAGAAAACAAACAAAAACTTTATTCTAAAGAGTTGAGAGTGAAGAAACCTTTAAGGTGTGCAGTGAGGAAGAACATTGAATCAGTTTCTTTAGACAAGAAGACAGGTCCTGCCCTGTCTTTGGCAAACTGAAAATCAGAAATGGAAGTGGTATCGTCTCTGGTTCTTGTGATCTTGAGTCCCAACTCAACCTCCATAGTTGTTGATCCTTAATTGTTCCTGAAATTAAAGAAAACACATCAAAGGAAATGTTTCAGTTTTTTGTGTTTCTTTGAATGGACATAGCGGTGAGCATTTTTTTGTTTTTTTAGAGTATCCTAGTGCAGTTTTGTAGTTCCAAAAACAAAACTGTGCAAGTAAAGCATATATTCGTTTCTTCATTATACAGTATGTATATATTGGCAGCAAAGCGCAAATCGGCTAAAACGTTGCTCATTTGCTTTTCTGTTACTATTCCTATTTCATATTGCCATTATGGGGCAGGGGTGTGGGTTGAACCGGGTCAACCCGTCAAAACGGGGCTGGTTGGGTTGGGTTGGGATTTTCAATCCACCAACCCACTTCTACCCGCCTCACTTAAAAGTGGGTCAAAACGGGTTCAACCCGTCGTGAGATGGGTTGACCCGCCAGGTTATAATTTTATTTATTTATTTTACAATTAGGTAGTATTTTATTAGTCTTTAATATTAAAATTTATAAAATATAATTTATTTTTGAATTTTAATTAATTTTTTTTAATTAGCGGGTTGGTGGGTTGACCCGTCAACCCGTCAACCCACCATAAAACAGGATGAGTTTATTTTTCCAACCCATATTTTTTGGCAAGTCAATCCGCCCTGCCCTGTTTTTTGCCGGTTGGTGGCGGGGCGGGTCAACCCAAATTGCCACCCTTACTTTGTGGGTATTTACTGCATTTGAAGGTGAAAATAAGGGATTCTTACCTAGATATAAAATTATCAAATTAGCCTCACCAACGCATTAAAGCTTTGAGTTGAAATAATTTTTAACATAATATTAGAGTTGAAGTGACAAAATGGTCATGAGTTCGATTATTTTGTGATGGAATTAAGTAAATATAAAATAAAATAAAAAAAATTACACAGCATAAGGTAGATCAAGAATAAATACGTGTAATATTCACGCATCAAACTCAAAATACTCTACATGAGGATATATATTAAAGAGATATAAAATTATTAATATAATTTCATCCATTACCTTAAAATTTTGAGTTAAAAAGATTATTTATAAGAAACTTCTTGAACCCAAACTAGCAAAAACATGTGCTTTTGGGCCAAAATATACAAAAAAACATATTGGGTTTTTGATAATTATGATTTTATTTGAGGACCAACAATGCAATGCACAGAATGTAGCTCAACTTTTATTCCAAGATATATGAAGCCTTATGTCCCAATTCGATTGGGTTTCTTATGTGCATGACCCCAAGAATCATTGAAGTTCTGCCCATGCACTCGCTACCGGCCAGGGTTGTAAAACATTAAGTGCAGAATGGTACAGGGGTTGTTTATACAGTTTTGGGAAGGGAAACGTAACGCCCTTGATTTTGGACCATCTGCCACAAAAGTTGTACCGGTGTTCGTAACCTTATAATAAAAACAAGAACAAGAATTTTCTTTTTAATTCTGAACATTATATCATTTTTATAAAGAACCAATTCTGAACATTATACCATGTAAAGAACCAATTCTACCGAAAAGTTTAAGCTGTTGAGTGAGGCTACGTTAATAGTTTTATATATCTTAACAATTTTTTTTTTCATTTTTCATTTTCTCTTTTTGGTTGTTTGCTTCAGGTTGCATTATAAATTGTGATTAAATATAATCAACAAAAAAAAAAATTCTTTGTTAATTTGTATGACATATCAGGTTAGTTTTTTTTTATCAAATATAGTGAGAGTAAAAAAACTACTCTACTTATATAATTTTTATAACATACCCTTACCTGCTTAGTTAATGTTTTGTGTTAGAAAAAAATGATATAAAATATAAAATTATTAATGTACATTCATTTTATAGGTTAAATTTTTAGTTTAAATTAATTATTTTACATAATATCAGAATTTCTATATGTCTTATTTGAGAGGTCGTATTAAAGATTAATAATATATAAAATTATTAAATTATATTTATCTAATAATTTAAATTTTTAGATTGAATTAAATCTTTATATTTCAATATTATAAATGAATGAAGTGGGACCTATGGTGTTTTTGAAGTCACATGGGATCTTTTAACTCACAAGTTTCCCCTATCCATGGGAAGACACCTTTGGTAGAAGCATGGCCATTAGATGTAAATGTGAAAGATGCAAGTCGTCAATCCCAATCCCCATCCTAATCAGTTGGTGAGATGTATCATTAATTCCCTCAACCAAGACCTAAAGGCCTCCTGTAGGCTACGTTGTCCATTTTAAGGTGCACAATGCATTCAACTTTCATTAAAATCCATGTTGCCCCACAGGGTGCTTATTGCAGCACACATGTCCACCACTTGCTGCATATAATATGAGTGATTGTCAATGGCTTCTTCATCGCTTTCTAGTGATCTAATCATGTAATGGATAAGGCTGTATTTTATAAAATTGATAATTTTGGGATCTGAAACTTTAGCACTGAACTTATGAACGAGAAAATAAATGATAAATTTATATTGTTTGAAGAAAATTTGCATTTTAAATGCCTAAAATATATTAAAGAAACAAAATTAGTACTTGATATTACAAATGTTTATATTAAAGGAAATAATTTTATTTAATGATCAAAATATATAAAGACTTGTGGCTTGATAATATGATCTCTAATGTTAATATTTTACGTACTTGTGGACACGAATAAATTAAATTTCAATTAAAACGTAGCGTGATCCGAAAAAATCGGGTGATTTAGTAAGAGCATGTGGACGAGCTAATTAAGGTGAGTAGTTTGGACAAAACACAAAAGAAAATGTTTGACTAAATAAATTCAAAAATGTTTTCCGTCTTTTTTTTTATACCTACTTTAATTATCTCTTTGAGAGAAAATAGTTTTGATATTTTCAAAAAAATTAATTTTTTAAATAGGCTATGAGACTAATTTTAAGTTAAAACTTAGTAGAGTATTTGATGTGAATCGAATCCAAATTCTATCTTCACCTACTCATTTTATATTGGCAAATGATCTAATGGAATATTTTTTATGTCTAGTTTGAATCTGTTGGTATTTGCATGGTTGCAAATTTTTCTTTGGGATTTACATTTTATATATGATTTTATGATCTAAGACCTTTTTTTATGGTTATTCAAGCTTACGAGTTTAAATGCAGTTTGCTTCCGTCTAATAATTAATAAATATATAATAATATAATTATTATAATTTATTAAATGAATTTCTATATTTTCGTATATTATAATTTATTTTCTTATTTAATTAGATTGAAGAGTATATATATATATATATATATATATATATATATATATCAATATTAGTGCTAGCTTGTGTTTGTATAACGCATCTTTCACATTAATATTCATATAATTTTTTTATTATAAACACTTCCATCCTTTATATTCTCCTTTAGTAAACATCTCTATAATTTAAACAAGGATATAGTGTATATATATATATATAACATAAAATCATAAAAAGTCATCTCAAATTATTATACGATATCATTATGTACTTAACATAGCACATATGAAGCAACACGAAGGAAGCATTCTCCAAACCACTCAAAGTAAACCGGAAGATAAATTATAAAGATACACACATATAAGCCAAAAGCATAACAAGACAAAGGAATGAATATTGGAAATCCTTGTGTGCTTAATTTTATATATGTTCAACCAAACAGATGGTGGTGCTTCTTTCCATGAGCTTCCTCGTCTTCCTCCTTTGCTTCCTTTTTCTCATGATGCTCATGAAAGGCGAACCCACCAGCTCCCACTGCAGCTGCAGCTGCAACCTCCTCTTGTATCTTGTGCCTGTGAGCATTCTCTGGATCTTTCTTTGCCTCGTTCTTCTCATGCTATCAAATCAATTGCAGTAAATAAAATTAATCAATTATCCCTAAGGTGAAAAACCTAGGCCTAATTTAACATGTAAGTGGTATATAACATTATTTTAAAATAAAAACACAAATTAAAATGACAAATATATGTGATATCAAAATCATACAACAGGAAGGTTTTAGTTTTCAATCTCATAATAGATGAAATTATGTCTTGTGATCTCAAAATAACATCATTTCATCAGTTTGTGAAATTTAAAATATTTTTTTTCAACCCAAAATAAGATAATTTTGAGTAATCAATTAAAGAATAATATAAATCATTAAAAAAAAATTCACCCAACTTCTTAAAATTTTGGATTAAATTGATTCTTTATATGGTATCGAAACTTCAATGACTATAAGATCATGCGAGTTTAATCCTCACTATCTCACTTTGAAGTGAAATTAAATAAGCAAAGTTAAACCCAAAAAAGAAGAAGAAGCAAATAGTATCAGTAAAGGAAATTACCAAGGCATAGATACCAGCAGCTACAGCACCAACCCCACCAAGTTGTTCAAGATGCTTGTGGTGCTTCTCCTCCTTCTTATAGTCAACCTCATCATCAGGTCGAGAAGTATCATCGCCATAGCCGCCACCACCACCAGTACCGGCACCATAGCCACCACCAGTAGTGGTGTCAGAGTATCCTCCACCGCCGCCGCCACCAGTACCATAGCCGCCACCAGAAGGTTGATCATCAGTATAACTTGTCTTGTTATAACCAGATTCATAGGCACCACCACCAGAAGGCTGATCATCAGTAGAGTATGAAGACTTATTGTAACCAGTTTCATAGCCACCACTAGATGGATCATCAGTGGAGTATGATGACTTGTTGTAACCAGAGTCACCACCACCACCAGATGGATTATCAGTGGAGTATGATGACTTGTTGTAACCAGAATCATAGCCACCACCAGAAGGTTGATCAGCAGAGTATGATGACTGGTTGTAACCAGTGTCAGAATCTATAGGCTTATCCTCGTCGTCGTCCTTGTGGCGGTTGAAGAGGCCATGGTGGTGTTTCTTCTCTTCAGACATGATGATGGTTGCAAGGGATAGAATTGATGAAGAAGAAAGTGGTTAATTAAAGGTTGGATGTGAGAATTGTGAAGCACTAGTTTCCCATTTATAAACTGATTCATGATCATGTTACACTTGCTGGTTAACGTTCCTGCTTTCTTGGTAGGCCATAAATGATCTTGTGCAAGATTGGAATGCTTTATGACTTTTTTCTCCTATGCATTTAATTCTATTTGCTAAATCCTTTTTTGATATAAGTTATTAAATATAAGTGAAATCAATTATTAATATATAACATGTACATGTAAGTTGTTCCTTCTCTATTTATCTAGCTCTCTAATAATACATCTGAACTTTGGATAATCTAATCTGAACAACGATATTTTATGATTAGGAAGATCAATGTTTTGTAAGATTTTTTTTTAAAAAAATTTAAAATACTAAACAGTTTTTTATTTTTTTTGAAAAAATACTTTATTAATTATTAAGAATTTTAAACATGCTTTTGAAAAGTTTGAACAAACTGACTCTTAATCACATAAAGGGCAATGCTGGGAAATACTTTATTAATGTTGAGACTGTCGACATATTGTTGCATGAGTATTTTATTGCATCCTGTAAAATTTAAATAATTGTAGTGATATTAATCTCAAAATTAAAAACATCATCCGACGTCGGAACTGTGGAGTGTATAAATACTGGGTAGTAAAATCTAACAGAACAAATCCTAATTAAATAAATACACAAATTTGAACAAATGGTTATATAGAAGCAAATCAGTTAGCCACATATGGACAAAAATATTTTAGATTATTCTTTTGATATTTTTTTTTTATATAAAGGTAGGGTTTTATAAGAGTTATGTTGTAGGAAAAGTGATTGTGTAATGTTATAGAGATTCGTTTTGCGTTTTTTTTTTGCTTCAAAAAGTGTAGGCCCCACAAAATGTTGTGTGTGTAGGAAATTTTTTTGTGTCATGTTAAATGATGAATGCAAACCCCATAAAGGTATATCAGAAAATATTATTATAAGCTTTTATTATTGAGATTAGTGGTATATTTTGAAATTTAAATACGATTACCTCTCCTCTCTGAAAAATTTCTCTCATTTTAAAAGAGACAATATCAATATTATTAGTATGATTTTAATTTTCCCAATGCTAAAAAAAAAGCATATCTTTCATTTTACTGTTTATAAAAAAGCTGCACTTCTTTTTCCTATTATTTACCATTATACAATAAATACTGATCAGAATCGATTTTACAACTGGGCTGATATGTAATATACCTCTAGTCCTCTACACAAATAGTCTGGAACCGCCTTGAGTCAGAGCAGCCGGCAATTGGAGTAACTTTAACCCATTGGTCTTCAATAGAACAAAGAGGGGATGTACCTGCAAGATACTCTGACGCTCAAGTCATATTTGGTTCAACCAAGTTTTAATTATGTAGAAGAAGATGTGTACCTTGGGTTAACACATATGTATTTATAATAGAGAGATAATCAGCTTGTAAATGGTGAGGCAGCAAGTCTTCTAATTGGTTACTGTAAGTGGCTGAGATAAGCTTTGCTTAGTGATGAAGTTTTCTTGTCTTGGTGCCAAATTAATATGGTTGTAATAGTTAATGTTGAAGAACTTGCTGAGATGAGCTTTGGGAGATGAAGAAGAGGTATCAACCTTTGCTGACTAAAACTTTGCTTAATATGATGAAGACTTTGAATATGAATTTATTTTACGTGTACCTCATATTAATATCCAGATCAGATACACTAATCACTTTTGATAATAAATACTCACTAATTAATTTTATATATATTACAATTTAAAACATATTTTATAATTTTTTATTTATAATTTTATCCATTTTCAAAATATATATCCAATACAAAAATACTCACTAATTAATTTTGAATTAATTGCTAGAAGGAATGGGCGAAGCGTCTTCCCCTCCTCTTTGTCATAAAAGCGCAAAGCTCTAGTTGATGATAACTTCCAATCTTTATGGTAGACCCACAAAATTGTCGGTTGGTTAATGTTCGTTGTCGACTTTTCATTTGATTATTTTACTTTTTCTGATTTTCTGCATTAGAAAACATTTATATTACTTAATAATTATGTGAACAATTTCAATATCAAAAAATAAGTATTGTTTTAACAAATATACGTTTTGAATAATTATATGTAGTGTTTTACTAAAATTATGATTTACAATGTGTAATTAATTGTGATATTAAATATTTATTTTTTAATTATATTTAATTCCAGTTTATTACTATCGAAATTATGGTGCGTGCTGTTATTATAACTATTTTCTTTTTTGACTTTTAAGAATGTCTTGTGCTAGAAGGCAACGAAATATAAATATGTAAGGACGTGTTGTGAAACTCTGAGTTCTGACTATGTAATCATAGCTCCCCGACAAAAAATAAAGAAAGATACAACTTGCTTATGCTTTACTGATTGCATGTTGATATTTTATAGGTGAGAGAAAAGTCGTAAAAGTGTTATTAATATGTTCAAAAAAGTTAAACTGGGCTTTTATTCTAAAAAAATAAAAGTTCAAAAATGAAATTATTTTTTTTTAGAAAATATTTTTAAACCTAACATTTATGACTTAAAAAAAATCCAAAAATAATTATTATCTTCAAAATTTAATTTTGCCTCAATCCCATCATCCCACCACCATTAATTTAAAATAGGGAAAAGTTCACCAATGTCCCTGTGGTTTGCTTCAGAATCATTTATGCCCCTGTGGTTTTTTTCTATCACATATGTCCCTGTGTTTTGTAAAAAATAAGAAACCACAGGGGTATATGTGATAAAAAATATACCCTTTTACAAACCACAGGAGTATATGTGATAAGAAAAAAACCACAGGGACATAAGTGATTCTGAAGTAAACCACAGGGGTATTGGTGAACTTTTCCCTTTAAAATATTAGCGTTGCCTTTATCACCTCGTCTGTGATTTACTATTACCATCACCATCGTTATTGCTTATCACGAATAAATTTTGGGTACATATATTATTAGAGAATAATACAAATATTAAAAAAGTTCTCATTCAACATCTTAAGATTTTGGGTTGAGTTAATTTTTTAGATGATATCAGAGTTTCAGTGACCATAAGGTCATGAGTTCGATCCTGCCCCCCATTTTCTAGGCCTGAGCAATATCCACGCTTCAAACCCGAAAAAAATTGGCTGACATATTGTTGAGATATATAGTTCCACATTAGTTGTATGTGCAACTAATGTGGAGTTTATAAGTCCTTAGGCACTCCCACATTAGCTTTTGGGGTGGTGTATATGTGCAACCAGACTCTGATACCATGTAAAGAACCTTGGGATACACCACCCCAAAAGCTAGCTCAAAGGGTGGGAGTGTCTAAGGACTTATAAACTCCACATTAGTTGCACATACAACCAATGTGAGACTATATATCTCAACACATATAATATTTTCATTGGTGGAATATACTAAATTTTACATATAATATTTTTATTGATGGAATACACTGAATTTTTGGTGCAACGGTAACACTAAAAATTTACTCATGTATCACTACCACATTCATTTATTAGCATCACTCTCGCCCCCAGCACAATTTAAAAGATAATTGATGAAGAATTTGCAGTTGATCAAAGATTAGGATGAATTTGCTTTTATAAATCATTTTGTAATTTTATACTTTATTTTTTTTTTTTCAATTTAACCTTCGAACGTATTTTCTATTTAAATATGATTGTGCCATACAAATGTATTTAAATGCAAAACAATTTTAACTTTTGATAACAAAAATCTTCTAAAAAAATAATGAATCTTTTTTAAAATCCCTTTAAACACATTAAAAATTATCGTTAGTTAAAAACTGAAATTTATTGCATAACATCCTTAAAATTTTCAACGAATAAAGGTAAATGGAGATGGGAGTTTTTAATAAATCATATAAAAAATAACAAATAAGAATTAAATATAATTCATAAGCTTATTTTTTCAATTCTATACTTGAAAAGACAGTCATGAACATTTATAATATGAAAATGAAGACAATATAGAGTTGCCTCTTTTCATAAGTATAAATAACGAACTATTTTAAAATCTTTTGAAGTCTTCGCATCATTGTTGTAAGTGTTTTTTATTGTGTGTTTCAGTTCGTATATTATTTTAATTTTTGCATGCTTATATAGTTATATACTAATATTATAATGTTCACAAATTTTAGACGTTAAGAACTTGTATTTTATTTATTTATTTTTTAATAAGGAGGAAGAACTTGTATTTTTTAACCTCAATAGGTGTAACAGTTGATAAGGGGGCAATGTGAATTCACAAATTTCGATTTTTAGGTGAAATAACGTGGGCTCAATAGTAAAAGTTTTGAGAGTGAATTCTTTCATATCAAAATTTTATATAATTTGATTATATAAAATTTTTGTGTCTATTTTTCTCTTTATTTGCTTTAAATAAATAATATCCAATTATTAATAATAAAAAAACAAATAAGCAAAAGTTTCATCTGCATCCTTAAGAGAATTGGATGAGAGACACTCTTACAAAAAAATCTTGTATTTTAAAAATTGGGAATAGTAGTATTATCCATTGGAAAAATCATCAATGTCATTTTCAATCATTGTCCCTTTGGCTTTTTTTTTTTATGCTTTGGACGAGGAGCAGATAATATGGACGGTGACAATGACTATGACCCAATTGAATGGCAGTTGCCACTTGCCAGTTGAACTGTTGGTAGTGTCGGCAGCAAAGTATATTCCATTCTTACAGTTTTAGCATATTCCTTTTTCGAGAGAAAAAAAAAAACTAGATATTCGAATTACTTTTTTACGGTAACTTGACTCTCGTTATTTTGATAAGTTTTGATTATTTGAGCTGATTATGAAATTAATTTAGAGTGTAAAGTGACTCAGAAATAAGGGTATTTAAATTTTTCTCAAAAATAATATGTAAAGATCGAACTAAAATCATTTTTTTTTCACTGCTTAACTCCCTTCTTATCATCTAAGTTATGGTAATAAATAAAAAATTTATTTATTTAATGTTGCATGAGATAATTATCTCATGAACAAAAATAAGCCAGTGAGATCCACTATTTAAAATAAAATAAAATAAAAACAACGAACCCCACTTCTTCATCCATGTTATTATCTCCCATAAATAAACTTTCTGCCAATACAAATATGGGTTATACAAGTATTATGTTATAGCAATTGTTCATAATTTTCCAACAGAGACAAAAGTGAAGAGAGAGAAACTGATAAAAGAAAAAAGAAAAAGAAAAATTGTGAACCTCACATTTTCATTGTTTGTGCAGGAAATGAATTTGTTTTCTTACATGATATTAATATTACCCTACAAATATTTCTGTCATGTTGTGTACGAAGAAATACAGGTTATCAAGGTGCAATATGATTTATTGTTATTTTTTAAACAAAATATTTTTAAGATTAAATAAAGAGTAAAGCTTATATATAAATCAAATAAGCAATAAAAAGAAAAGGAAAAAAGAAATAGTATGAAATACTGCTTGTAATTTTTTTCACACAAGCAAGAGCTTATAAACGAATCAATAATGTCAAATTATTCCAACGGTTCTTCCTGAATGTGACTTCTGGGTGCATCCTTTTTTATGACCATTGCATTTATTATTAAAAATTAAAATAAAAAAATAAAAAAAAAAGTAGAGAGAGGGTGAAAATGTGTTGGATTTGAAAGAAGCTTTGGCATACGCGAGTGTTACACGTATTTGTGATATTTGGTATATGGTTGTGAATTGATTGATTATGGTAAGAGTAAGACCGGGGGCCATGGCCTATATGGAGCCACGTCATGTCGCCACGTATATTAATCGACCACTCAAAAGGAGTGAGAGAAATAGATATTATGGTAGTCTATTATCATAATGTGGATTGATTGTGGAAGAAATTATTATTTAGTGTAGGACAATACTCCTGTATCACACTACGTGTTATGCTTTGCCTATTATATTATATGGACCACTTTCTAGTCAATCACGTTAAAAATATAATTAGTATCAAAAAATTGAATACAAGAGTTTTTAAATTTCAATTACACCGTTTTGCTTATATTTCTAACTAAATTATAAATTTGATTTATAATAAAAGAATTTATAACATATACAGATAAGAAATAAACATAATAATGAATTACATGATTAACATAATAAGCACTTTTCTTCTTCCTTACAATGTGTTATCCTAATTTTTAAGTGTCGAATTAATCATTAGATAATATTTAGGTCTAATTTGTATGTGTTTTATAATTACAAAAATACTTTTTAGAATTATAAACTTAAAAAAAAAAAATTAATTATAAATAGTAACTTTTGAGAAATTAAAAAAATTCAAATGCACTCTTAAATTCTTAATGACATGACTTTATCTATAAATTCTTTCAATGAGATTCGAATCGTACACAAATTCATCATTATAAAAGTCAATTTGTGAATTGAATCACGTTATTAAGTAATACATCAATTTTTTTTAGTAGTGTATTATTGTTAAAAGAAACGTGGATTTAAATTCCAAGCCACTATAAAATGTCATTATTATAGGGGGAAAATAAAAATGAGAAACGTGTTTATCTTTTTAAATGACACAACTTATATTTTTTCACTCTCACAAAGAGGTGAGACCCACACCTTTAATTTTTTTGTCAACTCTCTCTCCTCCTTTATCTATCTCTTTCTCTCTCTTAAAATGACACAACTTTACATCCTTTAAAATGACATACACTTTACCCAATAAAAATTGAACCAATGTAATAACAACTTGACATCAACGGCAATGTTCTGTGGAAATAACAAGGACTCACTCACCTTTCTGCCTCATTCATGTCACGTCTCACTAATTGTTTTGTAGCGTACAGAGAAAGGAAAACATATATGAAGAGTTATTTTTTATAATAAATATGTATAAAATAAAGAAATAAAAGAGTTTTTTTTTTCTTTCTAAGGTACCATTTAATGAGAAAAAGTATACAAATATATAATATAATATGTAAAAAAAAAATATTCCTCTTTTTTCATTTGTTTTCTATTCAAAAAGACGAGAGTGGAAAAATTATTAAATTTACAAAGGCATTTCCGTTTAAAACTTTAATCATTTAATTTTCATCTGCAAATACATATTAAAAACTTCGTACCAAAATGAACTTTAATAAGTAATTACAATCCCGTGGGTGTAGCGTGTGGTCCCTCGCCCTCCTTGTCCCACCCGCGGAACTTTTATTATTATTTTTTTTTTTGTAAATTGAACTTTTATTATTTAGCTGTATATTGTTTTTTTTTTTTGTTCTCTAACATATTGTTTTTGTTGGAAATTCAAAGTACTTAGGGTGTATTTAGTTGGAGGATCGTGATGAGATAGATGGAAATTTGAGAAGTGGGATTATTTGGTGCCTTTGTTTGGTTTAAACGTTTTCTTTATATGTTTACCTAAATCATTATGCCACCAAAACAATTTGCATGTCTATCTGATTAAGAAAGCTAGCCAAATATCCCCCCTTGATATGTGGTATTGCATCTTAGCTACCTAAATGGTCACATTGGGCAAGAGTTAGATGACGAGCATACCCTCCAAAGTTGATGCTGAACAAGCTGAATCACACAACTCTCTATCTGTATCTGCAGGATGGTGCTTCCTTGAGTAGCCACGATGAACACTTTATGAGCTTGAGCATATGATCATGTTGGTTCCTGAAACTGTATATAGTAAAGTTTTAGCACTCCTAAATCATGAGAAAAACACAATTCGATAGGGATCTCATTGTCAATATTTAAGACTAAAAGTTGTGCCTCCCATTTACCTTCTACACTAGCAGCATTTGTGCTGAGTGAAGTTCACAGCTTTCAGTTAAAAAAAAGGCTCAAGAACAGAGATCGGACTTGGTTATTTTTAAAAACAAGGTTATTTTAGTAATAGTAACTTTTTTTCCCATCTATACTTTACCTAAAGCCAAACATATATTTTATAAAAGATACTTAATTTGTCTGGTAAATTTTTTTTCAACCAAACAACTTTTTTTATATTTTCCTACCAAACTCACTTCCCAACCATTTTCCTAGTAATAACATTTCCTTATCATTCATAAAATTTCTAATTTTTTTTTCAACCAAACAACTTTTTTTATATTTTCCTACCAAACTCACTTCCCAACCATTTTCCTAGTAATAACATTTCCTTATCATTCATAAAATTTCTCCTCAACCAAACGGCTCCTTAGTGTATTGGTAGTGGTCCCTTCGCCACAGATTTTTTCTGGATTCGCCTGATAGTAGTATCATAGTTGGGTTGGGATCGGGCAAGCCAGGTGTATTTGGCTAGGAAACATGTTAAGTACTTTGGGTCTAAGTAATCGGGTTAGGGGAAACATATCAATTTTTCAGGCAAGTTAGGGGGAGCCCATGGCGGGTGACCACCACCAATGGACTAAGCTAGACCAACTATATCAAGTGGATCTAACACTACATCTTAATCCAAAATCTTAAGACATTAGATCCATGAGTCCATCCACTTATATGCATTTCACTTAATCCATTACCAACCAATGTAAGACTCATCACACTTGAATATTCAAACAATCTCTCCTTCAAGTGTGAAACACAACATTGGTATGCTCTCCCTCAACCGAGTACCCAAGTCCAAAGCACTTCACCTTCCTCTAGCCAAACAATAGGTTACTCTGAGCTCAACCCGACTCTGATACCACTTTTAGGCGAGTTAATGGGAGCCCATGGCAGGGGACCACCACCACCAATGGGCTAAGATAGACCAACTATATCAAGTGGGTCTGACATCACATCTTAATCCAAAACCTTAAGGCATTAGGTTCATGGGTCCATGCATTTATATGCACTTCACTTAGCTCATTATCAACCAATGTGAGACTCATCACACTTGAATATTCCAACAATCTCCCCCTTAAGGGTGAAATATACCATTGGTATCAACTGAGTACCCAAGCCCAAAGTACTTCACCTGCCTCTAGCCAAACACCAGGCTAGCCTGAGCCCAACTCGGTTCTGATACCACTGTCGGGCGGGTCTAGAAAAAGCCCATGGCGGTGAGACTACCACCAATGAGCTAAACCTTAAGGTTAGCCCATTACCAACGAATGTGAGACTCATCACACTTGAATATCTCAACAACGATTTATATGCTCTACTGTTAGGCGGGTCCAAGGGGAGCCTATTGCGAAAGACAACCGCCAATAGGTTAAGCTAGCCCAACATTAGCAAGTGTATTGGACACCATATCTCAACCCAAAACCTTAAGACATTGGGTTCATGGGTCCCCCACTTATATACACTTCATTTAATCCATTACTAACCAATGTGTGACTCATCATAATCGAATATCCCTATCGTTTTGAAGTTAATTTAAGCTATTTTTTCATCTTGAGTTTTATTTTGTTACATTATTAAATTTAAGAATTAATAGATATACATGGTTACCACACATTTTTGTTATTTTTTATTAATATTTTAACATATATTTATTTATTATTTTTATTTTAGCTATTGATATAATAGGATAATAAGAAATAATAATGCTTCAAAATATCAACAACTATCAGTGTAAAACGTCCTTACATTAACTTAACATCCTAATTAAACTTTTTATTTGAAAAAGCTGTTAAGCTCTTTTATCATATATCGATAAGGTCATATTATAAAGTAACATTGATTTTTTTGTTCTTTGCTAAGTTGTTTACATTATATTAAGAAAAGTGATTAATATCAGCTACACGTCTAATTACTAAGTGAAATTTATCACTAAATATTAATGATTAGCAACATAAAGGGATGTTTTATAAAATAAGGTCCAAACAAGACATATGTTGGTAATCAAGTAATCATCAATGTCATATGACCGAAGCCCATGGGTCAAAAGTCGAAACCACGTAGTAATAAGGTCCAAACTCAACAATGCAACACATGAACTCCAAAACTTGAAGGACATACACACAAAAAAAAAAGTCATTCATTTGTTGGGCGGGTCAGGCCCATGAATAAGCCCAAGCCCAGCCCGTGATTAACTCCCGTAGAAATAAAGAAACCCTGTTCTGATACTACGAGGTTTTAGCCTAGGAGCCGTGCCCATCTGCTGAGAGCCGCATCAGTTTTCAGAATCCCCGCATTCAACATGGTACTTTGTTGTGCTGTTTCCCTCTCTTCCTTCTTTCTTTCCCTGATTGTATTCATACGTGGGTTATATGTTGTTGGTGTTTCAAAGTTTTGAGTTTTTTGTTCGAATGATCATAAAAATGTGAACTTTATTAAAATTTTGTAGCTTGTGATTTGATGTCAAGAATTTCGAAACTGACCCGTGTCTTGTTTATAATTACATATGGTGTATTGATTGTGTGTTTGATTTTTTGGTAATGGGGGGTTTATAGTCTCTGGTGGCAAATGAGGAGTTCCAGCACATACTTCGTGTTCTGAACACAAACGTAGATGGGAAGCAGAATATAATGTTCGCTCTTACCTCAATCAAAGGTATTGGCAGGCGATTTGCTAATATTGTCTGCAAGAAGGCTGATGTTGATATGAACAAAAGGTTTTTTACTTTCATTGCCATTCTTTTCTCATTGCCAGTTATCTTTGATTATTGTTAAATAAGAATGCTATGATTCACTTGGATTTGATTTTTTTCATGTTTTGTATTGAAATGGGTTTTGATTGGCAGAGCTGGTGAATTGAGTGCTGCTGAGTTGGATAATCTGATGACAGTGGTTGCAAACCCTCGGCAATTCAAGATACCTGACTGGTTTTTGAACAGGAAGAAGGATTACAAGGATGGCAAATACTCTCAAGTGGTGTCAAATGCACTGGACATGAAGTTGAGGGATGACTTGGAGAGACTCAAGAAAATCAGGTGATTAACATTTTGGATTGTAGATTTTTATGGAAAAAATATGTTTAATGTTGAGATTGTTTTGTGCAAATCAAGCTGTTTTCTGCATCTTACAAAGTGTATGTGATCTTGTGATTCATCTTAACAATTTTTGCCCGTTGATCCTAACACACTAATTGATCCAAGTATATTGAATATACTGAATGTCTCCGCTTTCTCTCTACATTTTCTGAAGAATTTAAGAACTTTTGCATACACTTATATTGGAACTGTTTCCAAATGACAACCAAGAGATCCATGTAAGTAAAACAATCCATTGCCGCCCAGCTGTTCAAACAGATCTTTTGTTTAAGGAGAATTGCATAATATGGCATGGGTAGCTTATTTATATATATAGGAGTTTTTAGAGTCATGCTGTCAGTAATCAGATACAAAATTTGTCGTATGAGCTGCAAAGGTATTAAATGATATGTTTGAAATTAAATATATGGAACTTTATTCTCTCTTCTGTACTTTTTGCAAAACGTAGTTTTAGTGAAATGGATAGTCATTAGGAGTAGATTCTGCTTGAAGACAGAGAAATTAAAACTTGTATTGCTGAAAAGATTGTAAAAACAATGGAAAGGTATTAATTAACTGTTGATATGTTATTTAGCTAGTGTTGTGCGTTGGGCCTGATGTTAGTATGCCTTCAGCACTCTGTCTGCATCTTAGGGTTTGTTTGGTATCATTGAAGAAAGGAAACGAAATGAAAAGGATTGAAAATAAAAGAAAAGAAGAGAAAAGTAAAGGAGTCATCATTCCCTTGTTTGGTACCATCCAATAGAAAGATAAATGTGTTGTACAACAAGATATGGAACCGGTTCTATTCTATGTTTGATGCATTTTAAAAATAAAACTGAAAAGGACATAAGGTTAAAAAGTGATACCTCTTGGTTCTACTAAGAGTCTGTTTGAATACTCTCTTTTTTAAGTTAGAAGTTACTTATAAGTTAAAGCTAAAAAAAATTTACTTATAAGTTACTTAAAAACACATATTTCAAGAAAAGTCTCTCTCTGTATCTATGCGGCTCTTCATTTCAAAAAAAGCACACAATTTAAAAAAAGCTTATAAGAGCTTAAAAAAAAAGCTCCTAGGAAGAGTTTTTGGCTTTTTTCTTCATTATAAAAAAGAGAGTTTTTCAATATAAGAACTTTTCTTAAAATCCATTTGGCCTAACTTCCACTTATAAGGAGAAAAGAAGCTAAAAATAAGAGGATCCAAACAGGAACTAAAAAAGGGGATAGAAATATATGTAAACAAATGTTAAATTACTTTATTACCCATCATTTAATAAAATTAGTTTTGCTAAAAATTTTATATAATTTGTAAAGCGGGGAAAAATATTAGAACTACAGGAACTTTTTTTTTCCCTCCCCATCTTTCCCATGAGGGAAGGATTGCAAATAGTGCAATTTTTAATGGGCTCTATGGAAAGCTAATTCTTCACCTTTTATTTCTTTCGTGAATGTGATCTCAAATAAGGGAGAGTCAAAATGACAACATTAACAAAGCCTCAGTTTCCTGGATCAGAGGAACCATCTATGGACCTTGATTTTGGACAAATGTTGTAAACAGGATTTTGGCTAGTGAAACATAATTTGCAACCTAACATTGGTAACTTCCATGCAGGAACCACCGAGGTTTGAGACATTACTGGGGTCTTCGTGTACGTGGCCAGCATACCAAGACTACTGGTCGTAGGGGTAAAACTGTTGGTGTATCTAAGAAGCGCTGAGTTCACATTTCCTATCTCTTTTTTTCCTTTCTCTGTTTTTGAAGAATGAGATATATTGTTTGGATAAACCTTTTTTTTTTTTAGAATGCATTTGGATTTTGTTGTATTTGAATGTGTTTTGTGGACGGGCTAATTGATAGGAATTTTTTACTTCCAAATCTTATGCTTTAGTGGTCCAATTTGTGTTGGAGGCTATATTGATTTCCCTCAATATGACCAAATATCATGCAAGTGGTTTAATTTTCATTTTTTTTTCCTTGTTGGACTGCCGAATTAGAGGTAATAAAGCTTGGAATCATAAGACAACTCTTCATTACCGGAAATCTGTCTTAGAAGAAACATATTTTTTCAGTGAATAAAGATGAAAAGAGAACATTGACAACAAAAGAAACCTTTTATATAAATTTTGCTCGAGTCTGCGAAACCTCTTATAACTTGCAAACGTTGTTGAGGTAGCTTGACTGATCTTTCTGTCAGCACCATAGTCAACACACTGAGCTACACAGAACGACACTGGAAAGTGCATCTGTTGCTCATGCTTCTAACTATGCATGACACAAACCTTAATAATAACAAGTGCTCATGTTAGGCAATGCATTGATTATGGGCAGAATCATGTTTGCCATCTTGGGGAATTTGACCGTATGTTGTCGCCAACCATGCACTAGTTAATCCTTTTCCCATACGATTCAATCAGTGCTTAGTAAACAAGAAACCAAGTTTAACCTCCGTACACTTGCAGTGTGTGTCGCCAACCATGCACTAGTTAATCCTTTTCCCATACGATTCAATCAGTGCTTAGTAAACAAGAAACCAATTTTAACCTCCGTACACTTGCAGTGTGTTTCTAAACCTCAGAAAGTAAAATATAGATCGAGTGGATGGAGTCGGGAAGTGAGACAAAAATTAAAACACTGAGGAACTCACAAACATAACTAGGTTTACTAGTTAATTTAAAAAATGCCACTGTTCAATAAATAATCAAATTTGTGTAGGACTGGGTCTTAGATATTGGAGACACAGTAATAACAATCCTAGAAAAGGTTTGAATGAAGTTGAATCAACGGGGTGATCCTCCAATCCGATCATATATGGGATCCAACATTCCAATAGCTAAGCCTCTTTGTGTCTTCATTATAGCTGAAAAAGGTTATAATAATAAGGAATTTAGAGGACATGGATTGTTGCGGAGATAGACAAGTCACATAAAAATGTCCTTAAGCAAGTATCTTTAATACAATGGAAATTCATTAGTAGGGTAACAATAAAGACTTACTGGGGTTATTGCTTAACTTTGAGACCCGTTTCTATGCGCTCAATGAGCTGATCTGCATTCAATGCTCCCTCCTGAAAATCATAAAGACCAAAAATATTTCTTACTTAGAAAATGAAGATATTTGTTAAGAATACGGAGAAGTTAGTTGTTGAGATATAACAATGAACATCCTTGTATTGTTTTAACATAAAAGAAAAGGCAGCAAACTACCTAACAACAGACCATGTCAGCTATATATACCTTCACTTATTTAAATATGATGATGACACAATCTTATGCTGTTGACCAAAGACAAAAGTCAGTATTTTAAAAACCTTTAATTGATGCACCAATTAGGTTCTTTACATTCTAATCAAAGCAACCTCATTTTCATTATGCACAAATCAAACAAGCCATAGTGACTATAAAAGGTGAAAGTACAAAAATCAAGTTTTAATAAAATTAAGAACAAGATGGTTCCTCTACATGAAAGTCCTCTACAAATTGTTGTCAACAAGAGCTAAGTTGATGCAATCCCCAACAAGTGGCCAAAATGATTTCTACTCCTTATCGGCTTAGCAATCAAATGCAGTATTATGATGGTCCGTGATCTTTACATCACAATTTTTCATGTACCAAGCTTTCCATGAAAACTAAATATTTATAAATGCAACATGAAATTTTGAACAAAATTGAGAAGCACGGTTAGTCCTAAGAATATTGCAACACTGCTAATGCAAATACAATTATGAATAGAAAGCATCAAATTCAGTTTCATGATTCAAAATTAAATGCCACGTCAAGTAATTTTAGGCCAAACAAAGGCTTGATGAGGCTTCCATTCATTATAAAGTGCGAGACATAGTTAACCATCAGATGCAAGAAAGGCAGAATTCAGGTAAAAGGAAATATAATCTAACTTACAAAGCGATCATAGGGTTTTCCATCCTTAAACATGATGAAAGTTGGCAATGCCTCAATTTTGTATTTGTCAGCAATGCTGGGATACTTCTCAGTATCAATCTTCACAACCTGTATCCTATCTTTAAGCCGTGTGCTTACTTCATCGAGTATGGGAACCATGAATTGACAAGGACCACACCTGTAAACCAGGCCTCGGATTACTCATTAGATGTTACGATATAAATAGTTAGAACACTTTTAACCTCAAATATTATCAGCAAACACAAACTGGCTTAACACCCAATATGCAGTTAAGGAGAAAAGAGAAAGCATAGAAGGAGAAAGTTACCATGTTGCATAGAAGTCAACCAATACAGGCATTTCAGAATTAGCAAGCAAATCATCAAAGGAGGAAAAGGTTTGTTTCTTTGCTTGAACCTACAGAAAATAATATTTGAAAATGGTGGTCAGTCTTTAACTGTCTATAAAAGTTGAAACTCCCCGCCACACCAAATGCAGAAGCACAAAAGTACACTTTGCAAGCATGAATATTTAACGCATTTTAGAACAACTGTAAATTCTGGTGATTAAGGGGGCATGAAACCAATACAGTCCATACCTCCACGGTATTAAATGGATAATATGATCCAGAAATGAGGGAAATAACAAGTCAAAGCATTAGTCGGAGATGGAATGAAAGACTGGCCATCTCATTCTCATAATGAGCTAACCCAAACATCTGGGAATGCAACAAGTAAGACACTACTTTCCTTATGCAGAACGGTAACTTTCTAGTTAACGTAAATTTGGGTCTTTTTGATATTACTCTCCAAACAAAGAAATGAATCCAAATGGAGCTCAATCTATAAACTCATATATTTCAAAAGCAAACGGTTCCAAGATGACGCTAGCAATGGAAAAAAGCTTAATCTACAACTCGAATTTTCCAATAGGCTCCATATTCCACTAACAACCACCACTTAATAATAATAACAATAATAATAATAATAATAAAATAAAAGTAGAACAATGATAGGGTCTTCCATAATTGAGTAAACGCAGAAGAAAGCAGGTCCTAGTCCACTGAACAATCCAATCGGTATAGAAAATGAAACCAGAAAGTGTGGTATTGGTTACCAGAGGAAGGATTCGAGGACGCGAGGAAGCGGGAACGCGTGCAGTTCCAATCCCAAAAAGGCGAGTACGAACCAGAAATTGCAGCGAGGATGGCTTCGTGGAAGAAGATGCAGATGCAGCTCCCAAAAGTGTGGAGCGTTCGGAATTCAAAGAAGGAATCACGGAGGACGCAGAAACGGAGACTGCCATGGGAACGATGCGAACGAGTAGATAGGCTCTGTTTGGATAATCAGAATAAGGGAAAGCTAAATATCTGTTTAAGAAAATATCTTAAATGTGAAAAAAATAAAATAAAAAAAGAGGCGAAGAAAAGAAAACTATCAAGTAAGAACGGATTTTTCCAACCAACTGCGATGCTCTGACTCTGAAGCCTGGAACGGAAGCCCTTGCTTCTCCTTCGACTTTTATAAATTTTTAAATTAATAAATAATAATTATAAATATTTTCCACTTGTCATTGAATATTATATTATAGGTCTTTTAATTCATTTAATGTAAAAAAGGAAATATTTCAAAATCCAAACATGTCATGTGTAGTGTAATCCTAACTCATACAACTTTGGAACTCCTCCTTGTCAAAGAACGCAAGAGTCACCATTATGCATCGTAATTATGAAGGCCAAACCCTCAAACTGTGCTGTGAATCACTTATTTTGGCACATTAGGAGCATGGTCCCCATGGTGGCAAAAAAAAGAAAAAAACTCAGCTTCTGCTTGAAGATGGGGTGAGGGAGGTCTAAAGGATTTCAAAATTTTTGGAGGAGCCTTGTCATTAATAAGATCCACCACGTGAAGTAAAAGATTTAAATTCTGGATCAAATAGTCCCCAAAAAATGTACAAGGAGCTATATCTTCTGCACGGACGGAGGAAATTTATTTACTTTTTAAGGTTGAGAATTTATCGATTTAGTTTTGATTGGAGAACCAAATCATTGTCCATCAGTTTGGTTGGATTTAGCCTAATAAATCTTTAGCCATCCACTTTTTTCTTAAAAAAAATAAAGAATTTTATTCTTCATTTCAAGACTCAATTAACAGCAAATTAATCTAAAAATTATAACAGAAACATCATCAAATAAATAGAAATAATAAATTAACCTAAAAATTTCATATATATATATATATATATATGGAGAGAGATCATTTGACTCTAGAGTGAGACTTATAAGTCTTACTCTCCATCCAACGGTTATAATTTAGGAAGTTATATTAATTAATTAATTATTAATTACACTATTAATGACAACTGTTGATTTCCGTCCATCAACGGCTGAGATTGTGAGTAAGACTTAAAAGTCTTACTCTGGAGTCAAAAGAACCCTCCCCTGTATATATATATATATATATATAAGAATTTTTTTATTTCCCAGTTAGATTAGAAGCACCCTTACCTCTCTGCACCACCAACACATAATTTTCCTTCCCAAGCACAAAGGTATAGACAAGAAAATCTAGACACGTTGTGCACATTGGCATGCTCATGTCATATTGCAGTTTCCATTTTTCATCCGTGATTTCTTTTTTATCATAAAATTCATACAAAAGATTCACAGTTAGCCTCAATTCGTGATGTACATTAATTGTATTTAGAAGACTCCAAAACTACTCCTGATAGCACCAGAATACGTGAAAAATACAAACAAACAGTTTAAAACCACGTGTGGCATTGTAAAAAATTCAGGTCACATGAAGATCATCCATCACTTGTCAATATGAAAGCCAGAACAACGATGGTGAGTGCAAAGACAATAGTGGCACAACGAAACAACCGTGCATATTTAATTGTAGTCGGATTCTTGCTCTCTTCACTGCTTAACTCAATCTCTTTGAGAAGCTCCCTCACTTCATCAATGTCTGAGTCCTTTGCAGCTTGGTTTAGTCTACTTTGAATCTTCTCAAGCTTAGTTAGCCTCCTATTATCTCTAGATGTAACTTGTGACCAGATAAAACCCGTCATCTTCCAGAGGAGGATTCCCACATAGATGGCTACAATGCAGTCTACAGAGTAATGATGGCGTTCTCGTATTTCTCTTTGGGCACTGTGAATTACAAGAAGCCATACAAGAGCGGAACTGAAACCTCCATAGGCTTCCTGCAACCATTTTTAAGATTGAAATGTCAAGAATTAAGCTCCTACTTTAAAATCAAATGCAAAACACCACAAGATGATAAGACAATGCAGTTTGCAATGAACTTCAAATCTTACTGTCCAAGCCATAGCCGTGAGTACAGCAACAAGCATGTGGCCACTGTATAGGAGGTCATTACAGCCACCTCCAGCTTTCTTTAACAGACTGTACCATGAAGGTCCTTCGGAGGCAGTGGGTCGCAGAAAATCAGTTAGAAAGCTCATCGAACCCCAAGATGGCTGGTAGTCACCAACCGGTTTTCCAATGTCAACTAAGAAAGAAGAGTATGTTAATTTGCAGGACCTTCTCGCACAAACAAAATATCAGTAAAGGTGAACAGGTTCTTATAGAGGTAGAGGAAGGGATTAATGATACACATATTTATTATCCAGCTTATAGATCCAAATCATTAAAAACTTTCAACATTAAATTTACGGATGATACATGAAATTATAGAATCTAAAATTCATATAATCACATAGAATTTCATGATCCGATTTCTTAATAAAACCACACCAGAGAAACCACAAGTGGATGCAAATAATTCCAGTGTTCAAAACCTAATATTTTTCAGCTTCAATTCAAATTTACTCTCTGGCCAACAATGTTTATGAAAAAAAAAAAAAAAAAAAATTCAAGTGGATCTTTTAATGAGCACTACCAAGTCCAATAAATTTGTCAATATTATGGGCCAAAATATAAGCAACCCCAGAATAAAACAGTATAAAGTCTGATAACAAAACTTAATATGAGCAAAGACTAGCACCCAGCAAAATAATATTCTGCATACCATAAGCATTATCTAGATTTATCAACTGGCTGATAGTATTATGATCTGAAGCATAGGGAACATAATATTTCTGAGCCCAATGATGAGGATATGCTGGAACTCTGAACCGAGAATTGGCACACCAAGGACGGGCTGATGGCAGAATTGTAGATGCAAAAGTAATGGCACGAAGAAGGCGGCCAATTGCCATGGTAAACATGTATCTGGCACCTAGTCCGAGGCCTGGAGCTCTTACGGAATCAAATAGCACAGAGAATGCCAGCATCATAAACAACATCAAGAAATGGTGCAATCCAATAATACGAGCTCTTAATATCTCAACAATTGCACTAGGAAGTTTCTCATTTAATGCCAGGAGCAACCATTGACCAGTGTCTGGAAGAGGAGGTGTATTACTGCCAAAAAAAATAAGTAAACAAGTTTTCATCTTTCAAATAGAAAATACAAGAGCAGGTTTTAAGCCACTAGGAGTGGGCTAGTGGTGAGGGCTTGGGTAGTTCGCATGAGGTTATGAGTTCAAACCTCAATACCACCATTGTATACCAAAAAAGTACAGTAGCAGTTTTTTAGTTTGGTTTATGTCAAATAAGCCGAAGCAAACCATAGTTATAAGAAAATATTACAGATAGTAACAAGCAGTAATTATACACTAGTTAAAACATGTGCACAAAAAAAAAGATTAGCTTTGACCATTTCAATTTTAAAGTCACAATATAACAAACGGGCTATCAGGTTTTTCAGATAGTTCTCCACGAACATAAATATGATAATTCCAATTTTAACCAAAGAGAGAATTCAGGAAGTATCCTCCACCAGCCATTCTATATCATGGGATTATTTAAGCGCTTCTATAACTCTTATCATGCTAATAATACTTGAACTCTGTTTATTCTGGCAGTGTGGATCCAAGCAGCCAAAACAACCATCAAATCCAATAGCTCAGATCTAGAACTTCAAAAAGTCCTCATCCAAAACCAAATATTCAAAAAATAGAAACAAATACTAGCTCAGAGAACTAAAGGAAGTGAATTATTACATACTGTGCTAATCGAATCCAATAGCTCAGATTTCCTCACAGAAATTATGACCAAAAAATAATAATTCGAAATCAAAGAAGCAACATAGTTCATTTTCTCGCTCAAGATTCGCCTTAAGAACCTACATTTCCAACAAGATCCGCTTCCCAGAATTTCGTTCAGATCAATAAAAAAAATCACGAGATTGAACTAAAGAAAAGGATAAGAAACAATATTGATCCGCACATCACAACAAACAGAACAACAGAAGAAGAAACAAGGAAACGAAGTTGATTCGGGTGACAGTTACCGGTGCCAGTCAAGGCCGAGCACCGCGGTGACGAAGCGAACGGAGAGGGCTTCGAAGAGGAGAGCGGCAAGCATGAAGAGCATGGAGGCGACGAAGGGAACCACCGCGCGGAACTCCGCAGACCAGTGCCGGTAGGAGGGGACGCGAGCCACGGCCGTGAGGGCGAGGAGGGACCAGAGCACCGGTTGCAGCCGCGAGTGCCACGCCGGGGACAGGTGGCGAAGGTAGTCGATGGCCACGTATGACATGGCGGCGACGCCCAAGCCGACGTTCTTCGCCGGCTGCGCCGGCCACCGCATGTCTGCTACTTAAGAGAATCTTAGAGTGAGAGTTGAAGTTGAAAGTGGAGTTAGTTGGGTTTTCACAATTCCAAGTAGAATGCGGTAATAACAATAATTTTAATGCCATGTTAAGTATGGGTTTAGTGTTTCTTACCCGTTATTGAGAAAAAAAATTTCCAATTAATTTTAACGAAAAACAATTTAAAAATCCTCGGTTTTATTTATAATTATTATCCATTAATTTTGTTGTTGTTTACCTTTATGTGATTTTTTTTTCATCATGGTTAAAAACTGAGTTAACCTTTTCATTTCATTCATGAGAATAGTAAAAAATTAACATGAAGATAAGTGATAAAAAAGAAAGATTAGAGCTAAGTGATTCTAAAGTACATACCATACATTTTTAAACTTTTCCCTAAAATCATTAGTTTTCAATAGCCACGATTTTTTTATTCCAAACATTTTTTCACTAAAAAGAAAACTCAATATACAATTACAATGATTTTTTCACATCAGCAATTTTGAAGAACAAGAAAAACAACATTTGAGTATTGTGTCAAGAAATTGGTTGTTTTTTTTTCGTGTTACTTGTGATTATAAGATATCACAATCTGATATGTTAATCTTCAGGTTTATTAATTTCCAGCTTAAATTACAATTTCCATAAAGACAAAAAAAAATTCTTACTTTTATTACTTGACACCAGAAAAACATAATGATTTAATGTATTTCATAGCAACATCAGCTTCCAGAAAATATGCAATAAATAGTCAAATCAGTATATAAAAAAAAATTAAAAGAAAAAATATTTATGTAAGTTGATATGGACTATAAATTTTGTTGAGGTAAAAGGCAATCAAATAAAATGTCACATGCTAAGCTTTGGACTTTTTCAGGTCGACCTAAACTGTTAATATAATATAGGTTAAATTATAAATCTGACATTTAGAAAATGTAATTAAAAAATATTATTTTATTGACCTATTTAAAAATAAACCTTAAACATGAAAGCATGAAAATGTCTTTGCAGCGTGATAACTGAGGACCTAGGGGGACGATTCTGACAGCAATTTGACAGCAACCGGAGCAATGGGAAGATATAGGTATTAGAAGCATTAATTTAATACTAAATGTTCAGGCAATGCTGTCGATTAAAAAACAAAACATGACAGAATGTTCAAGCCAAAGTGAAACTCTGAAATATAATCTAAAGAATTATTTCAAGGGTTGTCGCTTCTCCTTTCGCTGCTGATGAGAAAAGTTGCAGCAAATTATTAATACTAGGATACGGGGTCGTATCCTGACCTAAAAAAAAAAAAATACATCAGGATCCGGACGCATATCCTGATGAAAATAAGTGTTGCTGCACTTTTTCTTCTCTGCAGTGACAGAAGAAATATATAACCCTTATTTTAATCCAAAAACTTAAGTTAATAAGTAATGAATTTTGAATGGTTTTATATTATATTTCTCTAACCAATAATATGGTAAATCACCCTGCCATAGTTTACCTTTCTTTTGGGGTCATAATTCAAACACAAGGATCAGTAATGTGAACTTCATATCTATGAAACAGAGAATATCTCCCACCCATTTAAAAACCAAGATGAATTAATAGGAGAGATGAGACAAAAAATAAGAAAGCAATTTGAACCTCAAGCTACACAAAATTCTTTTATGATATCATCAGCTATCAAATACAAACACATACACATATGACTGATGTTACCCAGCTCTTTTTATAACACAAGACCCCTCAACTCTAAATCTATCACAAATGACAGAACCTCCTATACAAAGGTGGGGGTAAAAAAATCTTAATGTTAGTCAAACCCTCACATAAGAGAGATGACAGAATGAATGAAATACCAAAGCAAAACACTATGCTACCATTCTGAAAATATGGAAGGCTCCTATAAAACCAAAAACCTACTCTACACACCACCACAAGGCACACAGCACCACTGTGCAAGTTGGAGAAAAAACCACTGCAAAGGACTTGGGTTGTCCTCCTCCACTGGAGATGGAGTTGGCAGTGGTAGCTCATCGGGCAGATGGCGATGAAATGCATCAACTGCAGCAGCAACACCGTCTTCATTCTCAATCAACTTTGCTATTTCCATTGCTCGAGATTTCACCTGACGATTTACAATCCCATTAACTGTCAATATAATTTTTGGCTAAACCATATTACATATCATTATGATTATAAGTATACAGAAGGAATCAAAAAAGCAGGCCTGGATTGAATGAGTAAGGCCTTTGATAACTACAAATTTAATATCTTCATTCTTGTGATATATAAGAGAGGATGGTAGGAAGGGGATATCTAAATAGAGGGATGAATAGAATTTAAGTTTACCTCTGGCTGGAGCATAAATTTTATGGCATTTGATAAATTCTCAACACTGAGTTGAGATATTGGAATTGGGGCTGGTCCCAACTCTTTCTGATGTATTCTATCTCCCCAAAAGAACTGATCTCCAAAGAATGGAACTATGGTTGTTGGACACTGCAAGTTATGGTATTCATATTAGGAAAAAAAAGCAGCAGCAATAAATTCATTATTTTTATAAGCACCAGAGTCATGTCATTACGAATCCTTGGATTATGGAAAAGAATTTAACTTAGAGAAGATACTATTGAACATTAATTACCCCAGCTTTTAATCCTGTAGCCGTGGTTCCAGCTCCACCATGATGCACCTGCAATTTTGTGCCAAAATATCTTCCAGTTATTTCATGCTCAGATCTGAGTGGACATTCCACGCCAAACCCCTTGCCCCTCTTTCTCTTAGCTTTCTCTTGGAAGAACTTCTCACAACTAAAGTTTGGGTCGTGATATTAGGAAAGAAAGAATCAAAGCCAAAAAGGCTTAAACTAGCAACACGTAAACCACTCTGACACATTCCAAAGCAATTTCTTTCTTTCCCAAATAAACCCACAAGAAAACATGTATTGAAACTCACCACAGCAGAACATTGAGGAAAAAGCCAATCATGAGGGCATTCCTCCAGAAGGAAAACATTGTCAGAAACTTCTTCCACTACATAATGCAAGTGAAACTAATGTCAATTACCTAAAATGCATAGATCAAAACGTATAATTTTTTCAATGCATACCATAAGACATGTTATGAAAAAGGTTTATCAATTCTTCAAGATCATCAAAATTCAGAAGATTCAACAGATAATTTCACTAAATCGAGTTATTAACGGAAAAAAATTTTGATGATGTTAAAGAATGTAATTTATTAGCAAGTGATAACAAGGAAGATTTTACAGGCATGCACTGACACAACATATAGAAAACATATTTAATAGGGTTGGCGTTAAGGCATATGTAAAACAACCATTTCAACCTAAAAGCTTAATTTGTTAGGTCAAGCCACATTAATGGTTTTTATATTTATGTAACACGCCCCCTCACATTAAGCCCATTGGATCACTTAGTCACAAAGGCTCTAATATTATATAAAAGAACAATTCAATTCAAAAGCTTAAGCTATTAGGTGAGGCCACATTAATAGTTTTTATATTTCTCTAACGGTATATGAATAGAAGCTGAAATATTCAAAGAACAAAAGAGCATGACATAGCAGAATGAGAAAATTAATGACATAATTATCAAATGTAAATTTGTCTGGTACATTCTTGTATGCGAATTCATAAAAACTAATCAGAACTAAGAAAACACAAAGCCACTAAAAGCGGGCTATTGGTGAGGGGTTTGGGCGAGGTCATAAGGTCAAACCCCCGTAATAAACAATACATATTTCACTCATTCATTAACATTGACACACAAACAAATAACAGAACATGAAACCAAGTTATAACTTTTTCAGCAGCAATGGGTATTTGACAAAAAAAAAAAAGGAAACAAATGGGTGCAAAAACTTAAAATAGAATACTTACGATTCCCTAGATTGCCCCAGCCCCGGTCAATAATTCCCCGTTGTTCTGTATCCTTTAGTGCCTCCAATATAACATCTGTTGTTCTTTTAGGATCTTCAAGAGGCTAACATAGTAAAACACAACATCTTCATTTAGAGGACTTCAAAAATTCATTTTTAAAAAATTGCCAATAGTGTCAAGGCTTACAAAAAGTATGCCAATCGTGCACAATCATAGATTACCACAATTTAATAATGGTCATAAAAATACTTCTGAAGGAAATTATCTTGATCGTAGTCACATCTGTGCATGAACTAGTTAAGAATGATCCTGATCATCATAAGTACTCTCATATTTGCTATACACAACAAATAAATTAATCTCAATGAAAGAAAAACAAAATTAATCCAATGCAAATTCAAAGATCAAGGACAAGTTTGCTTCAACAAGAGAAACAGGGGATTATTGGGGATTTAGGGATTAACTATCAATAATTTGAGAATAGGATTTGGTTATTAGGATCTTGAGATATCTTATCAGTAGGCTTGATTAGAACTTTAAATCCTATTCTAGATTAGGGTTTCTTGAGTTACAAGTTTAGGTTGTTTGTCTTAGTAGAATTATGGTTATTTGAGTTACCTATAAGGCAGATTATCTTAGGGATTACAGAATTCAGGGCTATTTGACCATTTTGCCCCTCATTAATTAATTAATAACCATTTTGCCCCTGATTCGAAACTACCAATTTGTCCCTTTTTAATCGACTAACTTGAATTTTTAATCGACTAAATGGTTGTTGGGAGATTTAATCGACTAAATCTCCCTACTTAATCGATTAAAAAATCGTACTGACTTGTTTTCCTTCGTTGTCTATTGGGAGATTTAGTCGATTAAATAGGGAGATTTAGTCGATTAAATCTCCCAACAGCCATTTTTGCCTGTTTTGACCATTTAATCGACTAAAAATGCAAGGTAGTCGATTAAAGAGGGGCAGATTGGTAGATAGTTTCGAATCAGGGGCAAAATAGTTATTAATTAATTAATAAGGGGCAAAAGGGTGAAAAACCCCAGAATTCAGCCTCTATTGAATATGAATATTGGGAAATTTGAGTAACCTTTGCTCTTCCCAAAGTATGATTGATTGCAGTTTATATGATGAATAATCGAGCAGTCATTGAGATGAAAGAGTGAAATTAAACTTGTATTACAATCCAAAGTCCAAACATACAATGGACAAAAATACATTGCACCATTCTCAGGCATCATATGTGCCAGGTCTTTAAAGGGAAAAGCAACCTATAAAATCTTGCATGCAAAATCTCATCATGCTTCATTTGCTTGAAATAAAGGCTTGATCCTCCAAGAATGTAATCAACTCTAAGGTTATAAGTGGCAATGAAATCCATAAAATCCAAACAGAAAAATTAAATTTATAGAAAAAATTCTAATCAGAGATAATTTCATAAAAAAAATTATTTGTAGTTTAAGTGAAATAGCCATACCATGCTTCCAAACCCAAAATATAAAGGAGGAGGTCCATTTTGAATCCATCGGACAAAATCTTCTCGGGGTTGATACTTTGATGCAAGGCTCAAGAAACAGTAACCAACAACATCAACTAAAGGGCCCCAGTCTGCAAATTAGTTAAATGTCATTAGTTTTACTAACACATTTGAGACTCTAAGCAAAACTTGTCTACCAAGCATGTAAGGTGGCTACTATTTACTGTCAAGGATCAATTCTTCTAAACACTTAAAGCTGTTAAGTGAAGGACTACAAATGATCTTATATATCTAACAGTAACAAATAGTGATATCATCAACACAAAAAGCTTGCTGCACTTCAAGCATAATACATATGAACTCTCTTTAAGCTTAAACAACTTAAAGAGTTGAGTGGAATCTGATCTGAACAAAGCCTTCCTTGATTAAATTATATATTAATTTGATAAAATCCATTTAATTATTTAATCAGCAGATAATGTTATATACTCACAAATACATCCAACTCAACAGTTACTGTGCATCTGAGCCTGTTCCAGACAGTAACAACTACTGAATTTATCTCCTACTTCATTGGCTTAAATGATAAAATGATTACTCATTTGAAAAGAAGTAAAATAAGGACATCAGATGATGTAACTAATGATTGCATCCTTGTCCATACCACTTGGTTTCGGAACAACATGAGGACTCCACATATAGCCAGTTGGTAAATGAGATATTGATCCGCGGTACATACTAAAATATGCAATAGGAGCAAGCTTCAATTTGCTTTTCCTGAAGTCATTGATAATTCCTCGCATTCCCCACCATGTTAGTAGATCCACAATTATGTAAGACAACTGGAGACAGCGAGGAAATATTGAAACAGGTTTGTTGCTAAGGCAGTCCAGCAATTATATACAAAATTATCAACATCAGATTATAAAATATTGTTTCCGCAAAGTACATACCCAATAACCAGCACTTTGAGGAACACGTGCCAAAGGGTGGGGGAACTCATACGTTGGCCTGCATATTGAAAAAAATATGTAAGTGACCTCAAAAAGGATTTAAAAAAAGCACTGAAGAAGGGATGATAAAAAGAATGTAGCATTTATCTGACTATTTGACTATTTTTATTTTTAAAGCATTTCTGTACTATAAGAATATTACAATTCAAGAATTAGAACATTACTCATATCTTGTTATGAAACCTTATCTTCCTAACATATAAAAAGTTACACAACTGTTATAACAATTTGAACTCACGTCCATGGCATTGTGAAGAAGATGTGAAGGGGCACCCCAAGGGCTTCAGCAACATGCGCATGTCCTGCAAGCCAGAATCACAAGATATAATTCTATCTATTCTATTCTAAAAAAACAAATCTGAGGCAAATTTACAAACAATTATGCAATAAACAAACAAAAATACTCTTCTAAAATGGAAATATTTTTTTCATTAAAAAAAAAAGCTGCATTCAATAATGTTCTTATGAATTCCGGAAACAGATTCTAGGGAAAAAGAATCCATTATTTTTCATGCTTTGAAATTTCAATGTGAAAGCCCCCTGAATTTCATATTTCAAAGTTCGTAGTTACTCTTGGGGTCCCAATTTCCCCTTTTTCCTTTTCTAGTACATGGTTAACACTTTCTGTTTAATATAAATGAGTGCAATATATATGCAAAGGGTATTTAAAAATTAAAAATTAAAAAAAAAAAAAAAAAAAAACTGAAAAGCTAATGATCTGCATATTGACTCATACATTTACTCCATTTTCCTTTTCACTTATTTGTTGTAAACTCTACTTCTCTTTACTTCTATTTATCTCTAATATGTATTACAATATAAAGCATAAGATGAAGATAAAACAGCAATTATTTTCATGCACTGGATAATAATTTATCCATCAGTCTATAGCCAAATTGATCACTTGAAATATCTTAATTTTTCTTTATTTTCTACTTTAACAGTTTATGCTCCTGATCAAAGGATATAAGCCCAATCCCAAATTAATGTTTATAAGCATTGAAAAATTAATTGTGTGTACATGTGCAAAATGCTGTCAATATCAACTAGACAAGTCTGACTCAAATGTGAAGGTAAACCCTTTGAACAGGTATGGTAATATGCCATTACTATTTCAAAAACATGTATATTGTTGAGTGGGTGAGGCTCTGATACTATGTAAAGAACCAATTCAACTCAAAAGCTTAAGCTAGTGGGTGAGGCTACATTAATGACTTTTATATATCTCTAACAACTCCACAAGTACTATAGAGTAGTCATAGGGTTAATGATAGAACCATCAAATGTCATACTTGCAAAGCATGTGATATTATTATCACGTTACAATAAAAGAACTATTTGAAATTAATCATTAAAAAAAAAATCAATCATAAGAAAGGTATGAAAGAAGAAATACACAATACAATAATCTTCTAACCACTCACCATACGCAGGAGGATTGGCAATAATAGCCTGAGCTCTGAAAGGAACACCGGTTTCCAAATCGGGTGCTGTGCATGCCGGAAGAAGGGAATCAATGATGGCCTTCAGCTGCTTCATTTGCATAGATATATCAGCGGGACCAGAAGGGATCAAACCTTTATTCCTTGCCATATCTATTATTGAAATAACTCATTTAGTATATCAGTATAATATATATAATGAAAAGGAGAGAAAATGGAATATTATTAAATCTACAAAAAAAAATAAAGGATTGTTTCAGCATGTTTAGAATCAATCATAATTCTAAAGCTGATATAATCAGTTCCTATCACCAGCTGCTCTTTCGCAGTGGCAACAAGTTTCTATTCACCAAATTGACCAAAACACTACATTTCCCATGTTAGAAGAATAATTGGCTAATGCATTAGGTTGGCTCCAGACTAACAATTGTTTGGGTGCTTAACACTTTAAAGAGAGCAAGTTAAGAGTAGCTGCTCCATATACACAACTAGTGGTGGTGGGTTCGGGATAAGGGTATTTTTGTCTGAAAATTAGTAAATATGGTTAATTGTTGGAATATAATAATACAAGAGGGTTAATTGTTCCAATTGAAAGTAGAAGGTGGTTTTATATAATTTTCCCTAAAATCTTTAAGTTGGCCTTTTCAGAAATCAGTAGGAGAAATTAAGTATATTTGAGCACCATGAGATATCAGTGCCTTCCAGCATATTTTCTGATCCAAACACCAAATTTAATAGGTGAACCAATACAAAGGAGCTAAAAGAGGGTCTTTAGTCAAGTTAAGCACAAAGTAAAAGTAGACTGAAATATGAATTATTAAATATTAATGAAAGTATTACAAAGGAACCTCTTACATCCTGCCAACACACGGGGATCACCACCCAGAGGATAGAAATCTACACCAGCTGACTTTACAAATGTGTCAAAATTAGCATGAGTTGCCAGCCTAACATGATGACCATACTCCTGCAAGTAAATATTATTTCATATATGAATTCGACAAAACTGACTTCTAGGATATAAAATTCATTAATAGTAGTTAAAATCAATACTTTGCATCCTTTTTCAAATAGATCAGCAGTACAAATCTTGTGACAGCAATCAGACAATTAGGACAAGCCTATGGATTTTCAACATAAACAAATAAAGCTAACTAAAAAATACACACAACCAGAATAAGTCCTTGCCAAAAATTAGAAACTTATATCACCAATGACAAACTATCAAGATACCAATACATTACAAACAGTAAAAAGCTTTTTCAGAACTAAGCAAATAAAAGGAAATCTATATATGATGTGAAAAAGTTATCCTAATTTCTCATGTAAGCCTAATATTAAAGTAAAGCACAAGTTAACAATTTTATTCACTTTAATTTTATAAGCATGGTGTCTTGTAGCCTTATCAGTAGAAAGAAGAAGAAACTTGTAACCCTGATACGCTAATTTAAGGAACAGAGTGCAGATGATAAGCAATGTGGAATGAATGTTACCATTGAACATAACTAAAATTATGACCTCAAAACAAGTTCACGTAGTAGATTCCATTAATTAGGGAAAATTAACTCGTACACAGCAAATTACATATGAAGATATTAGGGAGATCTACACCATAAGACAAGCAAATAAGCAATAACAAAAATCACAACGATTTAATCAAACAATTCTCATGTGCACCAAGATGAACTGAATGAAATATTTAAACATGCCTGAAGTCTCTTTGCAATGGCCAGAAAAGGTTGTACGTCGCCTCTAGTTCCAACAACAAGTATGACAATTTGTAACCGTGGAACTGAATTTTTAGATTCAGAAATAAGACTTCCACTCACTGTTGACTCTTCAAAAGATTGGAGCTCTAATAATTCTGCAGCAACAGATGCACTCTTTTCTAGATCAACTTCAACAGTCCCATCATTTTGTATCTTCACTAGGTTAGCAATCAGTTGTCGCTGAGAAGCAAAACAAGAAAGTGTTGTGAACATGCAAATAATTTGGAAAGTCTAATGCATGAATCACAAATACAGACCACAATGCCAAAGCTACAAAGGCACAGCATAACCACGTTTTTCAAATAACCCATCAACATGTCAAGAACCAAAAGATATAAAGGTTATTCTTCAGAAGTAAAGAAGCTCTAAATACTTCATTATGGGCAGGGAAGGGAAACAAGATGAAGATATTAGATATCAAGTATTTGCATATATAGATACAAATACTAGGCCACATCACCCTCAATAAACAAAATGACAAGGCAGCACTTCAACATGAATATGTCCAATACACATAAGAACAAATAGCATTGTCCCACATTTTCATCTTTCATACAAGAATAAACATAACAGCCAAACATATATTAATATCTGGATTCTGGGTATAACTCACTCCAATTAGAATGAAAATACACAAGCAAAAGTTTGAAATTTAAGATCATCCACATACAATAACACTTGCATATACCTTTTGTTGCTCTGACAGCCTGTCCAATATTAGGTCATGCCTTGAGGACCCCCTTTTCTCTGTTATTGATCTATAAAGTATAACCTCCTGGTCAGCTATAAGTGGGTTTCTCTCAGTTCCAACAGGTGCTGTGATGCAATGTTCCAAACCTTCACGAAAAGAATTCAACATACAAAAGATATCAAATTAATCTTTCAACAGAAGCAAGTTAGAAACAACAGTCAATGGGAACAAGACCAATAGCATTTAACCAAGGTAGGAGTTGAGAACACAATTAATTAATTCTAAAAGGAAATAAAGCTATCGAGGTTGAAATAGTTTCGATGAAATTTGGCTTTTAGATTAAAATTTCTGAACCTCAGACAATGAAAACTGTATACTTTGTAAAAATGAAAGTGCCTATTTGGATAAGCACAAAGGCAAGTAACTTAGACTCAACAAAGCAGCGTTAAATGAATAAGGGCTTTCGAAGAAGAGGTTCAATGTAGCAACATTTCTTTTTCTCTAAATTTTGGCATTAATCCTATAGACCTGGGGCATATTTATTAGCTTCATATGATTCTTCATATCTTCCTTTCTCACTAGAGAGGACAAGGTAACTAAGTCCAGAAGAATCTTCTAGAGTGATAAAGTTCCAAATGTCAGAGGTGGAGCTAGGGAGGGGCCAGAAGGGGGCACTTCCACCCTGAATCCTCCTTACCCCTTTGATTATTTTTCCCTTCTCCACTTTTTAACCTATGTTTCTCTTCATGTGGGCTCCTCTCAATATCAGACACTACTCCACTTTCAAGTTAAATCCCTGAGCAAAATAAGCCCCGGGCGCAAAAGAGAAAAAAGAAAAAGAAAAAAAAAACTATTTGAAGTTATTAGTGACTATGCTATGACACACAATAAGGTTTTAGTTCTTAATCCACCTTACTCTTGCACTGTACACAACAGCAATAAAACCTAGAGATCAGAGATTTAGAGTAAACTTAACTGCAAAACTGGCCTTTCAACAACGTATACTGTTCTTACTTCTCAGTTTTTATTCTCAAAAATCACAATTATTAATTGCTAAAGTTTAATCAATAAAGCATTCATCAGATAACAACAGAACCTAATGACTTACTTAACTTACTGAAGACACCATTATTAACATAGTACAATACAACAACAGCAATGCCTATTTCACAGTCATCAACTGCTAAACAAACTTACAGAAGAAACTGACTTAGATAGAGCTAATGAGCACAAACCTCTTTGCCGAGAAGGTGATGACTTCTGTCCCGAATTTCCTATCCAATCCTCAGCATCCTTAGAAGAATTTAAATCAATCTTTTCATCATGAGACTTGATGTCCACTGTCAGTAACTCATCATCATCCATTTTCCTGAGATCTTTCTCTATTTTTTGACTATCAAAACCTACTTCTAATACTTCTCTGGACAGATATTCAATCCCATTACTACCCATCCCCAGAATCAGAACTTTCAATTCTCAGCAATCCATTAATTGGGAAACATTTGCAAACAATAGATAGACAAACACAATCTGAACACAAAAATGAGAAGAAACCCCAATCATCCGCAAGCTCAGAATGACTTGAATAACAACAGTTCTTGGGAATCTGATTCTGAACAGTTGCAATTCCCTTCAACTTTTCTAATATGCGCAAGTACCCAGAAACACATGGTAAGTGGGCCTTGAAAGACCATCACAAAAATTTAATGATCCAAAGCTTTAGTAACTAAATATAATTGACCAACAAGAACAACCACCCACCCACCAGTCATTCAAGCACAAAGAACGTTTGGTAAGCATAAAGTTCAAACCTTTTTTTCAACTCTAACCCAAACTCAATTCAAGAATCAAGGTGTAGTTCACGTTGGTCACAAGAAGAAGAAGTAATTCAAGATTTTCTTCACTGTCTGAAACGGTAGTTGCTTTGGACAAGATTTTCTTCCCTGTCTGAAACATAACAAAATTGAGTTACAAAAACCCAATAGAATCGCGTACGGTGCAACAGGGTGACATTTTTACCACCGCTGTTAATTTTTCATACATATAAAAGGAAACATGCATTTTTTTTGTCATGAAATGAAAGGATGAATTTGCATTTCTTTTCTTCTTGAAAAAGATAAGTAACATTAATTTATATTTTTTTCATGATCTATAAAGTTAATAAATTAAATTATTATAATTATTAAAAGAATTAAATTTATATCATTTATATTTTTATAAATATTACACGGATGGAACGTGGCCGTTTGAAACAAGGTAAAGTGAAAGTCTACTTGACTAGAGATGAAGGTTCTCTATAGTTGTTTTGACTTTTAACTATAGTAAGAAATTCTCAGAGTTAAAAAAAAAAAAAAAAAAAAAAATCATAAAATAATAACACAAAATGTGGTATTGAAAAATATGCATTTTTTGGACGCAAACTGTTACAATGCAATTTGTGATGACAGCTTTGTCGGCTGAAATTGCAACATCCAATCTCCAAGGCTACACCATTAAACTGCAGACAATATTATTATTACAGGATTGCATAGTAAATTAATAATGATAATGATGATGATGGAGCCACTAATATCTCATGCTGTATCTCGAGATTCACGTGTCACTCTGCAAGTTACACCTGGTGGAGTAATCATAATTCATAGCTTATTTCATCCAAAAAAATAAATAAATAATCATAGCTTATAAAGAAAAAACAACGGATAATAATAGTAATGGTATTATTGTTTTAGGCGAGTCGGCCTCGTAATTATCTTCAGAGGTAAGTTGGCCTCAAGTCTTAAAGATCATCAAAGATATATTTGATGAAAATTTTAATTTAATTTTCTCCCCACTTACTCAACTTATATTATCAATTGAATTATAGTCGTTGGGTTTCTTGCTGCAATTTATTTAAGAGTTTAGTTAATATATGTTGGTCATATAATAATACTTATTAATATTTCAAAAAATTATTATTTATTATTTTTATTTTAAAATATGATAATTCATTAAACTATATTAATAACAATTTGTATTTTTTTTTTTTTTTTTTTTGATAACAAGTATATTTTTTTTATATGAACACAGCATACTAATTAAACTCTTGTTTTAAACTTGTATTAATTATTATATGTTGTTACATTTATTATTTTAACAATTGCATTTTTATACTATGTATTTCATATATTTTTTTATTTGAATTTGATTTCTCAAGTGTTTCCATATTTTTTTAGTCTGAGATTAATTCTCAAGACACGAAAAAAAAACTAGTGTAGAAAGTTGTATAAATTAAATCCATAAAAAATATACTAAAATTAACAATATATTAGCTTATTATCCATTAAAAAATTTCAATTTAACAATATATTAAATTAAGCTGTAAAATTAATAAAATAATTTATTATTATTAATTGAAAAAATAATAATAAATGAGTGAGTACTGTAAAATTCTTGAATTATCCATCACAAAAATAAAATAAAACTACAAAACATAAAGTTAATAAGCTTTAATGCACTAACGGGACCAGGGCCAAGCTGGCCGTATAAGCAATGGCCCCTTAAAGATTTGTCCATTTTTCCAAAATGGATCCAAATCCTACACTTTTAGCTTTGAAGAGAAAAAGGTGGTGATTTTAATAGTGTTGGTTAATGGTTTATTCGTATCACTATATTTGGGTGATAATTAAATGTATAGTTTTCATATTATATAATATATTAAACAATAAAATAAAATAAATAATTAAAATTTAATTTAAGTAAAATTTTAAATTAGTATTGAAAATTCATTTTATATAATTTGTAACAGAAAAATTTAATAATAAAAGGATAAATAATAATAATTTATATGTGAGCATTTATTTGTCTCAAAAAAATATGATTTATAATATGATAATAATATAATATAAAATTTGAGAAAAATAAAAAAAATTATGTATATATAAGACCACAAAGAGTCTAAGTGATTTATTTTATAACTACAATGAGTGCAAGAGAAAATTTAAAATCACATGGAATTAAATGATAAATTATTTAAGCATGATGGGCCAAAATGACAAGTTTAAAATCATAGGAGGTTAAATGATAAATTATAAAACTAAAAAAAAAATACTAATCTATAATCATATTACACAAAACAATCTTAATCTGTACGAGGTTCATATTTACATGTCTACCTTCCTAACTCTAATTATGTACATGATCTTTTCATTTCTTTGATGACCAATGCCCTTGCCCGGTTTATTGTTACAAGGCACAAGTACACATGCTCTTCAAGTTCTTCCACTTGTTTCCTGATCCCAACATCACTTTTCTTAAGCTCCTTCACTATTTGCAAAGAGAATTTGTCTTCTTTCCTGTCCAAACAGAATTGCACCATTGCCCTGTTATGCTCAATTTCATCATGAAGCCGAGCTATGAGTCTACTCATTGTATCAAAGTCTCGATTCAATATATAAGTTCCCTTGGCTGCTATATCAAGCTGATCATAAACTTCACTAAGAGACCCACTTCCTGAAATTTTATAGCTTTGAAGCTTCTTCTTAAGATGCTTAAATGGGAAGTTGAGAATTGCTGACCCCATGATTAATGCTACTAGAGTATGTGCTGCTATAACTATGACTGTGACTGCTACTATGCCACAACATGCTGTGACACAAATCCCAGATGTCTTCTTCAAATACTTTGTTAGCTTAATTTTCCTTCCCACCTTTTTTCTCATTGACTTCAGATGGTGCAATACTGATGAGTGCTTATCATTGATGAGCTTGAAGTTGAAATCATTTTTTTTAAGGTTTGACAAGGGGTTATTTGAGAAGATGAATGAGTTGAGCTCAAAGATTATTAGCTCAAAATTTTCTGATGAGTCACCATCCATAATGTCTAGTGCTCTTTGAATGAACTGATAATTAGAGTGAACCTGTTTTATGCTTTTGAGAAGATGACTGCAAATGTGTGAAGCTTCAGCACTAATGTCAAAGTAACTCAGCATAAGGTTTTTGAGTTCTGGTGTCTTTGAAAGGGTTGCTGAATCAATAATGGAAGGTATAGTTTCTTGGTCAGGTTCAAGGAGGATTTCTGAAAATTTATTATGGTTATAATAAATGGAAGGCTGGTTTGAAAGTGATTGAGCTTTATTGAAGAAATCAGCATAGGATCTTGTTCTTAATGCCCTGTAGTACTCCTCATGGAAGTTGATGCTTTTTGGGGCATCCCTACGTTCCTTCACATCTAAAAAGAAAATATAATATGTCACTTAAAATGTTAAATAGAATGTGATAAAGAAACTAATTTCTGAATAAAATGGCATGGAGCATGGTACTAATAAGATAAGAATTGTTAAAAACTATATGATTCAAGGTACAAATACTAACCAGTTCAGGACATTAAATCGATCAGCATAAACATGGTTTGGACTTCGAAATAGGCAAAATCAATTTACTTCTGAAAACGATGTCATCTTTTGCTTTTAAAGACCGTACTGATTACAAAAAACAGAAATATTTTGATCTAGCGCAAAGGCTATCTGTTTCCATTTTGGTGCTACTAGGAAATTTTCTGTTAGTCATAAACAAATAATTAGGAGTTAGGACTCGTTTTCCTTACCTAAACAAGATACCAGACAGTTAATCTTATCAAAAATTCCTTCATTTTTTTCGCTGTTATGACAAAATAAACGGGGCTACCTGATACCAATATATCAAGTTGCCTAGATCTGCATGTATTGAGAAGATAATAGCCAAATGAAAAAAGATGAAGTCATAAGAACATACCTCCTTGTCTGTCCTTCCAAGCTTTTAATTTTGCCAACATCTTGGTTTATCTTATGAGCAAACTTGATGATGCAAAAGCTAAGAAGGGAACTAATATTATATGAACAAACTTGGTTCTTAATCACTTAGAAGGAGATATAGCCATCGAGGGATTTAAAGCCTTAATGCTAAATCAACTCCGAACAGAATTGTCTTCGGTAGAGGTTACCTATATGGTTTATCCAAAAAGAAAGAAAAAGAAAGAGAGAGGCCAAGTAATAACGTAATTTCAAGAGCTCAAATAATTGTAGTCCCTTTTAATAAATAATGGTTATCCATACATATAATAAGGCTAATCAACTTCCTACAAGCTACGTAGTCTGTTATTTGATACATGTTTGCTTATAAAACCTCTCACGGTTACAAAGATTCAAAATTAAGCTTTCTCTATGATATAATTAATCCTATAATCTCATCTACAAGAGGTAGAGATCATAATCGCTTTTCCAAATTATTTGCAAGCTTTATGGCTAAAATTGCTAGAGATTCCTTTTCTGCTGAGAACTCAATTGCATCAAGTAGACTCGTTTAATTTGCTCCCTTCATTCTTTTTATGTCGTGTCCTCATTAGTACTTACATAATTTTGCAAGCTTACACCAATGCTAACCTACATGGTGCATGTATCATGTATGCTGAGATCGATACTTCTTCTAAGGAAGTAACATATATAAAACTTGGGAAAACTATTTCTCATTTAAAAGGATACAAGTTGTGTTCTTTTAGTTTTTTTACTCTATGTATAGTTATAACATGGGGAAAAAAATTCTCTCTCCTCGGTTATATCAACTAACGTGAAAAATGAAAAAAAATAATAATTTTTCATGTTATAACTATGTACTACCAGGAATGCATAGAGTAAAAAATTAAAAGAACACACACTAAATCCATAAAACTTTTATGTGGATTAAATTGTCATTATACCCTTCCTAGTTCCTTATATGTGAATCAATTAGATTTGTTATTACAATCTAAACAAATGTGCATTGCTATAGTGCTATGAATTTCATATAGGACATAATATCTTCCTGCCGTAACATTAAATTAAAAATAACAATTCACAATAGTGATTGCACTTATATTTACATGAGCATTAATATTGATATATACAGCACGCATCATTTTGTAAAAATATCTGTTTATGTTTGGGATTTGTTCTATCTATAAATGAGAAGGAACCTAAAATTATAAGGTCTCCCTCTTGATTGATGCATGCCACATCTCTTGGCAAATCTCTGCCTCAAACTCGGAAATTAATTCAATGGTTTCCCTCTTTTTTCTCTCTCTTCTCATATTAAATTTGATGAGCACGTTAATTTTGCTCCTCAAACTCTATTGCTGAACAGTAGAGTTTTCAAACCTCACAAACAATCTGTTTATTTTCTTATTATTATGCATGCGCATGTGTTCGTCCATATACATATGGCTTCGACACGAAAAATCTTAATTAAATTGATAGTTCAGTAACTTATCATTATCATCATTAATCACATCATATTCAATCAATGGTATATTCCTTTTAAGTTTGAATCTCCCTTTTCTGAATTGATCATCTCATAATCATTGTCGTTACTGAGGGCAATCATATGATGTTGTCACGCATTCGCCAATTGAAACAATCCACAAAGACACGCGTAAAAATAGTATGAGTCACGTTATGCAAGCATAAACCTATATTTGAGAAACCGACAAGTCTTACCTACGTGGCCGAGTAGGTGTCAATTGTCAACATTCTCAAAATGGAAAAGTAACAGAAAGAATGTTATTATGTTACTTGAGATCTTGTCATTCTGAAATATATTCTATGCTAACGTAGCCAAATATTGCTATAGCTAGGGATTAATGTCAAGCTACCTTTTTAAATGAAATTAAGCTTCTTGCTTTTTCCTTAATTTGGGAATTCATGATATTTTTTCTTTTCTTTTTTTCCTGCTCTAAGAAACTTTAATAATGGAAACCTATTTTTTTCCGTTAATCATTGTGGTGGGTTACATAATTGAAGTACTCTTTCTTTTCCCATTAATCATTTCTTTCATTATGGAAGTGAAATCCAATATCCTGTCTTTACATCACTAATTGAAAAAAAAAAAAAAAAAAAAAACTTGTCAATCATTTATTGAGGGCAAATACAGATATCAAAACAAGATCATAAACATTTTATTTTTGCATGAAATTTATCCTCTTATACATTCTTAATTGAATACAATATTTTTCTATAACAATTGATTTTTAATGAGACAAAATTATTGTTTTATTCAATTTTTAATGTATTTAGAAAAACGACCGATTAGAGTTTCATTAATGTTGCCAAAATATATATCAAATTAAACCCACGTACAAAATTTTCTTTTCTTTCTGTTTTGGGTCAAACTTCTTCAACAAAAGAAGAAAATGAGATAGAAAATAAGACAACAGAAAGAAAATATGCGCATCACACGGTCGTGTTGTGCCACTATACGTACAAGGAGGCAACTCACCATCTCACCAGAAAACGACATGAGAGTGAGCCATGCATATATATTATATAGAACTAGAAGCATCCTTTTGGGGCGTTGTAAATAAGTTAAATTGGGCTATACTTAAACTTAAATAGGTTAAGCTGTGTAAAAAAATATACGATCTGACCTGGTCTATTAGCCTGTATAAGCCCAAATTATAAGTATGCTCTGATCTATATTTATAAAATAACAATCTTGGCCTAAGTCTGTTAGCCTATTTAAACTTATTAAATATTCCATGATAAAAAAATTAACTAAATAATATTACTTTATTATTCAAAATTATTAAAATAATAATTTTATTTATTTTATTTAAAATAAATAATATGACATAGGTCGGCCTATAGACTTATAAATTCGACATGTACAAAAAAGCTTATGACCTACTTTTTAAATATTTTTTTAAAAAGCATAGGCATGTTCTATTTGACTATTTGTAATAGGTCAAGTTTAATCTAATATAGGCTAGGACATAGACCTATGTAGGCCAACCTAATTCATTTACACTCGTAGGGCATCCTAAGCAAGTATGGGTTTACTATTTTTATTATTTTATTGCTTTTTGAATTGTTGGGCTGTTTAAATAGTGAATGATTATTTCAATTTCAATTTTTTAAAGTTGTTTTTGTAATATTTATTTAAATCTTGAAATATTTGAATAAAGATAATAAAAAGAGAAGAATTGTTTGTATACACCTATTTGCATGTTTGAAGTAGGTTCTTGAACTCAAATCCTTTATTTTGTTAAAAAAATATGTGTACGTAACATATGCGGGAACAGTGACCAAAATGTCACTGTTCATCAATTTTTTTACATGAATGTCACGCAAACAGTCTTATTTCTCAATCTGCCACGGGGGCAAGTTCGCTACCCGGTGTAGAGAACGCGATTTGCTGACGTGTCACGTTTCTAGTGGACACCAAGTTCGCTACACGGGGTAGCGAACTTGGTTTACCCTATGTAGCGACCTTCAAACCTTTTTTTTTTTAATTTGATACTTGTTATTCACTAGAAATGTGACACGTCAGCAAATCGAGTTCGCTACACCAGATAGCGAACTTGCCCCCATGACAAATTGGAAAATAAGACTATTCACGTGACATTTCGATAAAAAAAATTGATGAAGAGTAATACTTTACACGTACGTGCATCATACTGGGGTTGAGATTTGCTTATTCGTGAAGAGGTCAATTTGTGATGGGGGGTTTTCGGTATATCTAATTCAATGCGCTTGGAATATCCATTCGTTTTCCATGTGTCAAATGTGTAGCATCCTTATCCACATCCACATGCGTGGCTCTTTCTCTTTTGTAACATCATTTTCATTGGTTGGGCTGACAATAACTGCATCAATTTTTATTTTTATTTTGTCTAGTTGTAATTACGTAGTATTTTCGTCAAGTTTCTCGTTTTACTACAATACTTGTCCATGAGCTGAGCACTTTAAAAAGTGAAGAAATAAAAAAATATTAAGTTTGGCAATTATTCAAATTGATCTTACCAGGAAATTAAGCTTTAACTATCATCAACAAAATGTATAATATAAAAAGTTTAAGCACATTCATAAAAATTGTAATTGTTCTCTAATGGTACAAGAAAATATTAATTGAGTAATTTTATCTAACCCATTGATTAACCCAGCCCATTGCACTATAATGTATACACTACTAATATTATTGTGTCATATCTAATCACTAGTTTCTTCGTACTTTGCATACTCATGCTAGGTAAAGGGGTAACTTTGCTTTCAATTGAATGGGTCAATGCAATAATCATTGAGACTGAAGCAATCAAGTAAACTGCAGAAGAAAAATGACTTATATGAATTTGCAGTGGTGGTTGCCATTTTAGTGACAGGACAGAAAAGAAGCCACAGAACGAGCGATTGTGGCCTAAGAAATGTAACTAAAATAATAATGGAATGGGTCCTACATCCGCTTAGGGGGCTAAAAAAATCATTCTATTTTTTTAAATAATAATAATAATAAAAGGTACATGTTTGGTTTATTTTTTAATTTAAAACTATTTTTAAAATAGTTTATAAGAATCACTTTTAAAAATAAAAGAAAAAGTTATTTGATAAAATTGTTCTGGAAATAATTTTAAAAATCAAACAACAAAAAAAAAAATTTTTTTTAAAGTAAGCAAAATGATTTTTAGGTCAATTTAATTAAATTAAATTTAAATTAATTAATTTTTTAAAATATACCAAAAATATATATTTCATTTTGAATCAATTTCATTGAATACTTTATTAATTAATAGAAAACTGTTAACTACATAAAAATATTAGATTTGACCCTTTTCTTTTTGAATAATTTATTTTAAGGTGTCTTTAGAAACTAGAAACTACTAGGTAAATCTCTTATATTGTGTAGCGATGTCTTTCAACCAACAAATCATTCTCCATTTTGAACAAGGGTTTGTTTTTCTGCAATTAATGCAGATAAGTTATCTGCAATAAGTTCAATATGACCTCGTTTTGGGGCAGGAATTATGATGTTTTTGTAATTTTAATTTATTTCAGAGTTATAATAATCTTTATATTTATAATTTTTTAAGATTTCAATTCCAAAACGACGTCGTTTTGAAAATAAATGTAGATAACTTTTCTGCAGTAACTGCAGAAACATTTTTTCCTTTGAATAATTATATTCTGTTTTGCTAATGAAAAAATATATATTCTTTTAAAAGGAAGATTATTTTAGTTAAAATTAGTGTTTTTTATTTAAAATTTAAATTAAAAAATCGGTCATTTTTCCTCTATGATTTTCATTGTATATCACTTTATCTCACTAAAATAACACAATTTTATATCCTTTAAAAGTACAAACACCAATTCCTTTACTAATATATTGATACATGCTAAATTTTAAGGGTAATTTTTTTCTTTGTAACTCTTAGCATCGTTGTTGGTGCCTGGTGGCATGTTTTGAATTTTTACTATAGATTTAAGACTTAAAAGATAAAATAGAGATATCGATTGAAGTCCCAATATTAGCTGAATGGATATCCAAAATTTTAATTCCTTAAGTTCAAAAAATTAATTGATGGTGACATTAAGATTGACAAAGAGAATAATTTCTTTTAGGAAGTTCGTTCCTACTTACTAAACTATATTAAGAGGTTTGAGAATTAGTTATTTTTTTGCCATATGAATTTTTTTCAAAATTCTCAATATTTTCCCCCAAACTCATGTTATCTCCACTAACCCTAAAGCAATGTCGTTTTAAGGTTTGGAGGAATATTTTTTTGTAATTCTTATCTTTATCATTAAATTTGTTTTCTCTTTCGATGGAATTTTCGACGGAATTTCAATGATTTTCGATCAAAAATTTTCGACGGAATCTCTAATTCCGTCGAAAATTTGTTAGCAACGAAGAGATACTCGACGGCTTAATTTCCGTCGAAAATTCCGTCGAAAATGACATTTTCGACGGAATTTTAACCATTTTTGACGGAATTTTTCCGTCGAAAAAAATGCATTTTTTAGTAGTGGACGTTTTGGAATAATTGGAGATAACTTTATCTCCAGTGACGTGAAAAATACTAAACCCTTATATATATATATATATATATATATATATATATATATATATATATATATATATAGATATAGGGATAGGATTCTTTGGTATTTGTGTTAAACTTTTTGACACCAAATACTAACCGTTAATTTTTGTCAATAAATATTGTTTAGTCCATGTCATATTAAATGAAACTAAAATAATAATGGAACGGGTCATACATCACCTTAGGGAGCTAAAAAATAATTATTTTAAAAAAAATATATGGTAATAATAATTATAAAAAAGGGAAAAATTTTATTTATTTTTTAACATTTTGAAGACTATTTTTCAATATAATTTATAAGAATTATTTTTAAAAATAAAAGAAAAAATTCATTTAAATTTTTTTTCTAAAAATAACTTTAAAAGTCAAACAACAACAAAATTAATATAATTTTTTTAAAGTAAGCAAATTATTAATATAAAAAAAATTAAATCATCTTCAATGAATTTCAAATATAAAAATGATTTTTTTATCAATTAAATTAAATTTAAATTATTTTATTTAAAAAAAACCAAAAATATAAATTTCATTTTGAATCAATTTCGTTGAATAATTTATTAACTAATAGAAAACGTTTAACTACGTAAAAATATTAAATGTGATGGTTTTTTTTTGGGTTCACTTTTTCTGCAGTTAATGCAGATAAATTATCTGCAGTAAGCCCAATACGACGTCGTTTTGGAGCGGAAATCATGATATTTTTGTAATTTTAATTTATTTCAGAGTTATAATAGTATTTATATTTATAATATTTAAAGATTTTAATACCAAAACGATGTCATTTTGGGAATAAATGCAGATAACTTATCTGCAATAACTGCAGAAATATTTTTCCCTTTTTTTTTTGAATAATTCATTTTAAGGTATCTTTAAAAACTACTAGGTAAATCTCTTAGTATCTACTATTTAGTAACGATATTTTTCAACCAACAAATCATTTTGCTCCATTCTCCATTTTGAAAAATTATATTTTGTTTTGCTAATAGATTGATGGGAAATATTACTCTCCTTTTACATAAGAATATTTCTCTCCTACTCTCTCACTTCGATTTTCGCACCTCACTTTTTCCTTTTTTTTTTCTTTTTTTTATAATGGTGGGACTCACCCATTTTATCTCTACAACATAAGATACATATCTTATGTTGAAGGAGAATAATAAAACCATAGATTGATACATGCAAAATTTTAAGAGTAGTTTTTTTCTTTGTAACTCTTAGGGTGTGCATGACAACCTTTCCGGAATGAGTTTTTTTTTAATTTTTGTTCTCGGGAACAAAAAAGGATGAGAATTGCGTTTGATAAAACCAGTTTATTTTTTTGTTCCCGGGATGAACCGATTTTATTTTTGTGCTGGGGAACAAAAAAAAATAAAAAAAAATTCTGCTTCTCTATTTCCGGCCACAAAAAGAGAATCAATTTTCTCTCACACTCGTACGACTCTGTACCCGCTCACACACCAACACCAAACCATCACTGCTTTCAACCATATCATGGGACGACAAATCCCTCCCTTCACACAGAAGTTGCAAATTTTGGGATTTTTGAAATTGGGGTTAGGGTTCTTGAAGGATTACACGTCTAAAACAAATTTATTCATCTTATTATATTGCAGTCCGTTGAAAAGTGCAGTCTGTTGAAATAAAAATAATTTAATATAGTGAATTATTTTATAGCTCGACCTTGGATCTGGAGGGAGCTCGACCTTGGATCTGGAAAAGTGCAGTCCATCTTCATAGGATTTTTATTTTTTATAGCTCACAAATTTTAAATCCATTATAGAACAAAAATAAAAAGAAAAATAAAGAAGAAGAAGACGAAGACAGAAAGAAGAATGATTTTAAATCCAATGAAAACATAAAGACAGAAAGACGAAGACAGACGGAAAGAAGAATGATTTTTTATAGCTCACAAATTTTAAATCCATTCTTCATAGGATTTTTAATTTGAAAGAAGAAGACGAAGACAGAAAGAAAAAAAACAGAAAAAGAAAAAAATGTTATCAAACGTAATTCTGATTCTTCGAACAAAAATAAAATATATTAACAAACGTAATTATGATTCTCATAATTGTTTCGAGGCACAGAAATAAAAAAGAATCATTTCTTTTCAGAAACAGTGCCAGGAAATAGAATGATTGTCATGCGCAGGCTTAGGGTGTGCATGACAACCTTCCCAGAATCAATTCTTTTTTAATTTCTGTTCCCGAGAACAGAAATGGATAAGAAACTCATTTGGAAAAATCGGTTATTTTTTTGTTCCGGGGATGAACCGGTTTAATTTTTATGCTGGGGAACAAAAAAAAAAGAATCACAAAATTTCTGCTTTTTTGTTTCCAGACATAAAATGAGAAACACTTATCTCTCTCAATCACTCTCCACCATCGTACCACTGATGTCATCGTCACCACCACGGTGCCACCACCACCTCCACCTATCACCACCACAACTACCGTCGCCACCACCACCACCACCACCACCACCACTATCACCGTCACTATCGCCATCAACCACCACCACCATCACCGCAACCATTGCCGCCGTCACCGCCACCATCCCATCACACGCCACTGCCACCACCCTCATCGCCATCACTACCACCACCACGACGCCACCACTACTATCACCACCACGTCACCAATCACCACTATTATTGTCACAGCCACTACCGTCACCACCGCCATCGTCGCCGCCGCCGCCACCAACCACCACCACAATTGTCACAGCCATTACCGTCACCACAACCACCATCACCACCATTACACCACCCCCGCCACTACCACCACCACGCCATTGTCACCACTACCGCCACCACCACTGTCACCTACTACCGTCACTGCCACCACCACCACCATGATGCCTTCACAACCACCACCACCATGCCACTGCTACCATTATTGTCGCCACCAACCACCATACCTACTACTATTGTCGCAATCATTGCCGTCACCTCGATCACCACCATCCCCACTACTATCACCGTCGTCGCCACCATTACCACCGCCATCGTCGCATCCAGTATCGTCACAACCACCACCACTATCTTCACCACGTCATTGTTGCCACCAATACCGTACCGTCGCCGCCACCGCCACCACAACCACACCATGTGGAAAGTAAAGTGATGATCCATAGTTTTTTATATTTAATTAGAATTATTTTTTATTATATTATTTGTTGTGTTATCAAACACAATTCTTATTCTCGGAATAAAAATAGAACATTTTATCAAACACATTTTTTTCTCAGAAACTGTTCCATGGCACAGAAATAAAAAAGAATTGTTTCTTTTCAGAAACAGTGCTAGGAAATAGAATGGTTGTCATGCACACCCTTAGCATCTTTGGTGGCATGTTTTGAATTTTTACTTTAGATTTAAGACTTAAAAGATAAAATGGAGATCTTGATTGAAGTCCCAATATTAACTGAATGGATATCCAAAATTTTAATTTATATTATGTTGAAAAATTAATTGATGGTGACATTAAGAGTGAAAAAGGGAAGAAGTTCTTTTAGGAAGCTCATTTCTAGTTACTAAATTACATTAAGAGGTTTGAGAATTAGTTATCTTTTTGCAATATGATTTTTTTTCTTTCAAAATTCTCTATATTTTCCCCCAAATTTTAAAATAATATCATTTTTAAAACGAGAAATACTAAACTCATATATATATATATATATATATATATATATATATATATATGATTTAATGTTTCTCCAGCAATCTCTAGTGACCTCAAAATAACATCGTTTTGAGATTTGGAGGAATACATTTTTGTAATTCAAATTTATTCTGGGCCTATATTAGTTTTTCTCATTATTATTTTTTTCTCTTAACCCCAAACAACATTTTGGGGTAACTAGAGATAATTTTATCTCTAATATATAGTTATAATATTAAAGTTATTCTTTTTCTCTCATCAAAAATTTAACTATGTACTACGGGCAATACATAGTTGTAATATTAAAAAACTTTTTTCTTTCCTCATTAACTTTTAAAAGACTTGTCAACGGACGTAGGAAAGAGAAAAAAATAACTTCAGTATTATAATTAAATATTCCCCAGTGTACATAATTAAATTTCTAAAAAAAAATTAATTTTAATATTATAACTGTACTTCCCAAATATATAGTTATAATTTTTTTATCAGACAAAATCTTGTATCAAGTCACATGACGAATTATTTTTTCACACACATACACACATACATAAAGCAATTTGAACTTATATGGTAAAAAGAAAGAGTAATAAAATATATGGTGGAGAATGGAGGAGATTTGGTGACTTGGGCGTTGACTAGTGATGGTCTCTTCTCTGTGAAATCTGCATATTATTCTTTGGAAGAAACAACGTTAGTTCAAGGGGTGGCGAGGAATCTAAGTCCTTGGAGATGGAAGGGTCCCGCTTGAATTAAGCTTTTTTCTGGAAAGCCTTAGGAAACTTCCTGTTGACAAATGTGGCTCAAATAAACTTAATTTCCTGTATTACATGTCCCCATTGCAACCTTGTTCCGGAAGATCTATTACATGTCCTGAGGGAGTGCAACTAGAGCAGAGAAATTTGGAACCTTTTAATTAGTCAAGACTTACAACTTTCATTTTTTGAGCCCAACTACAGGACTAGATTACCTGAACCTCAACTCATCCACAATTTTTGATATTCATTGGGACTGGAACCAGTTCTTTGGTGTCCTTATCTGGTTGATATGGAAGGCTAGGAATGATCTTGTCTTCAACCAAAAAAAACCTTAACCGGGAAGTTATGGAGTGTCGATGGCTCAAGTAGCATAGGAGGTGCTTACTCAGAGAAGATGGCTGGAATGATCTTGTTTTCAACTGCAGATTTTAATCAGAGAAGATAAAGTTTTCATTTCTAATTACAAGGGAGCATCGATGCGGATTGGTAGTTATGGAGCTGGCAGTAAGGGGAGAGTAAACAAATTTATATGCTGGCAGTTTCCCCCTGATAGTTGGGTTAAAATTAATATGGAGCTCAAGTAGCGAATGAGGTGATTACTCTAGTTGCGGAGGAGTTATTAGAGACGCGACTGGTAGGTGGATTGTAGGATTCAACAGAAACTTGGGAACCAGTTTATCTTTGAGTGCGGAAGTTTGGGGTTTTATGAATGGTGTCCAAGTAGCCTGAAATTTTGGGATAAAAAAACTTTGGATTGAAGGATACTCACAGGTTGCTATCAACCTCATTTACAAAGGCTGCGAGAAGTCTCACCCAACTGTCCTGCTAATAAACCAGATCAGTCACATGCTGCAGAGACAATGGTCAGCTAAGCTTAGCCATACGTATAGGGAAGGAAACATGGTAGCCGATTATCTTGCAAATCCACTACTAGAAAAGTCTTTACTATATACGGAATTTTTCAACGAAAAAAATTTCGTTGAAATTACTGACATAATTTTTGACGGAAAACTGATTCTGTCAAAAGTTTTTGACAAAAAATGTATTCGGTCGTAAATTTTTCGACGGAATTTAAATTCCGTCGAAAGTTTACGACGAAAAACTGATTTCGTCGAAAACTTTTCAAAAAATTAAATGAAAAAGAAATTATATTTGTGGCCTTTTCGACGGAAAATGAATTCCGTCGAAAACTTTTCAAAAAAAATGAAAAAAAAATTATATTTGTGGCCTTTTCGACGGAAAATAAATTCCGTCGAAAACTTTTCAAAAACATAAATGAAAAATAAATTATATTTGTGGTCTTTTCGACGCAATATAAATTCCGTCGAAAACTTTTCAAAACATAAATGAAAAAGAAATTATATTTGTGGACTTTTCGACGGAAAATAAATTCTGTCGAATTTTTTTGAAAAAAATATATGAAAAAGAAATTATATTTATGGGCTTTTAGACGGAAAATGAATTCCGTCGAAATTTTTTGAAAAAAATAAATGAAAAAAAAATTATATTTATGAACTTTTCAACGAAAAATAAATTCCGTCAAATTTTTTTAAAAAGAATAAAAGAAAAAGAAATTATATTTATGGGCTTTTTGACGAAAAATAAATTCCGTAAAAACCTATTAAAAAAATAAATAAAAAATAAATTATATTTGTGGGCTTTTCGACGGAATTTAAATTCCGTCGAAAACTTTTGAAAAAAAAAATATATATATATATATATTTGTGAGCTTTTCGACGAAATTTAAATTTCATCGAAAACTTTTGAAAAAAACTAAATAAAAAAAAAATATTTTTGTGACATTTTCAACGGAAAATGAATTCCGTCGAAAACTATTGAAAAAAATAATTGAAAAAAAAACTTTAAACCCTTTTCCACTGCAAAATTTTTAAGTTCACGCTTCGCTCTCTCACTTCTGTCTAATTTGGAGGTTCTTTCTTATTCTTCCCCAAATTCGCTTTCTTCAGAGCACAAAGGGTGCAATGAGTATTGCCAACGAGTTCCATAGCAATTCAGCGTTTCTTTCCCTTTCACTTCAACACCATATAATTTGGGCCTTTTTCTTTTCTTTTTAATCGAAATAACAAACCTCTTCCTAACCGTGAAGCACGGTGCATATTTACAAAAAGTTCTCGCCAGGCATCATTTTGAAACTGAACGCCATTGAACGAAGCTTGAACGTGAGAAAGCATGGGTTCCTATTCCAAAGCAATTGATGGGACTTCCCTTGATCCATGGTCAGAAATTATGGCTGTTGAAACCCAAGATCATCATCCCTTGAGCAGAACTGATGCTATTGGCTGTAGAAGGAGGAGGAATCTTCTATTCTTCAGCTTCAAAATATAATAATGGCTTTACCACTTTACCCTTCTCTTATTGGGTCAGGGGAATGATGATAAATCCATGAGAGTTTTTCCGTGGAACCAGTACCAATTGGTAGACCAAGAATCTGATCACGAGCTCCAGCTGGCTTCAGCAAAGAACCGCCTCTCCAGCAGGTGCGCTTCCTCCGTTTTCTTTGGTCGCTCTTCTGCAGGGTCTGACACTCCATCTCATCTTAAAGTAGGCCCTGCCCAACATCATGATGTCTCACCAGGGCCACTGGTTGCTTGTGGTAGTGAGCTTGTTGAAATACGAGAATTTGAGTGCATGTATTTGAATATTTTAGTTTCTTTATCATTATAAGTGGAAAAATAATTATATACTAAGTGCTGATATTTTTGTTGTTTAGTGTTCTTTATCAGCTTTTCTGTTTCTGTGTTCAATTGTAAAATTTAGAGGGTCTTGTCTCGTGTGTCAGATTTTATCATTAGGAACTCCTGGTATTTTATGTTGTGTGATTGATACTGAATCAATTATGCAGCGTTCTCAGTTTCCCCTTTCTTTTATTTTAACTGATCTAAATATCTGATATTTACTGTTACACAAGATCTAAGACACTCTTAGAAATTTGGCTTGGGGTTTTGAGTGTAAATGGTTTGCATTTTTATGAGCAAATTGTAAACTGAATTCTGATTATTGCAGGCATACATATGACTTCATTTTTATGAGCAAATTGTAAACTGGCTTCCGGTGCTTGCACATATAACATTATCTTGGTATAGTAATTTATTCATGATTTGGTTAAAATTATAATTTTAATATAAGGTAAAATATACTAATCAATAATACTTGATAATTGAATCTCCAAGTAAGAAAATACTTGGAAATAACACTAAGAAAGCGAAAAGGAAAAAAAATAAATAAATATATATATATATATTAATCCAAAAAGAAAGGAAGGATAATAATGTTTACTTTTTTATATAATGTAACATCCTATGTAGAACAATATTCCACACCATTTAAATTATAAGAGAAACTAATAGTGCATTCATCATACTTAATTATACATGAAAAAATCCATCAAGTACATCTATTTTCGATCCAAAATACTAACACACCAACTATTCACATATTTAATCCTACTCCCAACTTTTATTTATTTATTACATAAAGTAGGAATACAAGTTATAGTTCTATTAATCGCCCATATTAAAATGGACTGTTTCTATGCGATTTAAGTAAAATATAACAGTTACTCCTCGTGTTCCAACCATAATATGAAATTCAATTTTTTCTTCGTCAATGGATAATAACATCATCCCTCATCCATCTCTATCATAAAAACACTTGACATGGTTCCCTTATGAAAAAGTTAGCATAAAAAATTATTCTGAGATGAATCTCGTAATGTTGAGATTTTCTTAACTATAACCGGTCCCAGCCACAATAACAAAAAATATAATTCTCTTAAATATGTTCATATCAAGAAAATAATATCAGGACTAATAAACTTATAAAAGAATGTGTAATATTTAACTGAAACTACTAAAGTCTAAAACTCTGTGGGTTCTGCATATATGATAGGTTTTAAGTGACCGAGCTCAAAGTCAAGTAAGACGTCCCTTACAATATTCTCATATGATCCCAAACCTTTGTGAGTTAGTTCACATCAGAATTATACAGTTAAGAATTACATATTTTTTTATTATTTATAAAATAATCTAACTACAATATTTTAAAAAAATAACTTGGTAACAAAAGTATTCAAACTATGTAATTATAAAATAAATTATTCATCTTAGATAATAATGAGAATTTAGATTATGTCGTTAGCGCAGAGCCTCATTATGGAATTCAACTGTTGTTCCTGGCTAACTTTGTTGCTCTGGGTAGACCTCGTACATTAGTTGTTCAGTAGTTATTATTTTTGGTTTATTTGTTTTTATTTCTTTGGTGGGCTTAGGCCCTCTGCTTTACCAACAAAAAAGAAAGAAAGAAAATGGTTTAATAATTTTCATGTTATAAGAGATAAATTTATCTACGATACACACATAAAAATATGTGAGTGAGGCCTATATGAGGAGAAGAGAGAGAAAGAAAAATATAAGACCCACATATTTTTATATGTGTGAGAAAATAAATTTATCTCATACAACATAAGAAATAATAAACCAAATTAAAAATTATAATCATAAATACATATAATAATACCTAACAATACGTAATAATGATAGTCATATTATAACATGTGTATAAAATAATTAAGTAAAAAGTGTTTATCCTTTTAGATGACATAATTTGTGCTATTTTACTTTTACAAAGAGATTGGACCCAGACATTTTTTTGTCCACTCTCTCTCATGATACAACTTTATATCCTTTAAAATAACACATTTTTTTCCAACAATTACATGTAAAAATTGGAGCCGAAATGAATTTTCCAGATTCCTATAATGATTTTTTTTATACCTATAATGAATGTTTTCTTCACTTATTAAAATGATAAACATAAAAGATATATTTATAGGAGGAAATGATTAGTGGGTATTGATGAAAAAATAAAATACTAATAAGGGATTAATATGTTTTTAGAAAATAATTTTATATTCTACGGTGTCTGTTTTTTTTGAAAAAAAGACGTGTCATCTTAAATAATACATGTTATATACTTTTACTTTTACAAAAAGGTAAGACACACGTATTTAAAACTTTTTTCACCCATTTTCTCTTTCATGATATATATATATATATATATATTTTGGTATCCTTGATTTATTTCTTTCTCTTACTTAAAATGAAATGAACAACTTTATATTCTTAAAATGATACACATTTTTTTCTCTCTCTCCATTTTGCACGACCCTTTTTTAGGAAGAGTGACCATTTTGTCACACTCGACAAAAAAATTTATCAGACTGCCACGCTAACAGTAAATTTTGCCAAAATACCACGTAGCATATTTCGCTACACTGTGTAGTGAAATATGTTTGCATATAATTCGCTACACAGTGTAGCAAAATATGCCATGTCATGATGCACAGTCAGCAAAAAATAACACGTTAAATATGTCATGTCATGTCAGGATGCACAGTCAGCAAAAAATGACACGTGTCAAGCAGACATAATCTAAGCATAATTCGCTACACAGTGTAACGAAATATGTCGCGTGACATTTTGATAAAATTTATGGTTGACATAACAATTTAATAAATTATTTTTAAGCGTGACAAGATGATCAGTGTTCCATCTTCGGTACATGTATGTTGAGAAACATTAGTCCCAAATGATTTTACACTAGGCAGTAGGCAACAAGGCATTGGGTGTGTATGTTCAGTCTGTCTCACTCCCAAATCCCAATAACAAGAACCCTAAGAGAGAAATTTTGATTGATGGCATTGGCGTCATCGAAGCTGATGGCGTCTTCCAATTCAAGGAATTCCTCTTCTCCTTCCTCCAAACCCCAATTCACAACCACCAATTTCATCCCCATGCCTATGCCCATGCCGGACCACGCCATTTTACGTGACGCCGCCGATTCCACCCTCATCGACGCCCAAATCTCCCTCGTCGACGCCGGATCCTCCGCCGCTCCCAAAACCGTCGACGATGTGTGGCGGGAGATTGTCGCCGGCGAGCGGAGGGAGTGTAAGGAGGAGGCCCCCGATGAGATGATGACCCTCGAGGATTTCCTCGCCAAGGCCGGCGCCGTCGACGACGACGATGGTGATGAGGTGAAGATGCCAATGCCCCTCACCGAGAGGTTAAGTGGTGGCAGCGTGTTTGCATTCGATCCTCTTCCGACGACGCCGTTTCAGGGATTGGAGAGCGTTGAAGGGTCAGTGATTGGGTTCGGGAATGGGATGGAGGTGGTTGAAAGTGGTGGTGGCGGTGGTGGTGGAGGGAGGGGGAAGAGGGGGCGTTCCGTTTCGGAGCAGTTGGATAAGGCTGCGCAGCAGAGGCAGAGGAGGATGATCAAGAACAGAGAATCTGCGGCCAGGTCTAGGGAACGCAAGCAGGTATCTATGTTATTTGTGTGTGTGTGTGTTGTGACAATTGGAAATATATGGGCATTTTTTGGTGATGTGGGTTTTTGACTGTTTATTTGTTTTGTTTTGTTGGTTGTGAATTTCAGGCTTACCAAGTTGAATTGGAGTCCTTGGCGGTGAAACTGGAGGAGGAAAATGACAAGCTGGAGAAGGAAAAGGTGATGTACTTGTGTCCTTCGCACACTTTCAATACGACTTAGACAATGTTCTCCTGCTCTTTTATGTAATTATGACACAAGACAATAAGTCTTGAGTTGTGTTGAACTTAAACCATTCCTCTGTGTGCTGATTTTTCAATTTTCATGTGCTTCATGCTTTGTTGTGTTGTGAGAGTCGCAACTTTCAGTCAAATGAATCTGGGTCCTTGGTAACATGGAGATGTAAGTTAAGTTAGTACTTCTCTTAGATAACCTTTCATTGTGCCGTTTAGCTGGTCATTAGTTGATTCTTTGGCCTGGCCTAGTGGCCTTGTTGGGCTTCTTCAATCCGTGAATATCTGGGAATGCATTGCTGGGCTTTCTTTTAACAAACAAGTTTGCAAGTCTTCTTTTTAATGCTGTCATTTTTAATGGGTTTACACTTTACAATGTTATTCTCATTCAATCACAGCCATCCTTGCATTATTGAAACCTTTCTTCAAGTAATAGTATTAGATCCACACTCTACCAAGTAAGAAAGCCTTTTTTGGGATGGGAAATATGTCTATCACTCCCTCAAAGAATTCAATCTCTAAATCTTCTATCCATGTCTGAGGTATGAACTTCCTATATTTTTCTTTCAACACAGTGGACTGTGCTTTTTTATTGCTAGCATTTTTAAATTTGGCATGTTACTTTGAGCATTTTGAATTGCAAATGACCCAGGTTTTGGAATGAACAAGCCCAATTGTGGGGCATAAAGGGTTTGAGTGTGCCATGTGATGTAATACAAGTTCAAATTTTGTCTGTCTCATGCACTTGGAGCCCTTCTGCTTTTTCCATATTTAGATTTTATTATGCTTTTTTTTTTTCTCGAGCCCTTACAGAACATATTATTGTGCAGGCTGAGAGGAAAAAGGAGAGGTACAAGCAGGTACTGATTTTGGTTTGTGTTGATCTTTTGGTAAAAAATTTTATGACCGTCTATTAACATATTACTTGGAAGAAATTCTTTCCAAGTTGATATTTGTTAGGTATAACCACGGCAAAAAGGAAATGAAAATGTAAATCTATGTTTGTGTTGAGTATAGTGGAACAAATGAAGAAACAGTACAGAAACTGACTTTTGAGAGGTCAGCTGTCTCCCAATCATCAAGTGCTACCCCAACTAATTCGACTAACAACTTACCTTCCACTGTGATTCTCCCCTCTTTATTATGACATCAGCAACAGAATCCACCCCCCCCCCCCCCCCTCCCCAAAAATTAAAAAAAAATGATTCTAACAGAATTCCTACCACTTCCTCTTTCTTCACACGTCTGTGGCTTCGTTGCTGGACACCAGTTACTCAAAGGTAGGCAAATTGGAAGTCTTGATTCAGTGCCTCAAACCTTCATGCTTGTGAGAACACTTGGGAGCTGTATGCAGCCAGAGATGCAAAACCAGTTTCCTCATTTCCACCAGGACAAGGTGCGACTGAATGGGGGAAGTATCGATAGGCCAACTATAACTCAGGTGTATGTTAGAAAAGATGGGTGTGATGCAGACAATCCAGCACCCGAGAGGGTGCAGAAACGTGTGAAGAAAGAGTGGGTGGTAGGAACTCTGTTGGAATCAATTTTTTGGGTGGATGAGGTTGGGGGATTCTGTTCTGATGTCATAGTAAAGAGGGGGGAATCACAGTGGAAGGTAGGTTGTTTGTGGAAATAGTTTGGGTATCATCTTGCTGATTGCGAGAGCTGACCTCTCAAAAGTCAGTTTCTGTACTGTTTCCTCGTTTATTCCAATATACTCAATACAAACATACATTTTCATTTCTACTTTGCTCTATGGTTGATATCTAACAATACTATTTCCGAAGATTACTTGCTATTGGTGGAATATGTATTAAGTAAATACTTCTTCTAGATTTGTTGCTATTAAGACATGGCTGGTAATTAATCATGCATTCACATATGTTTTATTTATTCTTGAAATTTCCTCTTTCATGTCACCACTGAAAAGAGCAGGGTTAGTGGTCCATGAAGGTTGCTTGTATATGATATGGAATATCAAGAGTTAGGCAAGTTTTCTCAATTCTCATACAGAATGATTTAAGAGAGATGAAAAAAATATATTTTGCCACTATGATATTCTCAAGCAAGTTTTTCTGTATCATGAAGCTTGTCAGCATTGAATTTTTTGCTATCAGCCTATCACTTTAAAAAATGTGGATTTATAGAATAGATGTTAGCTATAGAAAGTAATAGTATCACAACTGATCTGGTTGTTTTTTGTGCAGCTTATGGAAAAAGTAATCCCTATTGAGGAGAAGCGAAGGCCGCCACGTTTACTCCGCAGGATTCGCTCCATGGAGTGGTAGATCAAATTTGCTAGTGGTGTGGGAGGGGACTGAAGATCCGCCAATGATGTAGTTGGGGAAATAATAATATGAGCAAATTAATCATCATCTCTTAAAGTTCTCAATCTAACCGTTATTCTCAAGGGGCATCGTGGTTAATGATATGAAGAGATACAAGGAATTGGAACCCGAGTCGCAAAAGAAAATTCCTTATTACTTTAAGAAACATTTTTTTTGCTTATTCTTAGGAGATTAAAGCAAGAAGTATTAGGTTGGGCGGTGTAGTTTAGATGCAAAGTAGGAATCCTGGTCTCTCCCCTGTGCAGAATGCATATATGTATGTGTATTACCAGTAGAGAGCAAAAGGGATTTTTAGTCGAGTATATAATATAGTCATGGTTTAGACAGACATTTATTTAGAGAAAAAGTGTATAGAAATTGTTTATATGATCTGTCGGATGCGTTTTAGTCTTGAAATTATGGAAGATAATTACTGATGTGTGGGGAGGCGTTGGTAATTCAGACTTACAATCCGGGTCTTCTATGACAACATCAACTAGGTAGTGTTTGTTAGGGGAGAAATATTTTTTTAATCATGGAATTACCATTTTCGTGAATATGGTGAGAAAATAAATTTTTTGGAATGTTATTAAAAAATTGTTTGGTAAGTCAAAATATTTAAAATATTTTTAAAAAGATTCAAAATATTTTTAAAAATATTGAGTTAATTTTTTTGATGTTATGTTTGGTTGATTGTAAAATATTGTTGAAAATGTGAGTTATTTTACAAAATTAACGGAATTTCCAAAAAATTGAGGACAAATTTGCTGGAAAACACACCCAAACAATTCCTAATTTCATCGCCAACAATTCCCAATCTCAAGATCCAAATCCCAAAAACTCTGCTTTCTCAAACCCAACCTCGAATTGAAAACCAAAACGGAAACAAGATTTGAGAATTCTAAAATTCACGCAATCCAAGACCCAGAAAGAAAGAAAGATAAAACATTACCTAGAAATTGCAAAGTTTTGGTCTTAACCAAAAGCAGCGTTTTGTGCCACGGAGCATAGAATAAGAATTAGCAAAGAATTAGAGAAAGAAAACAAAAGACAAGAGAGAGAGTAAACAGATGAAAGCCATCGTTTTTGCACCACCTCACCTACTACCAAAAACCCAGAACTACGATGATTTTTCAATTTTAGAAAAACAGATGTGTATTTGCTCCTGCTGCTTCCCTGCAATGTTCATAGATCGGAGTCGGAATTTTTGAAGGATCTTTTGTTTTGTTATCGATCCCTCTTTGTTATATGTATGTATGTATTTATGATATTATTACCTTGGGCTTGGATCTTGGTGGATAGAATAGAATGGCAAGTGCAACTTCCACATTTGGTATTTTGTTGTTTCTGCTATTATTTTTCTGAGTGAGGATATTTTAATTACCAAAATTTTTTACTACTAACTTATTATTCATTACATCACCATTGGATCAAAGAGAGAATGTTAAAAAAAAATTGAAGAAAGAGAAAATGTTAATCTAATGATGATTAGATAGGTAGTGAATTTTTGATAGTGAGAATATCCATTCTCTATTTTCCTATACTCACCGCGCCAAAGAACAGTCATAGAGAGAAAGGATTTAACAAAGGTATTTTTGTCCGAGAGATATGTGTCCATTTTCCCACAGTGTGAGATTTCTAAAATACTACCTTATCGATGGTAATTTGGATTGGAAATATCGTGTGTAAACCAAAATCCCGAGAAAGTAAGATTCTGTTACGGTTTTTTATTTTATTATTTTCTAAATTGTTGAGTTGTTTAAATAGTGGATAGTTATTTGAATTTCAACTTTCCTAAAGGATAGGTCATAGTAATTAGTGGAGCCTATCTAGTGTTAATGGATAGTTATTTTTAAGGTTGTCTTGTATTATCTATTTAAACCTTGAAGTATTTGAATAAAAATCATCAGAAGAATTCTTTGAAAAAAAAGTACTGCAAGAGGTCAAGCTTCTTCAATAAAGATAAATTCTCATTTTTATTATTCGTAACAATTGGTACAAAGTTCAGGTATAAACAAACACGTTTAGAAATTGGAAGACATGGTCCAGTCTTCGGAGCAATTCAAGGAGATGTTCAACCCATTTTCCAATCGGTTGAACGTCTTGGTGGCTACGCTAACAAGACAAAGAGGAGATCATTCAGCGAACAATTTTAATGCTAAACTAGCAGGTTCCATAGCCCTAACCAATCATGGCAAGAAAAAAAATGACACTAATCCAATTCGATGATTGACTTTTGAGGAAATTTCTAATAGAAGACGAAAGGGGCTTTGTTTTCGTTGCAACAAGGTTTTTGCTCGTGGTCATCGTTGCAAGAAGTTATTTACGATCAAAGTGATGATGGACGAAAGTGATGGAAAGACGAATATTGAATATGATTCAATTACTTGACGTTGAATTTATTCTTGAGGACATGTGTTATTTATAGGGGGAGAGAATGTTATGATTTTTATGTTTATTATTTTCTGAATTTTTGGGTTGTTTAAGTAGTGGGTAGTTATTTGAATTTCAACTTTCCTAAAGGATAGGTCATAGTTATTAGTTGAGCATATCTTGTGTTAGTGGGTAGTTATTTTTAAGGTTGTCTTGTATTATCTATTTAAATCTTAAAGTATTTGAATAAAGATCATCAGAAAAATTATTTGGAAAAAAATACTCTGTGCAAGAGGTCAGACTTCCTCAACAAAACTAAATTCCCATTTTTATTTATTTTGTTCATAACAGATTCGTAGGAAAAAAATTTCTCTTCCTTATACCAAACGTGAGAATATAAGATTGTCAATGTAATTTTCCCATAAGTCTAAATTTTTTCCCTTGTACTACCAAACCTCCCTTGGAGGGCGTTTGGTACAATTTTTTATTTTTTTTTGAATTCTCAAGAGATTGACATTGATAATTTTAGTTATCCACGTTTGGTATAAGGATTGTTAATATTTTTCAAAAACAATCAAATTCTCTGGAAAACTCTTTTTTGAAGCTTTTTGAACCAAAATGCTATACAAGAAAATACCATGAGGAGGGTGATATTCTGGATTTTTTCAAAAAAAATTCACATAATTTTTTAATAATATTTTTGTTGTAATATTTTGACTTACCAAACAGTTTTTTGATAACATTCTCAAAAAATTTATTTTCTTATCATATTTCTGAAAATCATGATTCTAAGACATACAAAATTTCTGCAGTGCCAAACACTCCTATTAGTGTTTTTTTTGTTACGGGTAATTTATTGTTTTCCTATTATGTATTTTTATTTTTTGAATTTCCATATTCCCCTTTCCTTCTAGAAAACTGAATATTAAATATTAATGTTTATATAAATTGAGAGCTCTTGAGAAGTGAGAGACAAAAGACAAAAAAAATATGATGCGTTCTCTTTGTCGTTTTCGATCTTGTGGTTTCGTTATCCATTAGTCGGACCACATGTTGAGTCTAATAAATGAGAGCAGAGCTGCTGTCTAAGGGGAAGACATCGAGCTTTATATCTGTCTGCCCCTCCTTCCATAGGATTGTACCATTCTACAGCAATAAAATTAATCACCAAGTGTAAAGGTTAAATACTAATATTATGTCTCTGGAGGCTAAAAATTAATCTTACATTTATGTTTAGGACTTTGGAGTTCACTGTTGGATCAATCAGTGGGGATTTAGAATTTTTTTTACGTGTGCATACTTAAAGGTGAGGGTTCGGGGACAGCACTTCCGAAGATTTTTTTAAAAAAAAATTTTAAATGTATTAATTGTAGGGGTTAACTGATCAAAAATCTACCTCTGTCAATGTCTATTAGATCCAAAGTTTGCCACTTTTGCTTCACAAAAAAATGTGAAAAATCCTGCTTAATTCTCCTCCACTTGATGAAGATTGAATTTCAAGAATCATTGATGTCTATTAAGGTTTGGAGCTAATAAGATTTATGTTTCAAAAGAAGAAGAAGAGACAAAGCAATGAGATAAGGTTTAAGCTTTTAATTATATGAGTTGGTTGAGTTGGGTTCGGCCTATGTTTAATTTTTTCATTTCAATCTTTCTAAATTTTTTTTTTACTTGACCTAAATCACTCATCCCTTAAAAAAAAAAAATTCTCAAATTTTTGTGTCTGCATGTGCAGACACAAGTAACAACGTCGGTCCACCTCTCGATCAATGGGAGTCCATAACTACCATCAAATCGATCAAATGACAAACTCATAAATATAAGTGGGTTCAGATATTATATATTAACCCAAAATTTTTAGGTATTAATTATTGAGTTCTCACCGAACTATTTTTAAGTAATGTGGGCCTTAATTACTTATATTCTTTCCCTCAACAAAAACCTTCTTCGAGTAATCATATGAGTTTGGATAACCCATCAAACCTAAACACTAATTATCATATCCAAATATTCAGTTAACAGATTAAATAACCATTGACTCTAATATTATTATTGAGTTAGAGGAAGAGCCCATGGTAAGGGATAACTACCATCAAATTGGAAAAGCGACAACCCTATCACAATAAGTGAGTTTGAATACATCTCAATTCAAAACCTTAAAATATTATGTTTACGAGTCATTTTGCTTATATGATATACTCTTAATCCATTTTTAACTAAAATAAAAGTTTAATACTCACACTTCGAACCATGGAGTTGAGTTTTATTATTCAATTTAGAGGGGTTGTTAGATTTGAAGAAAAATCAAGTTGCGCCACATTTGAAATTATAGCAAAATTATTATCTTAAAATTTGTAAGAAACTGAAGCAAGGAAATACTTAGGAATAGTCTAATTTTCTAATTCTTTCAAACTTCGTTAATAGTTGCAGTTTAAGTAGTGTTGCAACTCTATTAAATCTCATGGGCTGAGGATCGATTATCTAAACAAAAACGAATTCAAATCATGATAAATCTTATGCAAACAAAAGTTTAAAGGAAAAAAAAAAAAAAAGGAAGTCATGTTTTAAGTTTTCTCCCTGGAAAAGAAAAAGAAAGTCAATAATGAAGTGTTTAAGACTGATGGAAGATAAAGAATGTAAAGCATGTTACTTTACATGACCTGCATATCGATTCAATATTGTATTTGTCGTTTCATTCTCCAACTAATTGTCGTATGTGGGTCTTCCTTTTGCCGTTAGCTTTTTAATTGAAATGAAATCACATGTATCGATAAAAAAAGTATTCTGGATTGAAGAGAATTATATGAGCTGACCATACATCGATCGTATCAGCGGGTGATACCTTCATATAAATTTTATGTAGTACGGAAAAACGATGTTGCATTGATATCAATAAGGTATACGAGATATAGTATGATATAATATTTCGAAACGTTATTTTTTAAAAATACTAAACTTTAACACGTGGACATATTTTGATATTAAATAATATTTTTAATTTATATAATATAAATTATAAAATATTATATTTAATATTTAATAATTTAACAAAAAATAAAGACAAACTTATAATATTCGTTAATTTTGCAAAGAAACATAAGATATTAAACTCGATAAAATAGTAATCGTAATCCAACTAATCTAATAGTTTGAACTAAAAATGCAACGCAAATTTTAAATCCTTTTCTGAGTCTCTGCAACATGTGTTAAAATGTCGGAGAGTGTCAAAATGTGAAGAAATATTGAACACGATAAGTCAAGATTTTTGAATTATCGGTACATCATGTCAAAAAAGTGTTGTCAACAATTTAAATATGAACCCCCGCAAAGAAATAAAATTAAAAATTAAAAATTGCATTATTGTAATCCAAGAATTAATTTATATCTGACCGAAAAAAGGACGTCATTTATATAAAATAAAAGAGTAAGATAATATTGACAAATTTTTTTTACAAACTTACAAACTATATTATTTCTGACCGGTAATATACTCTTGAGTAGAGTATTATCGATCAAATATAGTGTAGTTTATAAATAAAAAATTTGTAAATATAATATTTCCCAAAATAAAAATACCAGGTAAGCTCTTTTATTTTTCTCTTCATGATTTTTTTCTTCTTTCCTTTAGGAGTCATATTAAAATACACTTGTTAGCATACAAGTTTTAGGAAAGTTTTGTGTCTTTTAAGAAACGTTTGGTAAAAGAAATATTCTTTTTATCGGTAAAAAATTATTTTCGAGAATATAGTAAAAAATTATTTTTCCCGAATAAATTATAAAAAAATATTCGGTAGGTCTAAAATTTTTCTGAAAATATTGTGTTAATTAATGCTATAGAAAAATAAAAATACCATATATCAAATGATATTTTCGTTTAAGATTCTGTAGTTAAAACAGAAATAATGAAAAAAAAAATATTTTTAAAAATATTTTCAATTTTTTCGTACCAAAAGTTGAAAAAAAATATTGTCCCACACCACTTTCTTAGAATTTTTAGAAAAATTTCCATACCCAACTTCTGCTAAGTGGATCTACTCAATTCTATTGAATTTGGACTAGTCAAGATCTATTTTTATTTTTTCAATATTCAGAATCTCAAACAGAAAAAAAAAAAAAAAAAAGGAGCTATGTTGCATGTACAAAGCAGGAGGTAAAAACTTTAATTTAAAATAAGGGAAAAATGTGTATAATTTTAAAGGATGTAAAGTTGTGTCATTTTAAGAGAGAGAAAGAGATAGATTAAGGAGGAGAGAGAGTTGACAAAAAAAATAAAGGTGTGGATCCCACCTCTTTGTGAGAGTGAAAGGATGTAAGTTGTGTAATTTTAAATAATAGACATTTTTCCCTTAAAATAAATGGGGTAAAGGAGAAAGGCATTTGAACCCAAGGAGAAAAGGTTTTTGAATTGAGGAATGAAAATAATATATTATTGACTGCAGTCTGGTAATCACTGCACTAATCATTTTAGAATTATAATCTCCATCATCACATATCAGAGCCCCAAATTTTGCTTGTGATTGTTGTGTGTTCCTTCATATTTTATTTCTTCAACTTGTTTTATAATTTTGAGGACAGATTTTTTTTCTGAAACAAAATCATACAACCTTTTGCTGTGTAAAATAATAATATCAGCACACCATCCCCAACAGTAACACCATGTCTGGCACCCATTCAAACTCTTCCTCATCAAAAGCCAAACACTCCTGACAATTTAACAGTCTCCTTCCCCCACACAAAACACAGTTTCCCAAACCCTTTTTCTTTTGCTATTCCATTCCATAATTACCCAGAGAGACAGAGCTGGGGCGCACACACAGATAAATACAACACAAAAGCTACAAAGCCCTCTCCTAATTTAAGCCTTCTCTCTGCAATTTTCCTTCAAAAATCACAATGTCCTTTCCCGTTTTCTTTTTCTTTCTTCTGTCTTCTTCACTGTTCAAGCTTTCACATTCCACCACAATTCTAGTCGATGGATCTTCAGAGTGGAAGAACCCCACTGTTTACATTGGTGATTCCATCAGTAAGTACTAACACCAAAGGAGCATAAAAATCATTTGCAATCTTCTTAAGCAATGTTTAACATTAGCAGCTAACATTACTCTGCTTCCTCTGTCTCAGTTTTCAAGCACAAGCAACACTTCAGTCTCTACATATTCAAGGACCAGAAAGCATTCAATCTCTGCAATTTAACTCAGGCCACTCTTCTCACCAACCTCAACACCACCTCCTACACTGTAAAGTCCTTCAAATTTCATCTTGGTCCTTTGAAAATGGCTTCAAAGTTCTTTCTTCATCTGGGTTCAGCAGAAACAGGTGAAAAGAGTTAAACTTTTGTAATTTTCTTAACTAAATTTTGTGTTGAATGTTCTCAGTGGCATCCATCTCGCCCTGGTTTCTTCTACTTTACCTTCCACAATGGGTCGCTCAAAGCATGCCAGGATTCTCAAAAGCTAGCCATAGAGGTGACTTCAGCAGCAGCAGCAATAGCACCAGAAGCTCCAGCAATGGCTCCAGAACATTCTCCAATGACAACTCCAGCTCCTTCATCTGGTGGAGAGGTTCCATCTTCCCCTTCATTCCCATGGCCTTTCCATCCTCACATAGCAGCTTCACCTGGTCCAGCACCAGCACCAGCACAAGCACAAGCAGCAAGTTCACCGGTAACAGTTCCATTAGTACCAGGCAAAGGTGGTAGCATGCCCTTCATTAACAGCAACCCTGCAGTTCCTCTGCCTACTGGTGAGGTTGACTCTGCTACCATACGCCCCATCCCAACCTCTGGTCATCAACAACAGGTGCGCATACCTCTCTCTCTACAAAAGTATGCACTCATTAATGTATAGCATTTCTGCATTTGGTATGATGTTGTGTACTATTCCTGAGATAGCATAAACTAGAAATTATAGACCTTATATTATCTTTTAATTAATGTTAGTTCACCTAAGTGTGTGCGTGTGTTTTTTGTGCTAAGCACCTAAATTGTCATTTATTAGTAAGCAAGCACATAAGTAATAAATGTGTTTTATGTTTTTTATGCAAGGCATTATTAAGTAGTGGGATTGATGAATTACTGATTGGTAGTTGAATGCTATTTGGGGGGTGACTGCAGGTGATGATTGGATCATTTGTATTTCATATGGCTGTGCACACAATGGCTTTACTGCTGCTGTAAGGAGGAAGGGAAAGACTTAAAGAGTTGTTGGGCAATTTTAATGTAAAAAAAGAAAGAGAGAGTGAGAGAGGGAGGGTAAGTGGGTAACCCAATGAGGTAGCACCATGGAGTGTGGATTGGGTCTAAAGTAGCTTTAAGAGTGATGATTATACCATGTATTAAGATGCTCTTACATTCTGCTTTAGAATCTTTAGCACTTTTTGTTCTTTGGATTTGGAAAGCCATCAATTGCTTGCTGCTGCTGCTTTTACTTTTCTTTTACTTTTTCTTTTTTTCTTCCCCACTCTTTGTTTTGCCGCTTTTCATTCATAAAAATGGTACATTATGGGGTCAGTTGCCCCAAGATGACCAGTGCATGCAACAATACAATTCACAGCCATAGGCCCATATGGTGGGGGAGCTTTGAGGTCAGGTTAGTTTATGAAGAATTGCTGACTCACTGACAAATAAAAGTAGCTGGTCTCAATTCTAATCTATAAAGCCACTTTGATTTTTGAGGACAGCTTGCTTGGTCCCTTTGTGCAACTAGTCTTTAAAACTCTCTAGGGTAAATTTGTAAAAGAACTTTTTTTTTTTTATCGATTAATTTTTTGTATTTTTTACTATTTTGATGGTAAAATAGTAAAATAAATTATATAACCAAATTTTTTTATTTTGTTAAATAAATTACATAATCCATTAAATTTGAAGGAAACCCCACTTATTATTTATTAATAAAATAAGAATCAGTTTTATATTACAAAATTTTGCGTTAAAATAATTCTTTATTATCAAACCAATATTTCTTACTTTAACTGTTTGACAATGATGTCCTTTGATTTGTTCTCTGTCCACAGTACTCATGCTATTTGAATAGTAAAATAAGATTATTTTTTTGTGTGTGTTATTTCTAATTTTTTAACATGTGACCATTAAAAAAATTTCCTTCAATTTTTAATTTTTAAAAATTAATTATGCTTGTCATCGTTATAATTTTAAATATTTTTTTAATATTTAATTTTTAAATTTAACTTACTTATGCATTTCTCTTTTGTAATTTTAATTTTTTTCTCTTAAATATTTAATTTATTTTTTATATTTTATGTGAAATCAAAAATATTCTTATAATGCACTAGATACATGTTACTATAAATACATAATAATAAAGATTAGGGAGTTAAGTGGTAAAAATTATAGCATCTTTGATGTATAAAAATGACGGGACTATTCTTTGTTTGGAGCAGTAGCTCTACCGAGATGCGGTTGTATTGGGCTCTTTGACCCATTTGAGGTCTAGCGGGTCCAGTAGAACTGAATTCTGACAGAACCTGTCTTTTTTTCCCCTCAAAACAGTTAGAGTATGTAAATGCTTTAAGTAAATCATGCATGTAATGTTATCAAAAAAAAAAAAAAAAAAAAAATCATGCATGTAATGTGAAGGAGAATGTAAAAAAAATAAAATAAAAAATAAATAAAAAATAAAATCAATTCTACCAGGGGAGGAGGGCAGAATTGGTTGGTAAAAAAAATAAAAATAAATAAGAACTCAATTTCGCCAGAAATTGGGACGTAACCAAACACCCTCTAACTAGGGGTGCTAAACAAATCAGGGCCCTTTCAGCGGCGTTTGGCTCGGCTCGTATAGGCCTGAGCGTGTAAAATTGGTTGTTGGCACCAGGCTTGGATTCCAATTCAAAAGCTCGCTCTTAAAGCCTCTCAGACTGGCCGAGTATATTATTTTTTATTTTTATTTTATATTTTTTATACTATTTGTAATAGCCCTCTCTTTCTCCATTATTAGTGTTGTTGATTGTATATTATGTTTGGATAAATTTGTGTTGTCTTATTTTTTATTTTTTTTAAACAGGCTAACAGGCTAAACAAGGCTTTTATTTTTTGTAAATAAGTCATTTTGTAAATAAGTCAGGCCACATGCCAACAGGTAACAGACTTGATCAGACTGACACATTTAAACACAGACTTAGCCTCTTAAAATCAAAGCTCTGCTCGGCTCCGTCCGTTAACACCCCTACCTCTAACAATAAAAATTATGTCATTTAAAACTGACAAATACTTTAATCATTTTATAACATGTTTGTTTGTTTGTTTGTTTTTTTTTTTTCAACTAACAAGATCTTCAAATCGGCCAACATAGTTTGAATCTATGCTCTTGTGGTTGTGGGGTATGGACTTAGACAACTGTACCCACTTTTATTTTATGACATGTTTTTAAGTGACTTATAATAAGAATTTTTTTTGGTACCAAAAATGGTTGCAAATTGTATTTTTACTATTCTGTTAGAATGAACCGATAGTGTCTGAGAATAAAAAAATTTAATTTAAAATTCTGCGACACTAACAAAACTATTCTCTGAAAAATAAAATTAAATCAAGCCGAGGCAATATGTCCAGTTATCCAAACACTGACTTGGAATGACAAATATCTAAGGCCCAAATTTCAGCCCAAACACCGATCTTCTCAAGGACCGTATTATATTTCCATACAATGAAGGAAGTGGGAAACAGAAGAAGTACACAGATTTTCCAGATCAAAATGTGGCCAAACAAAACATAAATTCCCAAAAAATTTCATATATATATATATATTTATTAACCAAAAGCACAGTAGTAACTTAATTCATCAAGGAAGCACTTTGGTAGCATTATCAACAGCAACAGCAGTTGGTGAAGGTGGAGATGGAGGGGAATGTTGTTCTTTAGTGTCACAATAACCTTGCAGAATATCACCCTCTTGTGTGGTGAAGCCAAGAGAGGCAAGCATATCAGGCCAACAGTCATGGCCCACAACCCTAATGGCTTGGCAGCAGCTTGGGCCCAAATATGTCTCCCCATTTAGGAAGAACATTACGACCTCGCCAGTGCATGCTTGCAACTGAAACAACGACTCCCAGCAGTTTGGAGACTCACCAACATGAACATCATCATCTACCTTCAACCGTGCACCCAGGCTTGAGTACTGTGACCTTATGCACGTGCAAGTTGTGGTCAGAGCAAAAACAATAGCCACACCCAAGAGCTTTTCAGTGGTACCCATTTTTGGGAGATATGCAGTACTGATTTTCTTTTGAGTTTAGGGTAAGCAGGTTGGCCTTATATAGAGCTATATGAAGGTGCAAGCAAAAGTCAAGACACTCAAAAGACTCAAAACGGCTCAGTATCTATTCAACCGTTTTTTTTTTTTTTTTTAATGTAATTTAGCATTTACAAAATTAGCTTCACAATAAATGATCGTAAGAGGTTTTTTTTTTTTTTTTTAATTTCTGTATATGTGTGGGATATTACAGCATAAGTGCCCTTGTTTGCTTTTAAAATGCTCATAACCTTTTTCACCAAAAAAAAAATGCTCATAACCAAAATAAATAATGGGCTGGAACTAGCTAGAACAAGGAAAGATCTTGATTTTTTTTATCAATGGGCTCGAACAGTAGTGATTCAGCTAGCATTCCATGATCATATATATATATATATATACACACAGCGTAATACGTGTACATATTACAAAGGAAATAAGTTATAAGCTACTTTAATATGAAGAGAGATATTCTCACTACCAAAACTTTTCACTATCAATTTATTACCTAATCACTATTAGATTAACATTTTCTCTCTCTTCAATTTTTTTTTAACATTCTCTCTTTTTCATCCAATGGTGTTGTGATGGGTAGTAAGTTAGCAGTAAGAATTTTTGGTACTTAGAATATCCTTAATCCTTTAATATTGCTAAGAACTTTTCATATCCAACTCTTATATATATACATTATAAAATTACGGCTAATCATGATTCTCATTTCTCAACAGGTAATGGAACTTAGATAACGAACGTGATAATAATCTATATTGACTGCTCAAATGGAATGATTTAACTATACATAGATGTGCGAGACTTCAGCTACAATTAATTTGATGCCATCGAATGGAATAATTAGTTGAATCGTGTGTATAAATGTCACAATATAGGATATTTGTATCTATCATTATTTATTAAGCAATCACATTAGAGTAATGTTGAATCTATAATTAAATTTATATCTATATATATATATATATATATAGTGCTTCATTATTTTACTAATAAATCATGTTAACAGTTTTTTTTTAATTATTCACATGCAATATAACTAATATATTTGTATATTAAGCCTGTGATTCGAATAGCTTTAAAAAAAAAAAAAAAAACTTACTTATGGGTGGTTATTGCTTATTCGTTAGTATTTAGGAATATAAAATTAACACAATAATCATAACTTGCGATGAAAATAAATAATTTTACACGTTATTTATATTTTTCTGTCTCTCTAGTTGTCTAGTATTACCTCGTGCAGTTGTGCGTAAGCTGTTGCTTATTTATCCAGCTTAGTACTTAGTGCCAATAAGCGGCTCTTGTCTAAGAATTCCACTTTGTGGACTAATAAATGTAACATTCAGTTTGCATTTATGTTTTTATAATCTGACTTTAGTTTACTTGCAAGAGTCAGTGATCAAATCAAAAGAGTTAGGAGGATGATCGTCCCTTAAAATTCGAGATGCTTAAAATTGTTTGAGATGTTATTTGTATTTTTTTATTATTATTAGTTAATTGACGCCCCTGAAATTAAAAACATCTAAAAAAATATTTGTCGTTTTTTTTTGGACTAATTAATTTTATTTTTTTAGCCCCTTCACAAAATCTGCGCCATTTGCTAGAGTGGAGTACTGTCGTTAGGAAACTTGGAAGTAATCCTCATGTTAATGTTTTATTCTTCGAAAAAAATGTTTATTCTTTTAAATGACACAACTTATATCATTTCACTCTCACAAAGAGGTGGGACTCACATCTTTATTTTTTTTGGTCAACTCTCTCTCCTTCTTTATCTATCTCTTTCTCTCTCTTAAAATGACACAACTTTACATCTTTTAAAATGACACACATTTTACCCTTTATTCTTTTGTTATTATTTACTCTTTTATCATCCATTGGGACCCTTGCTCCTAAATCCTCCTTGAACAGTAAGATAAATCACTTGCTTCACATTCATCTCAAACTTGGTTCAATCCCTTCATAAGAGACACTTTTTCGACTATGATTCCATATTTTATACTCACAGATTGTGTTATGTCAAAGGAATGCATAAACATAGAATGTTATGATGCATTGTGTAGAGCTTTAGGCTAATGCCTCATTTTCTTGTTACCAGATTAGCAACTATGCTAGTATCATTTTCATGGCACTCTTCATCTCTATAGCTGCAACTAGCATCCTGGAAATGCAGTGGGGAGGTGTTGGCATACATGACTGGTGGAGGAATGAGCAGTTCTGGGTCATTGGTGGTGCCTCCTCATATCTGTTTGCTCTCTTTCAGGGTTTGCTTAAGGTTCTGGCTGGAGTTAACACAAACTCCACTGTCACATCCAAAGCTGCAGATGATGGAGAATTTGCTGAACTCTACATCTTCAAGTGGACATCATTGTTGATCCCTCCTCTGACCATGCTTATCTTGAACATAATAGGAGTTATTGTAGGTGTTTCAGATGCAATAAACAATGGTTATGATTCATGGGGTCCTCTGTTTGGGAAGCTATTTTTTGCTCTCTGGGTCATTGTCCATCTTTACCCTTTCCTGAAGGGAGTTATGGGAAAACAGGAAGGTGTTCCTACCATCATTTTGGTCTGGGCTATTCTTCTGTCTTCAATCTTCTCACTTCTATGGGTTCGGATCAACCCTTTTTTTGTCAAAAAATGACATTGTATTGGAACTTTGTGGGTTGAATTGCGACTAGGAAATGGAAGTCTTAGATGTTTTGATATAATTTTTTACAGAAAATGTCCGCAAGATGCGTAAAATTTTGGTCAAAGACATCCCTGCATGGCAGTACAGTCTGTTGGTGATACTGACAGCCATTGCTCTTAAAAGGGCAATTGTAGCGGGTGTATGTAGAGATACAAAGGGATAAGTGTGGATTCTCTCGTGTTAAAATTTCACATGACTTAGTTATGTAAAATTTGTGTCTTCTATCTTCACATACATTAAATAAGTGGGATTTAATTATTATTAATGTAAAAATAGATAGACACAAAATTTTCACATGATTAAGTCATGTGAAAATTTAATACGAGATAATTCATTTCCATATTCTTTGTTATTCCACCCAAAAAAAGAGAGAATAATATTTGTTATACTCGTGCATTCTGTGTGTTTAAAAGATTGAATCCGTGATCAGTTTGTAATGGAAGAGGAGATAAGGTGGTTGTAATTCATGATTTTCTTCTGAATGAGGTATCTCATATTTGTAATCAAAAGTATTTCCGTGTATTTGAAATCCAACAGAAGAAATAGGATCTATAGTGGTTTTTTCCTCTCTCTGTTGCATAAATAATTTGAAGTCATTTTTATGCTAGTACTATTATACTGCCCATAAGGCTTATTCTAATTCTCCCATTAGTTTAAAGGGCAAGAAGAAGAAATTTTCTATCACCATACTTTTCTGGGATCTGTCACTATCCCATATGCAAATAATTAAGATATTTACCGCTTCTGTGTGTGGCCATGCTATTGGTGTCTATTGAGTGCCTTCAACAAAATAAAGTGCATGCTGGATGCTTTAATGACCGCCTATAACCAAATTTGTGTGTAAACGTAATTCTTGGAAATTATCACCATCAGATAAATAAATGTCTGCACTTTATTTTTAACTTTCGGAAAATGATTTGGAGGAGTGTTAATCTCGTGAAAAGGTAGTCTATAGCAAACCTACATCACTGTCTCGTAAAAGCAGAATCTGATATAAGGTCATTGCGATTTGCGCATAAGGCCAATCAACACTGGTATTCACGTGTGGCTGTATCTGAATTCACCACCTTGAAGTCAATTTTGGAAACAATTGTGAGTCTTGTGACAAAACAATATTGTAACTAATTTAACATCAGGTCATAAACCATCCTCTTTCTCCCAAGTTTCGTTTCTTAGATAACTAGGTGTGATGTTACTTACACTGTTACACAATGATACCGGCCTTGGAAAATGTGGGAGTCTCATACCTTATAATTAGGTGGAAGCTTGAAAGAACTTCACCCAAAAAACTACCTTGTAAGATGAAAGAGCCCAAAGTTCATATAAACCCTACTTCAAAATCTTATGTTTCTGACATGGGACTCAAAATCCTATATCTTACATTTGGATCATAGCACCCAACCATAAATTGTCATGACTGCTAACGTGGTTGTTTTCGTGTTAATTCATGGTCTTACTTACCAATATTTCACGATTCATTAATGTTGAACTACACCAAACAGAACATGACTTGGCAATATTAAATTGAGAGCATCATATATGGATACATAGGATTCATATCGCCAGAATTTTTCCAGAAAAACAGGACATCATTTTGGTGTATGTTTGGTTTTTATCAATGGGGGATTCACTATTTTAAATTATTTTGAACAAAGCTAAATCCAAATCACAGATTCAAGCCCATTTCACCCCTTTTCCCTCTTCACAATCAATGAAATTTTCAATCCTTGCATTAAGGCTACAAAAAGTAAGAGTTCATTCCAAGATTATTTCAGGAATAAACTTCTCTGCAATAGATTATTAACATTTCATGGTCAGAACTTTCATGCATGTAATTAAGCCTAAAATTTCATTAAATCTAATATTAGTTCATGCTGCAATCTCTAGCTATATAAACCTAAACCCTAATTACAAAACAAAACAAAGAAAATCACAGCCCCGGACCCAAAGGCTTTGAAAACAGTGTTAGTATCATCGCCCCTTTCATACTTGAGAGAAGCTCTAACTAGATGCCCAGCGCAAACAATCAATGCCTAAAATTCTAGCAGAGATCAAAAGGAAGAACCAGGACAAACAGTTTCAAGAGTAAAGGAAGGAATGGAATAAATATTCAAAGATGAAGTTCTAGAAATTATTTCACAAATAAATTTATAAATCATATTAAATCTAGAACACTAATTGACCAATGATAGATGCCTGTGTTACCATAACTAAAGAAAGCCTTTCTCGTGGGCTTAGGCCCTCTGTTTTATCAAAATAATAATAA